CATCGATTTCCAACAGGCAAGACTCAAGTGATTATCCGAAGGACTATCGGTTCAAAGAAGGATGAATACTCTCTGGACAAAAAGTCTACACCTAAAGGGGAGATCATGTCTTTACTTGAATCAGCTGGATTTAGCAAAAGTAATCCTTATTATATTGTCCCTCAGGGAAGGGTCAGTCATTTAGATATCCCTGTAGTTTTCTCACACTTTGTGAACGATGTTTAGCTGACCTGTCATTTTTACACTACACACCGGCTTTTGCTTAACGTCACGATTGCTGGGATGTTCTTGTGTGTGAAAGATCACTCATCTCACCAACATCAAAGATTCTGAAAGACTCAATCTACTCAAGGAAGTGGCAGGTACCCAAGTTTACGAAGACCGACGTACTGAATCAGTCAAAATCATGGATGATACCTCCTCAAAACGAGTGAAGATTGATGAATTATTAGAATACATTGAAACTCGATTACATGAATTAGATGAAGAAAAAGAAGAATTGAAAGAGTATCATGAGAAGGATCGAGAAAGGAGATGTCTTGAATATGGGATTTATTCACGTGAATTGAAAGAAGCCAATGATTGTTTAGAACAACTTGATGCAGATCGTCGTCAAGAGCTCGAAACTGTAGCTGATCGAACTTCTCTATTTCAAGCGAGAGAACGTCAAATTACTCAATTGGATTCTGATCTCGCCGAAGCTAAACGTAATTTAGAGAGTCTTGATGTTGAAAAAGTTCAAGTTGAAACCGAACGAAGGGATAACATCAAAGCCAAAACTCAAGTAGAATGCCTTTTGCGAGACTCTGAAGATGTGAGAGGAAAAGATCAAAAGAACAAGCAGAGATTTTCAGAGGAGCTAGCGCAACTGCAGATGGAGATTCAAGACAAAGAGTGCGAACTCGCGATTGTGGCACCTCAAGCCGCAGCCAAAGCCGTAGAGTCGAACGCATGTACAGAACGTTTGGCCCATGTCAAAAACACGGTAGACGCACTCTATGCCAAACGGGGAAGATCGAACCAATTCAAAACTCAGAAAGAACGCGATGCCCACCTGAAGTCTGAAATCAGTAAGCTGAAAGGCGTGCTAGAGTCAGCCGAGGGCATGATCAGATCAGTCTCCAATGACTTGAACGGGACCAAACAATCGTTAGCTGAAGTACAAAGTCAATCGCAAGAAGCCCGTGACAAACTCGACCAACGCAAACGACGTTTGCAGGAGCTAGCACGCGATCTCTCAAAAGACAAAGAAGAGCACAACAAATTGACCGAAAAGCGTAAAGCACTATGGAAAGAAGATACCAAAGTATCGCGGTCAATGCAACATGCAGCTTCCCTACGCGATAAAGCGATGAAAGAATTAAGTATGACGATGGATAGAGTCAGTCATCTTCCATTTAGCTTCGGTGGCTGAGTCTATCTGATCTCAGCGAGTTTTACTACAGAATACCGCTCAAGGATTGGAGATTATTCAAAAGTTGATCAGTGATGGTGAAATTGAAGGGCTTTATGGACCTTTGTATTCGCTTTTCGAAGTTGAGGATCGCTACAAGACAGCAACAGAAGCCACGGCCGGGAACTCGTAAGTCGGTCTCACTGCCTCTCTCTTATATCAGCGCTGAATATTTTCACGATGTCTTCACATATGTCATCTATTCAGCCTGTTTCATGTGGTCGTAGACACCGACGAGACAGTTACCCGTGTACTTGAAGCCATGACCCGGGAAAAAAAGGGAAGGTGTACATTTATTCCTCTGAATCGTCTACGACCGAAGCAAATCAACTATCCTTCGACTAATGATGCCGTAGCAATGTGAGTAATTTTTGAATTGACAACTCATGGCTTCTGTCAAATATCTGACGTGGCGCTTTCTCCTAGAATCAAAAAGCTTCGATATGATCCCACATATCGTTTAGCATTTGAGCAAGTCTTCGCAAAGACTATCGTATGTCCCGACCTTGAAATCGCTGGTGCATATGTTCGTAGTCATCAACTCAGTGCCATCACTCTCGATGGTGACAAGGTTGACAAGAAAGGTACGATCTCCGGAGGATATCAACATACGAACAGAAGTCGATTAGATTCCGTCAAAGAGATTACGACCTGGTCACTTAAGTATGATGAAGACGCTGCTAAGTCACACGAAATCAGGTTATCTATCAGGACTTTGGATCAACAAATCACTCAACTTGTTGGGAGAATTAAGAACTCTGAAACTGAGTTACAACGAAGAGAAGATGAAAGAGAACCACTGAATCACGCTCTTGCCACTCTTGTAGAAGAGGAAGCAGATTTAAAGAAACGAATAGCTTTGTTGGAGAGCCACCTTCTGAGTCAGAAGGCAGATGTTAGTCTTGCTAAGGAGCAAATCGAATCACATGAGACAGAGATGAAAAGCAAGATGACCAGTACATTAAGTGATGAAGAATTCGATAGGATAGCTTCACTGACAACAGAGATGGATACTTTGAAAGAAAAGGCCATTCAAATCACTCAAGAAAAAAGTGAAGTTAGTATTTGAAATCCCATAAGGTTTTGTGGCTCAAAGCTCACCATTGTTTCAAAATCTCATGTAGCTACACAGGCGAAAGACTGCTCTAGAAACGGAACTAAAGGAAAACTTATACCGGACTGCTGAAGAGATTAAAGAAAAATTAGAGGATATCAATGATCATGTGACTTCTTCGCAAGTTTCTTCTTTCGATATCGAGGCGCGTAAACGGGAACTACTAAGTTTGGAAAGTTCTATCGAAGGAAACAATTCCCAACTCGAGTGTGAGTCTTTTGCACTTTTCTAATGAACCTACTCAAGATAGATGGAAATTGATGTATCGCGTTTTCGCCTTTCCGTATGACTCATCTTTGGACCGCAGCCATCCAGATAGAACTCGATAGCCTTCAAACGAGCCTTCAAAAGATCGAGTCTCAATTAGAAAAACTTCAAGGTCAACAAGCTGATGATAGCCGTAACACGTCAAAACAAAGTAAAAACGTTGAACGATATTGGGCTAAAAAACAAATCCTTATTCAACGTTGTGATGAATGCAGTACAAATATTCGTAATCTGGGTGTCTTACCACAAGAAGCTTTTGAAAAGTATATTGGGGAAAGAACGGAAAGGGTTGGTAACTTTCCATTATCTGGGTTTTTCGAGTGAGTGCACTGATCAGTGTGATGTCGTTCTTTGTCACTTCGATTTAGTTGGTTAAAGCGCTTCATAAAGTTAACGAGTCACTCAAGAAATTCGCTCATGTGAACAAGAAGGCTTTCGAGCAGTATCAAAACGTTGGTACCCCTTTGACTGATCTCCACCATGTTGTTCATTTGATGATCTCTGATGCCTCGTGGCCATCGTACTTTTCTAGTTTACAGAACAGAGGGATAAATTAACAGAAAGAAGAGAAGAATTAGAAAGATCAGCTGAATCAATCACTGAACTTATCGAAGTTCTTGATCAGCGTAAAGATGAAGCTATTGAAAGGACATTTAAACAGGTTTCGAAAAACTTTTCTGATGTATTTGAAAAGTTAGTCCCATTGGGCCGAGGTCGATTGATTATGCAAAAACGACTCATTGATGTAAGTGTTACATAATTGCTTACTTTTGTCCTCGTAATGATTCAACTGACACCTGTTGCCTCCGGATTTGCGGTTGGACACGGTAGCAAGAGCGCAATGATGAAAGTAGCGATGGTGAAGCTATTCAAACTGCAGGTCTGATCAGTCAATACACGGGTGTCTCAATCAAAGTTAATTTTATTTCTTCTGGCGCACCAATTGCGCTCCTCCACTGAAGCGCTATTTTCGTACGTAGGTTTCCTTCAACTCCAAGGATGATGAAGGATTACGGATCCAACAGCTTTCAGGTGGTCAAAAGTCATTAGTTGCCTTAGCCACAAGTATGCCTCTATATCCCTAGTCGATTCTTGGTTCCACCATCATCTGGTTCACTAGACTTACTCAAATGTATTTTTGAATGATCTCAGTATTTGCCATCCAAAAGTGTGATCCAGCGCCTTTCTATCTATTTGATGAGATTGATGCCAATTTAGATCCCGATCGTCGAACTTCAGTAGCAGGTAAGCTCATTCCCTTGATCTATTGAGAAGTATACTACTGATGCTTTCAAACTTCAATGGACAACCAAATAATCTACATCATAGCCATGATTGGAGAGTTAGGAAAAGAAGCTCAAATGATTTGTACAACTTTTAGACCTGAGATGTTAGAACATGCAGACTTGTTCTTAGGTGTAATTTTCAATAATCGAAAGATTAGTACGATTCAAGAGATTGAAAAGACACACGCAAAACAATTTGTTGAATCGTTAGCTTCTTCATCTTTCTTTCAACATTTCATTTTTGTTGCTAATACTCTTGCTTTTTCATTGCTCATCTTTTGATTTCCTTGGCTGTCTTCTTAGCAATGAACGTCGTCCTGCACCTGCGGCTTAGCAAATAGCACGGGTAATGAAGAATGTTGCAAGTGAAACCTTTTTTACTGCTTAATAAGTGTTGTATATCTATTGTTTTGTGAAATATACCTAGAGATAACTAGATCTATTACGATCTCTCTGGTAGATTATATCTAATGTTGGTAACGGAATGGAATAAGGAAAAAGATGCAAAGAATCATTCCTCTGGCTATGTACCGAATTGGATTGGCAAGGAGATACATTGTCTCAATATGTGTATGCCATCCAACACCCTTAGAGTAGGCTGTGATCAGGCCCTGCAGGTGATGATTTCTTGGCTGAAGATTACAACAAAATCATGAAAAGTTTTGACGTAGCAATGTTTGTGACGAGCTTTTGCACTGTTGATACTTGTTTCGAACAAGCAGGCATCGTGGGGAGCAAAGCGATTAGCTTTGCCACCACCTGCTGACCTATGCATTTTGTCACATAGGTGCTGTAGGTGCTTGCATTGCAAGTCTTTTCACCCGGTCATGTAAGATCACGGGCAAGATTGAACGAGACCAACAAAATGAAGGACTTGACGTTTCCAACGTCGGGGAGCTTTGCAAAATGGGTGCGGGACCTCGTATAGCAAAGTCCACACAATTCCAGTCTCGATGGGAGAAGCTAAATAAGAGCACAGATTGAAACAGTATGGTAGCCAGAACGTGACTATGATAATATCACTAAGTCAACAGATTCAGATCAAAGTATGGATTTGCATGGACGATTCAACAAATGTATATCAAGAAACATGAATAACGGAAAAGTAAGGTGCACGTCTTTTAAAGTCTAAACACACCGACAAGGGACCTGTATATATACTTATTTGGGATCATCAGTCTGGACATGCTTCTGGACACTGATGAGAACCTGTACAAGGGAGAAAGATTTGAAGTTAACATCCTTGCTTATCAGACAGATGCCAACGAAGAAGGCAGCGATAATCAACAACATGATACGTACGTCATTGAAGGTCCAGGTCAAGTACTTGTGGTATTGACAGATACCGCCGATAGCATTGGTGTTAGGTGCCAAGCATTTTTCAGCGATTTTGACACCTACCGCGCCAAGTTTAGCCCAGTTGAACTATAAGAAAATCGTGATATGGTTATTCAGCTACCAAAATACACAAGTAGGCACATTATGACGCAAACTGTAACATACCTGAATGGCGTAACCTTGATCTTTAGGATTTTGACTATAAGTGGTTCAAGGCGTACAGGTATAAGTCATACGATGTGAAAGTGGAATCAAACGTGAGATGAACCAACAAAACCACAGCACAAGTTCCTGAAAAGACGTATACGAATGTACCTAGAATGATGTGAATGCGAATAGAATTGCAAGGTATTAGCATGATATTATACCTCGCTCAACGCAAACAAGTTGACTGACCTGGGAAAGCCGTCAGGCTTCCGGTGGAGTTGTACAGCTGAGCACGCCAGACAAGGTCACAATCGGTCTGAAAAAAGGTGAACCCGCATTCTCGTCAGATTTGCCGTACTAAATGATAAGTAGGTATGTTGATAACCATAGATACTGACGGTGTTTGGTTTGTCAAAAGCGCCTGCTTGACAAAACATGTCAGCTTGAATGCGCACAGACGGGCCGACGCCAAACAACAATCCGAGTAGAACAAGACTGACCTGGGTAGCATTGAGTGTCTTCACAGTCTGCCGGAGTCAAATCGATGGTGGTGAGGTTGGATCTAGGGCCAGTGGCATTTGCTTGGCGACGGACTATGTTTCCGAGCTCCGCGCTCGCTTTGTATTCCCTGACAGTCACATGAGGGCCCAGATTATATTCCTTCATCAGAATACCTAGTGATTTGGATTGAATCGGTCGCGGACCACCTTTCTGGCCAACGGTGACTGAAAAAATTGGGAAGCGGGAATATAAATCGAAGTGATCACAGAAAGGAAAGGGCATGTTTGAATATGCTTACAGTCTTGTGCCTTTGAAAAGCCCGACTGGGTAGCCAAAAGCAGACCAGCAGCAGCTAAGAAGCAGGACGAGATGGGTAAGTGCATGTTGATTGGTGTTGTATGAAAGTATGGAAGCTGTTGGAGGGGTTCAACAAAATTTCACGAAAATAACAATACTAGAGGGAGTTGGGTGGAAAATAACCGGGGGGTTTGGCAGGCTTTTGAGTGGGATACAAGCGACTGGTCGCATCCAAGCATTTATACTTATGTACACAATTGTATGACAAGTGGTTGTTTGGGCTGCGTGAGAAAATTGCGAGCATAAATAGCTGTCAAGAGTGTTCATCTCACTGAGGCGGTGTGGAGAGGATGGACACAACTATGTAGTCCTTGTCCAAATTTGCCCGCAAAACTCGAGCGATTTGGGATCATTTGGCAGTGAATTTGTGACAAGCTTTTTGAAAACGACTGTACGTAAGCTTGAAGCCCCTCGCGCGGCCATGTCCGCGCCCTCAAAACAACTGCGGAAGATTTGTGCGTCATCTTGTCGTCCGACTCCTGACTCCTGACTGAGCCTGGCCTTTCTTTGGCACGTTGTTTACATAAAAATCTGATGGGTCTGGACATGAGATAGACAAGTTCATTACCCCTGCGGCCTCGAGCTAAAAAAATAAAAATAAAACACCCAAATAAAGTCCCCCTCCTTGAAATTCTTTGTTACCTCCAGCCTCATCCATCCTCAGTGATTCTTTAGTTGGCATTTGCCCGGCCGGATTTTTGGCGGGCACTGTAATGAATTGAAATACTTAACTGAATAATCAAATAACTTGTATTAGATGTTGAAGAATGTTACGTTGGAAACTATTGTTACTAGAATATAATTGTTATATCAAATTAAGATAATGTTGTTATGTATATATAGATTTAAACTTGTTGTTATATTTCTCTTTTCTCTATCGAATTATTAAAGTATTATCAGTCACTCGTAAAACCTAGAGTCATAACACACTCCTGAGCTATGCTCGACTTGACCCTAGACCCGAACCCTTACAGGCACGGAACAGCACGGAACACTGCCACGTGACTCTGAGGGGCTTGGTGTAATGAGCGCGATTCAGGTTGTGTTGTTATGCGCAGGACGCGATGGTTCCTGATTTATAATGTTTCGATGATGTCATAGATTTACATAATCAGCTTTCTTTTAGTATATATATTTGTTGTTTTATGGTTGTGTTATTCTCCTTTTCTTTATCGAAACAATTCGTTATTATAGTCACCTTTGTTTTGAGAAATACACTTTTCGTTAGAGTTGTTTTCTATAAAACATATTAGCTTAGGAAGGCTCTTCAGAGATTCCGGATTCCATAAAACTTCGTAGTCAATAGGAATTCTTAAATACAAGCTTGGTCATTACACTTGGATTGTTGTCAGTTTTGAGCGTATGCGTCAGGTTGCCGTGTTTATGTCCGAAGTGAAGCATTGAAGGAACCTCTCAGGTTTGGACCCCTGGGCCATCAATTGGCATCTATTTAAAAATCAATCATTGGGTGGAATGGCAAAACCTTAGATGGAGTAAATAACCTCAAGAGCCAGCTTACTTCCTGTGCAAGTGCTCCTTGTAAGGCACAAGCTGCCAAACTGAAGCTTGTAAAAAGCCAGTGAGTTCTTATGATATGCTGATCATCAAGTTCTTGGAGATGTCACAATCAAGTCACTCTATCGAAATGATACAGATTCCGCCGTGTTGGTCTACGAAAGACGTTGAGGTCAAGTTTACCATTGTCCCGGAGCTTTGCTGGAAATTTTGTACGCATGTGAACTTCTGATGTCACGGCCCAGCTCTTCCCTACTGTCCCTTCATGTGATGAGTGGTTGCTTTAGTACGCGTGATGATGGTTCAGGTCATGGTTGTTAACTTCAGTTCCACTTAAATCGGAGTCAGGGTTTCTCTATTTCCCTCTCTTTTTGGTCAAAACTCCATCAACACAAAGAACTTGATTGAATCAATATTCACCAATCACCACCTTTAAACTATCTTCAATCACTAGGTCTTTGGCGCCCAGCCGCCACATAGCTCTGGGATGTGGCATAGCCTTACTCACACACCTGAATGACATCATGCACATGCTCAACAATAGGTCCGTCAGCTTGACAGATCAAATACTTTCCCCTCTTAAATTTCAGTAGCTTCTTGTAACAAATTTATTGCCATGACCTAACCATCTACAACTCAGCATAAGCAAAGACTCCAGAAGAGGCCAATCCCCTGTGCTACTTGTCTTCAGTGTGGTGACTACCTCTAACATTCCAAGCTTGTCCTCAGAAACCTAAGCTTTGTCTGCACACTTCACTCAATATCTGAAACCAGCATGAAACAGTACCAAATTTGGTCTGTGGTTTCAATATGTGTATATGCTGAAAGACTCAAATTGTTTGCAATTTAATGGCACATAGCTAGAGAGATCTGAACATACTTCTACATTGAAAGTTGCTTGTGGCATAATTGTGGTTAGAATGAGTCACAATTTTTCCAGAATTGTCAGACATGATATATCATTTCAATATATTGATGTATTGAAAGACTTGGATTGATTGTGAGTTAGTATCACATAGATGGAGAGCTTTGAGCAGACTTCTCCAGTGAAAGTGGCATGATGCAACAACTCAACTGAGTCCAAGTCTTCTATTTTTGGTGCAAGCTTGCAAGATGCATAAGATTGGTTAGAATCAGCCACAGCTCTTCCAGGATTGCATGTAACCAACTTCCCCAGCTGTGTGTTTTAGCCTCTGATCTCATGCCCGCAGTCCGGCAGAGGGACCCGCTGTATGGTAACTGATGTGGCGCAGCCACATCAGGGGCTGGAAAGCCCCCAACCCTCTGGCTTGGTCATCAAGTCTGTGCCCTGGTCTATCCTCTCTTGGCCTGGCTCTGCCAGACCAATTTGGGGTGGAATATCATGGATCTTGTCTTTGTTGGAGACCTCAATCAGCTGTAGGTGTACAATGAACTTTGATAAGATTAGCAGTTAAGTACTGTATGACTTTCACAACTTCATGTTGTATATGCATCCTAGATCAATAGGGGCTCTCAAACCTGACCCGGTTTGCAAAAACCCACTTGACCCAGTTGAATTTTTGGCAGTAACTTTGTATATAAATTTGACATTTATTGACAGCTCCCAGCCAAAAAGTCAACTGGGTCAACTGGGTTTTTTGAAACCGGGTCAGGTTTGAGAGCCCCTAATGAATTTGACAGGAACATTATAATAACGCTCGACATTCATCATATCATTAAGCAATTGTCCCCCCTGCAAGATATATGTGATGTCTGATGTATCTAAAGCCATATCCAAATTTGGGCTTGCCATTCTATTGGACCTAATCCACTCATCACCCTCCACTTATGCAGAAGGTCAATTGTATGCAATGTACCCCAGAATCCTGCAAATGGTTTTCCTCCTCTGTAGATGATGTAATTGTACCTATAACCAAGTTTCAGTCTTCCGTTATGTGATTGTAGATGTTGTCTCAGTTGAAAATTGGAAGGATAGAGTTCATCTTCCAGGATAATCCACTTTGTTCTGATAAAGCTGATTAGGTCATCTTGAAATTAATTTTTTAACAATTTTGTTTGTTCAACTTAGTAAAATCTGGTAATAAAAAGTATGCTGGCCTTTTAACAATTTGATGGAAAATTTGAAAAAAGTTGGCTGTTTTTATCACAATTCCTCCACATTCATCTCCAAGTTCTATCATAAACATTACATGGTATCTGTGTTGTTTCAGAACCAGAGACTCAATCACTCCTTGTTGTCTAAACAAAATTCATATACTAAAAGCTGCTTGGATCAAAAATCTTTGAAGATAATCTAATATATAAAAACGTACAAGCGACTCGCATGAAGTACCGTTTAGTCCTCTTCTCTTCGGTTCATCTTCCCCTTCTCATTGACTTTTTAAATACATCTCGATTGTGGTCACTTTTCGTGCTTTTTAAATGTTTTACTACCATTGTGGTAGCGCCATGTCGTCTTTGTTAAAGTTTCACTGTGCTTATATCACCCTATGTTTGTCCAACCCGTGTATAGGAGGTACCCTCCGCAGGCTCTGAGGAACACTGCAAGAGGGACTTTGTTAAGTGAAGTTAACCCACAACTTTGCTATTGGTATTTTGGGTAAAAGGGGCATGACTTTTCCTGCATTGCGTCACGATCTGTTCTCTACCTCTTCTCCAACACTTTTCTTTTGTTGTTAGCGTTTGATTACCTCCATCATGACAATCCAAATCCTTGTGGTCTTTTCATCTTCAACCCCTTTGTTCCTTCTTTTTACAATTTACAATCGCGACTTGTCCCAATTGTTACTTCAAATGTTGCCATTTCCAAAGCTTTTCCGCTTTGCTTTCTGCCCTATAAAAAGCCCCTGTAGTACCAGAGTTTTCCCAATTCCACCTCTCCCAATGCAATCCACACTTCTTCCTTTGAACTCATCCACTCAGTATATGAATACCTTTATTATATTGTTTCACCAACTTCTCTCCAACACTTGAGTCCTTTGTAATCGTCAGTCTCGTCGTTTCTTCTCAATCTCCGTTTACTTGAATCAGCCGCTTAGCTTAGAAATTCCATCCTTACAACCTACTCTGTCTGCCTGTTACTTCGCTTTCTATGAATGTCTTGGGTCCTATGCACTTCTACAAAGTGGCGAGTATATTAACCTCCTACTTATTGCTTTTGCTTTATTTGAGGATGTTTTTTCAGTTATTTACAAACAGTAGCTCCACGTATTCTTTACCCAATGCCCATGCTTCAATAGTTTGTAAAGGCCTTAACGGTAAAAATCCCTAAGTGTATCAAGTTAAATTATGATCAAAAAACAAATCAACTTTGCAAAGGAATTTGTAACTTCTTTCTGACTTCTAAAAAAACATAAACATACATCCATTCATACCCTATGAGGTACATCCATTCATCACACAGAGAATTGTGAAATTGACTTTTATCAATTCGTTCCATTGATAATTCTCAGATGAAAACAATTTGGGAAATCATAACAAATGAGAGTTTAGATTCAGCTTCACTCACAAGTTGGTCCCAAGAAATTGACTCGTGTTCAGTTCTTCAGCCACCTCTATCCTTCCAAAGCAAAGAATAAAATCCGGAAGCATTATATGAAAAGAAGGAAGTCCACTATTATTATGTGGATGAAGGAAGAAGTAAAATCAATTCCTTTGTATTAAAACATATGCCCATATATCAATTTCTCAGACCTGGCTCAGTAAGTCTAGATCAACAAGTGCCTTCAATCAATCACTCCACAGAGATGACAACAATAGGTCAACTCAAGAACATGATTTACATACCTGATTGATTGAGAAGAATTTCAAGAACTACCAAATTATCAGAATCCAGCCTATCCTCAAGTTGCTGGATTTGTTCAATAAAATCAAGCAATTGATTCTTCTGAGAATCATCAGTTTTGACATCAACTAGATGTCTCTACTTCAACTTAATCACAACCTATCATTACTTTTGGCAATAATTTCCATAGATTTCCTGATCAAAATCATTATAAATTGAACTCAGATTATAATTATCTTTCAGTGTCCAAATCTATTGAAAATACTACATTTTCTTTATCTATAATTCATTGTAATGAAAACTTGATAAAAAATTATCTGGTCATTCTACTCTTGCTCCACTTTGAATTGCGTGCTGTGGTGAACATCTAAACAGGATTGTTCAAATCATCATTGAAAAAATTGATTCAGCCACAGAGTTGACCATAAATATAAATTCTGCCACATGAGTTTTTACTCCCATATACTATCACAGTGACAAATCAAACCTGAACATGTATTGGTTGTTTAGACTATCAGTAAATGGTTTAGAATTTTTTTGCCTTACAAATTTTGTTTTTTGTGAGCCTTACGGGACTGAGACATTGAGACACATGATAGTTGAGGGGGTCAATGAAGATTATCTGTTTAAGTATTTACAGTACTCAAAGCTACATATGTACACATACATGGTTGTCGTGCATAGTTTTTTTTGGCGGGGAAAAGAACAAAAGAAGTATTTTCAAAGTATTTTCCCTGCCAAAAAAAAGTATGTAGCCCAAAGTATGTACATGTACATACTTGCTTTGAGTACCACAAGTGTCTTTCTTTACGGATCTTGAAGCGGGATACTAATGTTCCCCTAATACTTTCTATTTGGCCAGGCAATATCATAATCCATGATAAAGCAATATTTTGTGTGGGAAGTTGCAGTATCATTGTAGTAGGTAGTTTGGCACCCAGCCGCCACATAGGTTCAAGCAAGAGCATCAAATCTTAATTGTTTTCTAAATCAAATGATCAGGTTTTCCAAAATTGGTGATCACTCATTTTGAACATTTTCTTCTTCTTCTTGACACTCATGCTAAACAACCTTATAAGATAAAAATAGTGATAAATGTTAAGATGAGAATCTTTCTTTATTTTTTTTGCTTCAAAGCTTCTGAACCGTGAAATGTGAAATGTAAGTGTGAGACATGCAATGAGATGTTGTGGGATCACCCAAATGGTCAAGTGGGGTTCCAAATAGGATTCAAGCTTTACATAGAGGTGTGGTATCCTCTTTTTTCCCTAAACCACTTTCCTTGATAATTATATGTAGGTAGATAATCATTCATGGTTCATTTAGTGTGATAGAAACTTTGTGTAACATTACTGGTTTGAAGTTTACTTTCATCAAGTGTAAATAATAATGATACATGTAATTTCACATCTTGGCACATACCATATTAATGTGGCCAGTTGAATGCCTTGCAAGAATAGGCTGAGAAATATGGATCAGTTGTATTCAATCTCCACAGTGGTGGTAAGTCACAGTATGTTCTTTTGGAACAATTGGATAAATATAAGAGTTCCCTTGTTGCGGGCATGCCCGCGTGGTCTCTAGTTCCACTAAATTTGAACAAATGGGCAAAAAGAAAGATATAATCACCATGAGGTGAGGCCATAGATTGTGATATTTTCTCTCTTGCGGGAATTAGTTCCATGCTGGGTGCTATTCATGATTTCTCAAACATCCCTGGTTTGAAAAATTGCCAATTTAAATCAGGTACTTGACTTTTTTTCGTGCCATCATCTAAGGAAATGGCAGTTACACAGATACACAGGTAAAAATTTGACCTTCTTTCTTCTGGAATAAACAACCCAAATGGACAATCAGAAGAGATAGGGGATGAATTTATCCAAAATAATCAATGTCAAGATCTTTGACCAATAATTTTCAAATGATGTGAATTTTATGTATTATGATGATGAGATGAATTCTGATTTTAATTGATTGAATAGCGCAAAGATCTGGTAAAGATTTAGAACACAAGTCAGGATTGGAGAGGGAAATGAAATTGTATTGATTGCACCTTTGAAATCTTGAGCATAAGAAGGAATAAACTAATGTGTGAGCTCGTTATATTGCATAACAAAGTGGATCTGAGATTTTATCTGTTTGTTGGGGTTTGTGGAGGTGTTCTGTCATCTGTAAATTTGATAAAATTGGATCATGTACAATAGCCGCGTTCAAACCTGACCCGGTTGACACGAAAACCCGGTTACCCAGTTGCTTTTCTGGTGGTAACTTTGTGTATCCATTGACAGTTCTTGACAGCTTCCAGCCAAAAAGTCCACCGGGTCAACTGGGTTTTTTGAAACCGGGTCAGGTTTGAACACGGCTAATGTATAATTTAACATTTGGTATATGCCGATAGAATGTTTTGAAAGATAGAGATGAGGTTGATCAACATCACACGCAACACAGGATACAATGGTTGTTTTAGATTCAGGAGGGCGGAATCATGAGCTCTTATAGTCAGATTCAAAATGCCACACGCGGACCGTGTATTCCAGTGCGCAGTAACATGGGATCAAGTTTGGACATGAAATTGGACTGTATGAGCTGAGATCGAGAAACGGCATCAGAGATTGATGAAACACCTAGCCAAGTGAGTCAAGGACTTGCTCAACAATATGAATATGTCACAAGGGGAACATGGCAATGGAGCGGGGCAATTTTTTTCAACAAACTACCTTTTCTTTTATTATTATAGCAGAAGATTTCCTGATCCAAAAGAAAACTGATTACATATTGTCTTTTTAAAGATGTTAAATTTAATTGATTAGGTAACAAGAAGCAATCTTTCTATCACGAAAGCAACAGGCCTACTGTTAGTCTAACAGCAGTGGGGTGGTCAACCCTAGACGTGAGTTTATTCTCTTCTGGCTTGAAAGCTTTTGGAGTAACCTTATACCTTCTGGTAATCAGGGATCTCTACAACTTCACGCTGAGAGAACGGGGTAATGACCAATTAGGATATCACTTACTTAAGAGCTAAGTAAGCAATTATAAATTCTATCTGAGACAGGGACTTCTTGAGGAACTGGACTTATTGGTTGGTCTACATGTTTTAACTGGATAAGAAGGTTGATTGCTATGAGGTTAAAGGCAAAGAGAGAAAAAAGGATCATATATCAGGGCTTAAATTGTAGAGAAAGTGAGGATGAAGTAAGGTATGTTTATGTCACAAAGCTTTAAAAGATCTAGAAAGGATAACAGGTTTTTTGGACTTTAAGAGATGGAACAGAAATGAAAACACTTTAGAAGACACTGTGTGAGTTTTCTGGTAGCACATTGACATGCACACACCAAAAACAATTCATAGAGGGATGATAGATGCTTTGAAGAGGTCTTTGCATCCAAAGACCCATTCCCTTTGTCCAGGTGCTCAGAAAGCAAGGTCAACAAAGGGGTACTGAGATTGTCACTGAAATCTAAATAACAAAATGTTACAATTTACTCGCATGAGTCGAGTATCTCAATGAGTTGGGTATCTTCTGGGATGTATTTTCCTAGCAGTTCCTCCTTTTTATCTGTTGGTTCAGATAGCCGCTTTGAAAAGCATGCCGAGCTTATCTTTCTTTTTCTAAAGTTCATGTGTAATCCTCCTTTTGATTTGTTGACTTTTGATTGGTCGCTTTTAAAAGCGTGTCAAGCTTTTCTTTCTTTTTCTCAAGCAGCAAGCTTACACATTGTCCGGTTTTCATCCTCACGATTGCTTTTAAAATCTTACTATACGACATGGGTTTTTTTGTTTGGATTTTTTTTTCTCATTTCTACTCATTCTTTGTTTCTCGATCTAGGCATAAAGATAGTCTTAGTCAAAACCTGATGAAATGTGTATCGCATTGTCCAGATGTAAGCTGTTTAGATCCTAATTCAACACAAATCAATCAATCAATCAAGAATCCAAACTTTTCAAAAATTGAAGAAAGTTTTTCTGAATCAATAGTATATAATCCACCAGAATGGCATTTTGAATCAAGAAATTGTACAAAATTGAATGGACTAAATGATTATCATCATCAAAACAAAAATCAAACACTCATGATTTGATTTTTCATATGAATGAAATTAATCCTATCAGAATCATTCCATTGAAAAAACCAAGAACAGGTCAATCTATTGCTACTTTGGCTGCATTTGATTGTATTGATGATACTGGCTCTACTCTTAAAATCACTTTATGGGATGAAGCTTCAACTGAACTTTTGTCTGTTTGTAAAACTGGTGATGTTATCTTTTTATCTCGTAAGAACTTTTTTCACTCACTTTAAAATAAAGTTATGTGTCAAAATTTACTAATCAAGTCTTATCACTGTATTCAGGTATTTCACTTTCTACTTTTCGTGATCTACTTCAAGGAATTACTACTGATAGTACAAGGGCACAGATTTGTTATAGGTTGGAACCTATTGAACCAACAGATCTCTCATTTTGTTATGATCTTAGATTAGATTTTAATCCTACTACATGTCGTGTTGATGAATTGGCCAAATGGGCGCGTAATTTATTTGAATATCATGAATTCTGAATCTAGTGAAATTCTGATTGAAGATTGTGATTATATTTCCCTTGATTTACATATCATCAATATCCTTGGTGAAAGGACAAGAAAGATGCAGAACAGCAATGCCTTGAGGTGTAACTGGTTTGTATTATATTCAAAGAATGTAAGCTTAGACGTCAATTGATCCGCTGAATAGAATGGTGAAAAGGGTTTCTTCCTGTAAAGTGGGAAGAAACCATGGTACAAATTAAAACATGTCTTAGGACACTATTCCCCTGTTGCGCGCATGCGCACACAGTCTCTAGTTCAACAAAACTACAGAAACCTTTCTTTGTTTTTGTTTTCAAATATCTTTGTGTGTGCACATCAACGTGCTACCAAGAATTGTACACGGTGAGAGTCAATGTCAAATCTTTGGGGATAGGTATTAATCTTTTGTAATGTATTATTTTATTGCTGGATCTCTTTTAGATGAATAACTGACTGTTTCTTTACAGTAGAATTTTAAAGGGGTGGAATGTGATGATTTTCTTTCTCAGTTGCTTATCATCAAAGCTTTTATACCTTTTCTAGGGGGGAGCTTGTCTTATTGTTACATTATCAAACTTCAGCTTACTCATACATTATGAGAAAGCATTAGTATTATTTATGTACTGACATTTGTTTCAAGAATCATCTTACTTGTTTACCTTAGTGCTCTGATTCCGGAATTCCGGTTATGTAATACTAATAGGAGTTCCTTTGATCCACTTTGAGAATTTAGCATGGTCATGGTCATTCATATCTATACGTGATAGACATAGTTCTTGTCCTTCCTTGAGTCTTATCTAATTGACTATTTCATTTTTCTTCCGTTATGTAATTATATACTTCATGATCTTTTCATTGTTTTCCATACTCATGAATTCTTTATTTTGTTTGTTCTTTATTATTGTAGTCTTAATGATCTATAGTTCATTATGTTTGCCTTCATACGTAGAATCTTGTAGAATCATTTGCTGATGATTTTTCCTTCCTTTCCTTGCTCAAGATCTTGAGTAATTTTCTATTAAAGTCTTATATATGTTGTTTTTGTTTACTATGAAATTTACGTGATTTTTTACATTGGTTTTGTTATTGTAAGTTTTACTTTGGTTTTGTTATTTCCTTGCGGATAAGTTCTGTGTATTTTAGTTGGGTCTTTGACACTAGACCGGTAAGTTGTCATCACTTACGGGATACAAAGTAGAGTCCGGGCACATGCCCGGCTTTGTGCCCAGATTTTTTTTGGCAGTAAATTTGAATTCTGGGCGTGGACTTTTGCCCAGAAAATCAAAATTTACTGCCAAAAGAATTCTGGGTACAAAGCCGGGCACGTGCCCGGATTCTCTTTGTATCCCACAACTGTAAACATTATACACTATGGAACTGGGAAGATGATGATTACTGCAGTTTGTCATCAAAAGATCTATCACTGCACACCTGAGCCATAATACCCACACTACATATGTGGAACAAGCTGAGTAAAGTATCAGCTATCATGTACATACAGGTCTGCTCAGTTCCCTGCTCATCTGAATGAGTGGTTCATATGTAATACTTTCTGTAATATTTTTCAGTTTGACAAAAGCATTCCAAAGATTGACTACATACACTGACTTGTAGCTTTGGTGTAATTCCATTGACTGAACCTCATGTAACACCCTTTCTGTTACTGTTGAATGGCTTTCAGAGTATTACATGAGTAGCTAAGAAGGTATATGTAGTCAATGGGTTAGGAGATTTTTACGCACAATGATTTACACTCATTATGGAGTGTAAATCCGGATGTGTGTAAAAATCTAACTTACACAAGGTGAAATAGAATTTTACACTCGAACTCGACCAAATCGTAGAGTGTAACACTTTTATGTGTAAAGTGTGGAGTGCAAAAATGTACTACACTGTGGCCAAGGTATAATTTTACACGCGTTATTTTTAGACTAGTCATTGAATGTAAAAACATCACGTGTAAAACTAAATTTTGACCCTCAAAACCCAAAATTTGCACTCCAATACATTACACCCAATGAGGAGTGCAACTGTCCACAGTGCAAAATCCCATTAGTCCCCCCCGACATTGAATTTCACACACCACCAAATCTTATTTGGACTTTGACCAAAAAAAAATATCCATATCCTGTGACTCAAAATCTCACCAACTTACTTCAAGACATTGTCCAATTTGCTGTCTCCTCTCACTCTCAATCTTGCATGTAGGTTCTCCAGAGCACAAATTCACACACTAATGTTCCACCACTTAATTGGCCCATGTGCATTACATCAAGCCGCCATAAAACTCACAACACACAAACAGAACAAGAACATAATAATAAAAACGATGACTCCTGTGCTTACCCATCACAATAATTATCATCAGGACAAATCTGTAATCAACAAAACAAGGAAATAAAAAAATGATGGCTCCTGTGCTTACCCGTCACAATCATTATCATCAGTAACAATTCTGTAATACATTGGAATGAGAACATAGATAACATAGCCATGAGAACAATACAAATCACATATTGATCATTTCTTCCTGCCTTTTGCCCTAGCCGTGGCTTTCACCTTGACCTTCTTGTCAACATCTTCTACAGGCACAGGTAAATTCTCTTTGACTTCCATTGCTTTGGCTTTGGCGTTCTTCTTGGGCCTCGAAGCTTTTTGAGCTGACTTCACCTCTTTACAAGGAGGTGCAGACGGTGACTTTACTGGACTAGACTCTGCTTGACGCTTGTTGATACGCAGGCAGACACTGAGAGGACCCTTCAAAGCTTCAGCGGATTGAGGTTTAGGTTTATTGGGTAACGTCGCTGGAACTTGAACACTATCTTCCACATCGACGCGCGTCTTCTTCACTGGAGCTGAAGATGAGAAAGCTGAGAAGAACATGATTTAAGTCAGATAAATCAGAATGACAAAAAGGTCACTCTTAAAATAGACTTACAGACTCGGTTGAAAGCCTCCTTGGCCTTCTCACCTTGAGACGGTGGATGAGGCCCAAGAGTAGGCACCGTAGTGAGACTTTCTGCCTTTGGTGGTTTGTCCTCCGGAGGAACTGACAAGGAGGAAAGGCAGGTAAGAGGTCAGCATGCGGCTATGTCCACATATGCAATCAAACTTACTAGCGGAAGAAAAGGCATCCTTGGCCTTATGAACTGGAACCGAGGTGTGAGTCCTTGGAGACTCCTCTTGAACTGTCTCCAAGATGCCTTTGATATCAGGGAAGGCTTCATCGAGCTGGTCCTCTTCCCCTTCCAAGTCTTGCGCGGAAATAAAAGGCAAATCACCCTGGGCATCCGGATTTTTGGCCGGGATCTTCGAAATGCCAGAATCTATGACCTTCTGTTTGACCGCGGAAGGTTTGCAAGAGTAGATCAGCCAACTTGTTGATGCTTGCATCCCAGATATCAAAGAAAGATCTTGTCCAAGAAGTTGAGCGGGGCCGTTGTCTTTGTGATCGTCAAAGAACCAAACACCTCTGACTCCATCAAGATATTTGACAATTTTGCACCAATAATGATGATATTGCCAGAACCCCCTAGAGACTATTTTGTACTCCACATCATGAAGAATCAAGGTCGCCAGCCCGTCCATCTCACCCGTGAACTCAATGCGGCTTTCCTCCGAGAGACCAGCCACACCGCAAAGGTGAAAGTATACATTCATGGGAAGGGTGCTGAAATCCAATCGGCTTTATTCGTAAAAACGAGGAATGTCGTCAGCTTCAGAAGAGGATTGCTTTGTCCGACAGCTTGGGCACGTTCAAATGCTGTTTGAGAAGAGCCCTTCACTAGTCCAGAGCGTAATCAGCTGAGAGACATCGGAGTACCACAGATTTGCATCATGAAACAGATTGTGAGTGATTATAACAACAATTTGCACGGCTGAGGCAGTCTCTTGATGTGAGGTCAAAACTGGGCATTGATAGTCGCGGATGAAATTAAATGAGAAATGGCGCCCGGCTGAAGTCGGTACATTACATTTAGCCTGGAGGAGGTACTTGAGGAACAGGTCAGCCGAACAGAAGGTGTTGGTGACAAAGGAGTCAGGGGAAATTTGCTGAACCGCTGTTTGAACTGATTTAAGGCCTCGAGTTAAGACAGACTTGATGTGACCTGATTGATGCATTTTGGCAGAGAGTCTTGAAGAGAGATGTTGGATTAATTTGGAGGTAATATCTTTGCCCTTACCCTTGGAGCCCGCAATCCACAGGGGGGGAAAAAGTGGGATACAAAGACTCCATCACCGAAGTTTCCCAGCAACAATTGAGTTTACCCGGGTCTGAGCTGGCTGAGTAGGACTGGTAAGAGGAATGAGGGTCGCGATTGACATTGGCTGAGCCCACGGGGCGGCCAAGCTTCTTAGGGAGAAGCAAAGCGTTGGTGGTGTCCGGAGGACAGCCATCGTTCTCATCCGGGCAACGTCGAGTACGTTCCTCTGACCGCCCCATAGTCTCGACTACGGACTCCCAACTACTTCCATACTTGACTGAGATACCTCGTAGAACAGTGTTGAAATCCCTTTTGAGGGATTCAGCAAAGAGGAGCAACTGGATAAAGTCCTGCATAATGGTGCAGTGACCCAAACTGCACGTTATGAATCAGCACTTGGTCTTAATCCATGATCATAACCAAATACTCACAATAATATGTAGTATTGGCGATGCATTGACTCCTGACCATTTGTGGTTTCAGGAAAGTCGTGCTCGGGGTCTTCATCTTCAAGGGGCGGATTGTCCATGGGTAGACGCTCCCGTGCGCAGAGAGGCCATTGGGTTTATTGGGTTCGAGGAGGTCCAAAGCAAGACGTTCAAACTCAGCCTAATCCAATAAAAAGAGACACATCAGATTTATGTTTATCTGCGCAAGAAAGTGAATCTATGAGGCACTCACCAATTGACTTGCATCAACTATGTTCCTGTTTTTCTTGATACGCGTGATTGACTGACAAAAGTGTTTGTGGCAGCCCCGGAGTTTCCCCAAAGCCTTGGCAGGATCGAGTTCGTTGAAGACATCCATATACGCCAATACAAAACCCTTCTTTTGGGCTGTTGAGAAATCCACTACTTGTTGAGCAAGTAGGCCGCGCTCGTGGTAGGTCAGGTCCGCCAATTGAATTTGTTTGAGAAGAGTTGTGAAATGCGCGCGGTAGTGACTTTCCTCAAGTCCCCACATCCATGTCAATTGAACAGGGATCCAGTGGTGGAGTACTTCACTGTACATTGAGGTGGTGAGAAGATAGCCATGGTGAAAAAATCAATATGTGACGTCTGAAAGCAGGCCACCCGAGTACACCTTCCCCAAAGGATCACGTCAAACAAGTTGCTCACCCATCCACTCGCTTTGGAAGGTAATGTGGACATTTGCACCGAGCAGCAACGTGGATATCAAACGCAGACCGTGACTATAATGTGTGAAATCAATTACAGCCCCATTAGCAACGGCAAAGTGAAAGCATATCCAAACAAAAAGGATAGAACTTACTTTCCCCAATGCATCAGATCTATGATCAGCCGGTTGCCTCCTCCCTTACTTTCCTTTTCAGGGATAAGGCCCTTCTCCACCAAAACCTTTCGTCTTAGGTATGCTAAACGGCCAGTGTTACCAAAGGCTGGGTGAATGTCAATGACCGGCGGCGTAATGGTTTGGCCTGCGCCATCTTGGCCAACCTACCATTAGGAAAATAACCTGTGAGTTAATTCCAAAAGCGTACTTTACATGTTTGGAAAACTCACCTTCAAGACCAAAGGGCCTGCCTTTGGGTTTTTCACCACCTCTGGTGAGATCAAGCATGGCCAAAGGATTGGCTTTCTTTGACGCTGGCCACGGGTGAGCATGGATACCCAAGTGCCGAAGGACCCCCCATCCAGTTTGCTTTTGGATATCAATTTGACATACCATATGTGGGCATTGGGTCCAAAGATGAGTCCCACTACACTCGACAGCTGGGCATACTGGGTTCCTAAAATAGGGATGTGAAACGTTAGCCGAGCCATATGATCATAGATGCAAACATAAAGACTTACTCTTTGATGAACTCTGCCGCTTTTCCGTCGCCAGTTGGTGGAGGAGCCGCGTAGGCGCAGAAGGCATCATCACAGTGGAGCACACTGAGACATGCATACCAAATCGTCTTCCAAGGCCCGTCTTTTGCGCCTTTGACCTTTTGAGTGTGAGTGTAGGCGATACGGCCAAAGTTGGTGATGTCTTCATGAGGTTGTTGAACAAACACCGTATCGCCATTGGGGTACAGAGGATAGCCTTGAGGATTGCGAGTTGTCCCATGGTCATAGAAAGTGTGGAGTTTGCCGGCTGCCGGAACCGGAATCTTGAACTTCTTCCCGGTTTTTCTGGGTCGTTGTCGTTTCAACTTGGTTGGGGTATGTGGAAGGCTTTCAGAAATGTGTGATACCAAAAGTGCCGGATCTTCAGTCTGGGTTAAGTTGTTCAAAATTGCTTCAGGATATGTTGAAGCGGATCTCACACTTGCTTGTTCAGACATCAGGAGTGGAGAACTAGGTGAAAAAAATAGCTCAGGTAGTGATGGAGATAGATGAAAGAGATGAATTGATCTAACAGATAAAGGTGATATAACTGATATAGTTGATAGATTTGAGACACTTGGAACAATAGAAGAATTTGATGAAAGTGATAGATTGAGATGGGGATGATTGGACCAAGGCCGAACGGTTGAGATGTAATAGCGGGATACAAAAGAATAAATGAGGCCATGTTGAGAGATGCCTTTGGTTGGGGTGATCCATCCAAAGTGCCAGGAGGCCTGCGCAGGGTGGGCAGGCACATTGTGCCTGCTAAGCTTAAGCGTCTTCGTGTCAAGATGATGACGATGTTCTTCTGAGAGTGAGCATTGGGAAGGAAGGGGGAAACAAGATTGGTTGGAAGCTTTATGGAGGAGAGGAGCTCATGGATGGTTGATGACAGGTGTTGGTGTGAGGAAGGTGGTTTTGGTTTGGCGTGATTGAGGTAATCAGGGGAGGGCATGTCGTCATTGATAAGGATATCGGTATCCTTATCAATATTGGTCAGGTGGTTCTTCCTCAGTGGTGGTTTTGGCAGGGTTATGGCCAGGATATTGAGGTGGATATGGTTGGTAAGTGTTGGTTGAAGAAGGTTGGGGGATATTACCTCACTGCCGGCATATTTGGCTTGGAGACAAACGTCTGAGGAGTCCTCAGGCAGCGCCCCTGAGGAAAAGGGCACCCAAGGGCTAATTCCGAGGCAAATGTTGGCCCTGGCCGTTGCCTTGGATTGGATCCTTGGATGGGGGTTAACTCAGAGTCAGAATCCAAGGAATCCTCGGATTTTTGGCTCTGAGCCAAATATGCTGGCTGTGCCTGCAGGTAGCCGAGATCCCCACTCGGTTATGCCGGAGGACCTGTCGCCGGAAGGAGTGTATTGGGGTAGGGTGGAAAACTGAACCTTGGTATGGGATTCTCAGAAAAAAACACTCCAAGGGTTTACGTCCCACCTGGAGTGTAACAGACTTAGAGAGTAAAATTAGGGTTTATGCCCTTATGCAGATATTTGCACCCTGCTTTTTTTACATACAATTAGGTGTGTAAAAAGTCATGTGCAAATTTCTATCTTGGGGACGGTTTGGTACACTTTTACACTCTGTGATTTACACATAACTTTCTTACACTTGACAATTTGGTCGAGTTCAAGTGTAAAATTCCATTTCACCTCGTGTAAGTTAGATTTTTGCACACATCCGGATTTACACTCCATAACAAGTGTAAACAGTTGTGTGCAAAAATCTATCAACCTGTAGTCAATTTTTAGGACCAGTTTGTCAAACTGGAAAAAGTTACATGATGTATCTCACACCGCGGGAATCATTAAGTGTGAAACCCGATTGAGCAAAGCCGCGGTGTCTGGGTCTGCGACTTTCTTCAATTGCGGATCTCGTTTGCCATAGGTTTGCTATAGGTTTGCTAGCTTGCATCAAGCTCCCCTCGAGTTGTCCGTCTGAGCTGCAGTACATGTTATGCATGTTTTTCCTTTCAATATCCTCAGACCACTCAAGATCATGTATGAGTCATGAGCTTTATCATGTATATGTTACAAGAGTCTAGACATATGGTACCTCCATTAGTCCATACTACAGCCTGAGTGGATGACTATGTAGAGGGCAGCTCGAGACGGGCTTGCAAACCTATGGCAAACCCATGGCAAACGAGATCCGTGATTGAAGGAAGTCGCGGACCCGGACACCGCGATTTTGCTCAATCCGGTTTCACACTTAATGATTCTCGCGGTGGCATGTGATTTACTTATTCAGATGAGCATGGAACTGAGCAGACCTGTATGTACATGATAGCTAATAATTTGCTCAGCTTGTTGCACATATGTAGTGTGAATGTTATGGCTCAGGTGTGCAGTGATAGATCTTTTGATGACAAACTACAATAATCATCATTTTCCCAGTTCCACTTGGGGATAGTGTATAATGTTTGCAGTGTGTACTTTTCAGGTGGGGATCTCTCACATAGTCTTTTAAAAAATTAAAAAATTAAAGCCACATTTGAGATAGGGACAGACATATTTTAGGCATTTTGCCAACTTGTTACTAACTTCTACTAATTTCGAGGGTTTCAACAGACACTCTTATGATATGGAGATATTTGATTCAAAAAACCCAAAGATTTGGTTCAAATCATCCTCAATCGACCCGCGAAGAGACACAACACCAATGATAAGTATGATATTTGTTTTACATTTAGCTAATGAGAGTCAGAAAGATAGCAGTAATCTCGGCTCCCCTTAGGATTCAAAAAATAACTGTTCAGACGCGAGTGATCAATTTTAGTTTTTCTTCAGGCATTCACTGATCGACAAGATTCACGGCTTACTGAGGAATTTCAACTTTGAAACCAGCTCCTCCTTGTACAAAAAATGTAAGCAATAGCACTGCAAATTGAGTTCCACCTTCCAGCTAGTCACACCAACGATCAATGAAATCAAGAATCCAAAATCAGTCAGTTATAATCAAGATTGATGGCGTAGCATAGCCGGGAAAATATCCTTACGGCCGCACTCGAGATATAACTGAGGGAAAGATCCTTCAAGTCAGCCTTGGAATATAGAATGCAATCTGTGATGCGATGAAAGCTTTGAAATCCTCACTTGTATCTTTGATACCTGTAAGGTGAAAAGAAATCTGATTCAGAGATGAGACACACAAATGCTAAAGTTTGGTTACTGACCATTTAAAATGATATTTCCGGATAGTGTACTGTGTGAATAGAGCCAAAATCGTAGCTGTCGTACGGCCAGATGTAGCTCCTACAGCGCACAACGGGACACAGTTCAAGCTTTGACGCCTGGGTTGTGAAGAAGATTATATCTTACCCAAAACTGCATGGTAAAGACTTGATGCAAACAACGAAATGTTCACACGTTGAAATCCTGCCTTGGGTTTCCACCTATGTAGAAGATATAATGGTATTGGTGCAAAAAATCCCAAAACTAGACAGTAAGGGATAATTGCCTGGGTTTGCATAGATGTTGTTAGTAAGAATCTGAATACGTCATCGGAAAAACTAGAAAGGATTTTCACAAACATATTTGCACCCGAAGAAGTAAAGTCTTTTACTAAAAACCCCCCAACTGAAGACCGTAAATAAAGGTTAGAATGTGAAAACACGAGGCGTCTAACGAAAATGAGTGCTAGAGAAGAGTGCAAAGTCGTGACTTACGTAGTCGCGTGAGCTGCCATGCTACTCAATGCCATTCCCTACAAAGACAAAGATGTTCAGGTACCTTTGAATGTATCAAGTCATGAGGCAGAGAAGCAAGGCGATGGTGATGTACCGTGAAGACTCCGTCGCCGTGTGGAAGCAAAAGCACATCTCTTTGCGTGCCGACGATAGCAGTCATTACGCCATAGTGAAGAAATCCTCCTACAATTCTGAAACAACGGGAGAAGTGGAACGCTAAGTCTCCCCGTGTTTGTCGCTGAGTGGTAATAGCAAGCTTACGTTCCAGAAATTTGACCTATGACAACGTGTAGCTATTGGAAGCATATCAGAGATATGGTCAAGATGTGCCAGAAGAGAGAAGGAACCAACGGGGGGTAGATGCATGTATTGGCCCAATTTCAAATCCTTGGACATGGCCACACATTGACCGACACTAGTCGATCCATAGCTATAATCGCACATCCATAAGTTTTCAGTAATCATTTTAACGATGCTGTGCGATACAAAGAGAAGCGACTTACAGCGTGAACCACAAATTACCTATAGCATTGCCTGGAAACAAAACACCGCTGTTCAAAAGTTCATCTCAGCACATCTTCATCAGAGCTGATATCTGCAACATATTCTTACCCTAGCATTTGGACAACAGCTGATGTTTTTGGTACGTTGAAAATGTCAGAGCCTGTCTTGATAATCAGAAAGTTTGACTTTCCAGTTGGGCTGATATAACTCACGCTGGCAATGTAAGGGAATTCCCACAGTCCCGTAAAAAAATACCGCTGCAAAGCTGCAATGGACGCTAAGTCATTCCGAACCAATTAAGAGACAACGAAATACATACCTTAAAACAGCAGATAGTGTAAAAGCAAATGCTAGTGCGTAAGCTGGAAGATCAGACTCAGCTCGCGCGGAACAAAAAAAGGCGAGACCGATCGCTGCGGCCCCTATAGCCAAAAAACCACTGGGAGAAGTCACGGGTCATAACGAGCCAAGCTTCAAGTCAGTTCGAACCGTGCAATTTTTTCAACGCAAGTCGTACTAACTAAGTTGGAAAATCTGAATAATGCTTTGTGATCGTTCGATGCGGATCTTCTTCTAATGCTTTCTGATTGGTAGAGCTGAACATAGCCGATAGCTCTGTCCAATTGAATAAAATTGCCGCAGTGATTGCTGATGACACAGAAAATGCTGTACCAGCGTTTCCGATGACAATAGCGGTGGAATACCATGGCAAGCCCATCTTTTCTACCTCCACTGTATTTTCGGTCCCATTATCAAAAAGCGCTCTACTCAAATTGTAGCGAGCTCCATTATCATCAAGAATGTCGTAAGAGATAAATGGCAAATGCGCGCCACCTAAAATACGATCACCTCGTCAGATGCAAACAATACCACCTCGATTGTAAAGTGTGATTGCAACTTACCAAACCAGTCATATCGATATGCTGCACTAAATAGAAAAACACCTGTGCCAACAGCAGCCCAATCTATAATCTGTGAAATGCGTGTCAGGTCAGAGTTGAGGACATGGTATTTTCGGGACTCACTTGTGCCACGAGAGGGACGAATAAGGGATTGTATCTTCCTGTGATATTGATTTCAGCCTTGTTAGCGGGGCCAGATCTAATTTATATCTCGAGGTCAAGATCGAGTAGCTTACCCACGAGAACCCAATCAAAACTGACAGCAAGCAAACCAAGTCCTTCAGCTACTAGAGATCCGCCGAATATCTGAGAACGGTACAAAATGAGATGCTAGATCTCGAGTGATTTTGCCACCTCTAGAGTACATACTTGTGTGACAAGCGGTGTCTCAGGCAAAGTTAAGCACCAAGGACTTATTGCCTGGAGCGCTGGGGCGAGCCATTCTGGAATCACTTCATCTGCATCCACGAGCAAGGATATCAGCGAGGGGGCATCGTGATCATAAGGACATCGGCAATGAAACTTCCGCTTACAGATAGTCATGATACCAAATATCTTCTTGAAGAGTGATAACTGTCCAAGATTACTCGGGGAAACTTTTCCCAGCGAATGGAACAGTGCTACGGTTGGTAACACACTCCTATAAAGTATAACCTCGATGAGCTTTTCTTCAACATGTCACAGAAAAAAAAACACTTGCGGAAAGAATATCCTTTTCGGATAGATGAAAAACCAACGATACAGCCTGTATGGACGCACGCATGAGTTGAGAGGAATATGTATCGTGCAAGAAAAAAACCTCGCACCCAGCCCAGCCGTACCCCATGAATTGGCTACTCAGAATAGTCAAGACAGATATGTAAGAAGGAATCCGCCGATTGAAAAAGACGTCCAGCGTGGCCATTACCTGCAAAAGCCCGGTGAGTTGAAAGGCCGGCCGAGGGGTTCTTTCGATTGATAGACTAACCTCAACACTTTGCACCCCGCCCGCTCCAGATGTTGCGATAATCGCACTGAAGACAGTTTCTTTTACAGTTAGTTCGCATGGGTTCCACCATTTTGGACCTGGTATAGCAGCAAAGAGTCTTCCCAGGATAAGAGAGGCTAGCTAGAAGTGTGGCGAGATGCTATCAGCATATTGAATCTCGAAGTGAGATTTCAAGACCATAGATCCTTCATTGTGTTTTCTTACCTGGAGGAACAGAAGATTTAGATGTAGGTGCACCTTTTCGGAAGAAGAAAGAAATGATCATCCGTCTCAGTCGTAAATATAAACCACTTAGAGTATATATGTCCCCATGTATTTTGAGAAACAGAAACCGGACGCATAGAAGATGAAGCTGAATACGCACCGGTTTGTACATAAAAACCTGTGGGGTCAAGAAGAATCACATCAGTGCCAGATTCAATCGTTTCATGCCATCTGCCAATGATTCAAAATCAAAGCTATCCTTCCAGTAAAGGAGACAAAGGAAGCGACTTACTTGCGATACAGCTGCACCAAAGAATACAACTATAAGTCCCACCAAGACAGATCTCAAGGTAATGACTGGCGCATTGGGGTCCTCATCGGGTTCCGGCTCTGGAAGCACGGCGCATTCATCGAACGGATCGGAAAGATCATCTCCCAGCTTGGTATCCAAATGAGAGAGATCATCCCCCGTCTTGAGTGCTAATTGATCGCGTAATTCGAAAGGAGGGAGTACTGAGTTGGCATATGCGTCTTTCGAGGTCGGCTTCGCTGATAAAGCTTCGCAAATGCGTTCATCGTCCAAGGCCCTGAGGTCTCCAATTTTTTCACTCATTTGAGATATTCTTTGATGATTGACTATGAATCAGGGAGCTTCTCTCCTATAATATACAAGTGGTTCGATTGGATATCTTCCTTGAGAGTCTTCCAGATCTCGCTCTGCGAATGATTTATAAGTTTGTATGAAGAGAAACCGACAACTCGACCAATAAATTCGGTGAAATGTATTCACTTCGGGATGGAGATGCGAGAAAGGCACCATACAAACAAAAAAGCCACACCCTTATACATACTTGACTCATCATGAAGACGAAGGTGATTGATGTCACACTTCTTGAAAGTCGCTCAGCTTCGACAATTGAGATACAAATATATCGGTCTAAGATAAACATATGAACGACGCTGATGTGCAAGCTTGTATGAATCAAAATCAACTCCTATTACTGATCATGATCATGAGCTGATGATATAAAGTAAATCGAAAAAAGCGACAATTGTTTGCAGCCAAATCGCACTTGTAATAGTAGCAATTGATGATCAACGGATCGCTGAGGGCCAATCTGGGCCAATGATTGGTTCGTGCGAGAACAAGCAGAGTGGGAGCCTTGATTTTTTTGAAGTGTTTTTGATTTCACATGTCACATATCTAACACACGATTTATGACCATAAAAAGCACCTGCTGGAAAACTGACAAACAACAAAACTTAGGGAGTTGATATCAACGTGTCCTCATAGTTTCTCAAAACAAATTTCCACTTGATAACAAAAGATGGGAATGAAAAGAAAAAGAAAAGATCACTTCCACCGCCTCCGATTCATAGAAGCTTGCCACTCGTTTTGAACCGGGCGGTCTGCATTTTGAGGTTGATGGTCAAAGTTTAAGTTGTTAAAGTCAATCAAGGACCCCGACTTCCCATTAATAAACCGGGCAAGCAGATCAGACTGACTTCGAACGGATCCCTCAGCGGTCACAATTTTCGGGCTTGATGTTCATCTAAGCTAATGGGATGGGTTAGCGCGCTTTTCACATGATGAGCTGATGTGTAGTTTGGATAATGGAGTAATGGATCCACCAGCTGACGTGCTTTCGCACATCCACACATAGCAGCAGGACGGTCTCAACCACACGCATCTCCTTATCGGTTCGTGTGTCCTCCCCAACCGCCTGCCGCAACTGGATGTTGTAGCGTTCAGCCGCCTCTTCTTTATCACCCCTGATTTTTCACGCTGTGCATATTACTTTGTAAAATAACCATTCTATTTTTTCATTGATTGAAAAGAACTTGCTACATATTCTCACATCAATATGATCTGGGCAAAATTGGTATATTACTGTTGTTGTGTAAATGAACACAAATCATTCAAAATTGTAAATTGCACATTTTGCATTCCATTTATAGCAATCACTTCAGAAACAGATAGAAGCCTTGCAATATTTATATACAATATTCTTATTTTTGATTACTTATGGTTACTCTATGGCCAAGGAACTCAAATATCATATCCTCAAAGAGCATTTGTAAACATTCAAACCTTGAGGATCTGGTGTGCTTGTTGAACTCCTTTTGTACCAGATAGCTGGGGTAATCAAGTTCCTGATTCATTATCTGCCTGGAGACCAAGTTGGGGGGAAAAATTCAACCTTGCTTCCAACATGTTTGACTTGGACTGAGAAATCAAAATGTTTGCCTGGGATTGAAAAACCTGAAAGTTACTGTGCAAGTTTTTATACCCAAGGTAATTGTGTTGGCAGTGCCTCCTTGTATAGGAGTAGACTGAATGTTTGACAATTGGGTTGTTGAGGTTTGACTGTAGATGTAATTCTACATATCTCCTAATCAAGACACGTAAATTGTGTCTATGTAATCAGGTGAAAATCACTTACCAAGTTTATTGTTTGCTTCTGATTATGCTAAAGACTATTTCCTTTTCTATCACATCAGTTTTATAGCATTTACAAGCAGATATAGGGATACAGAGTGCTCAAAAATATTCAAATTTTGGAGTAAAACAGGTGTGAAGAGATGAAGTTCTTCCTTGAGAATTCTTTGGACTTCTTCAGTCCAATCTGATTGTCTTACTTTACCATAAATTGTCCAACTAATTATTGCATTGAAGATTTTGAATGAATTTCACCCATACTGTGCTGAACTGTCAAAGAGCTGCAGAGTGTGTTTCAGCTTGTGCAGCAGTTCAGGTGTTGCAAGTTGCACATATCTGGATACATCTTATCTTGCCTGCTGATCACCCTTACAAAATTCAAGACTGTAAATTGTAACCTGTATTTTCCAACAATCCTTACTTAAAACCCCCTGAGAACAAAGGAATTCAGCTCATGTGGGTCTGCTTTCCGGGAGCAAAGTTTTTACCATGTGCTACAGCAATATCTATTTGCACAGTATGCTTCTTCTTGTGGTCATCATGACTTTTATAAATCCAAGCTTTTCAGTCAGCATCTTGCCGGGGAACTCAGTAGGCCCCAAATTGTCTCAAACAGAAAAAGTATCATCTGAAACAGACTATGGTCAGTTCATTTCAAATTCTTTAAAATATTTTGCATGATGATAACTGATATAATCTTTTCTGATTATCTCAAGGAAAAAAACTGGTACACAGGATCAGTCCAATGGAAAGAACTCTCTTACAGGATGATCATCTTGAAACTTGGAGAAATTTGAGGACAATTGAAGAAGTGCTTATGCAGAACAGATATGGTCCAACATTCCAAAAAAGAGTAAAATATTACATGGATCCCATTTTGAAAGAATGTCCTTTTCAGATCACCCCAGACCCACTAACCACAAGTACTAAAACCAGAGTGAAGCCAGAGGACAAACTTCCATTCCAGTTACTGGTATATCACCTCATTCAAATAATGAAGGGTCACTCAGAAAGAACAGAACATTCAAAGCTAGATTTTCTGGAAGAAGAGATTCTCACTACATTCAAACATGTTTCCAAAGAGAAAGAGACAAATTCACAAAGAATACTTGTAGAATTTGTGGGTTTTGTGATGTCAAAAATTGGGTGGCATTTATTGATTGAGAATATCCAGAAATCAAAAATCTTGGAATATGGATTGAAAAACCTACCTCAAAGTGACCATCTGTCAGGAGAGATGAAATTCAATAGCAAGGATCAAGTTAGATATGGTGCATATTATAGAGATTATATGCATATCTTTGAAGTCTTTGAACTATTAGTATTTGATGGTTTGCAAAACAAGAAGATGATATCTGGTCTTGCAAAAATCCAGGGCAAATATGATAAAGAAAGCAAAATTGAGAGACTTCATTTAGGTGATTATCTTGGTATTCACAGGTACCTCATTGCTAGGAGACCATGGGATGGAAAGATATGGTCACCTGCTCCCTTTTTAGGAGATCCTTTCAAGAAATATGGCCAAAATTCTCACCAACTGAGTGATAAGATTCACAAAATTTGGTTCCAATTTGGGGAAAGTGATTACAAAATCTCAGTTCAGCTTGGTGCTATCTTGCAGGACGGCTTAGCAGGGGATTACAAGGTTCATAAAACCTTGAAGACTTTACATAGGTCAGAGATATTCAAAAATGTTAGGCACAACAACAAAAATAACTACAATTTGGCAATGAATCATATGTCCAAAGTCATTGATCTGATCTCAAGCATTTATAAGGACAATCATGCATCACGCTCAATTTTGCATGAGATTCTTAGCTGCTCCATTGATTTGATCTCAGAGAAACGTGACTACAATGCAGTTAAAGCAAGTATCAACAATGGTGTAATGTTCTACCTTTTCATCAGAAGGATTGGACATGTTCTCAAACATGTTGAGGAGAATCTTTCCGGTGATTCATCTCTAGAATCTAAACCAACCAATTCACAATTCATGGGATACCATTGGGCACTGGCCAGGTTTAGGTCAAAGCAACGCAGTAAAGCTCAGTCAACTCGATGGAAATGGTTGAGTTTTGATCTTGGGAAGGCCTATCAAGATCATCTTCTTGCTTCTGCTAAAATACACTTTCTTCATGATCAAATGGTGCCACATGCCAAGTCAAAAGAAGGGGAACAAACAAAGTCAACAGATATTTCAAAAACAGCTACTGATTGGGACAAAAGTGAGGCTTTGGATTTTGAAAACAAAATTGAAAGACAATCCAAGTTATTGCAAAATGGTTCTCAAAGCCCCAAATATTTCTTTCAAGGTCAGGATGTACTGAATGATGGATATCACATTTTGAAAAGAAAAGCTTTTGCTGAACTGGAAGAGCTTCATTCTACTGGTAAATTGTATGAGTGTTTTGGATTAGGAAATCAATCTAGAAGGAAAAAACAAGGGGGCCCAATCATAAATGTCTCAAAGAAATTGAAGCAAAAGTCAAAGAAGAATTTTAAGTCAAAGAGACCTTTCCAAAAGAAGATGAAATTGTTGACAATTGTTTCTAATCAGGATAAAATGAAGTCCAATGGATCATCAAACAAGCCAATGGCCAGAACTTCTGATAGGTTTTTGAAAGACAAGCAGGGATTGGGTGCTTCTGCAAAAAATTTGAGGACAGGATTGTCCAAATACAAAGACATTAACAAATTCTTCACTCATGATAAAGAATCTTTGCAAGAAATCAAAGATGCTACTTTTGCATGTGAGAATAACCCTCATCATATGGAGATATGACTAGCAACTAACCAGCACCCTTTTTGTACCCAAAATCTCTAGCACCTCCAATTTCAGAGGATGATGCAACCTTCCAAGAATCCTCTGACTATACTCCCAAGCCCAGCATGTCTCCCCAAAAAAGGAAGTCATCAATGAACACCAATTCTTATCACAGCAGCTTCTTTGATGGAGGATGGCCAAAGAAATCAAGGACAAAGACAATTTATATATATAGTCCATCAGAATTTCAAGAACCAGATTCTTTTAAACGGTAAGTCCTAGAGATAACCACATAGACTTGACAAGGGACCTAATTCAGGTTTCCTTAGCAAAATTTACATCAGTCTAAACAATGAAGGAATGCATGTCTCCACAGGCTTCAGTGCTACAACATCAAGTGAGTGTATATTTTTCTTTGGCGGATTCCACCAAACTGAAATGTTAATCATCCAGATTCAAATTCCTTCAAAGCTGCTGCACATACAACCAATAAATCCCCTGTCCAGACACCAAAAGACCCAATCATTGAAAAAGCTCATCTGTTTGACCTAAACAAAGCTCCAGAGTTGTCTGTAGCTGAACAAGGTTCTACTAAGCAAGCACATTCAGATACCTCCATAATAAATTTAGACGGTGTAGATAGTCTTTGGAATAAGTCACTTCCTGATCTAAATCATCCCATAGAGATGACAGATTGTGATTGACAATTACAATACTGACCTCTGCTTCAAAAACATTCAACAAAATGATCCATCAGCTTAGAAAATACTATGTTTGCCAAGTCTCTTCTGGATCGAATTCATTTGTGCCCATTAGCTTATCCTCTGATTTTCAGTTTCTGTTGATAAAGACAAATCTTCATCCCATAGGTCCACTCTGGAAGATAATCCTGAAATTCTTGCAAGCTATTTCAAAGATCCATGTTCATATACACATTTATTTTTTAATTGATTGATGAAGCCATTTTCACCACTATCTGTGTTTAGTTTTCAAATTTCCTGGATCTTACTATCTCATTGTCAATTTATTCAATCATCACACTCAACTTCTTGCCTTGGTTCATTCAAATTTAGTTATCACTCTTCTGCAATTAAAACTCACCCCCCCTCAAAGACCTTTTTGTGATTCAATTGAGGTTAAGTAGAATCTAGCCCTTCATCTTTTGAACAGCAGCTTGGCCCAGAAAGATACAGAGATGTGCATGCTCATCATCATGCCAGGATCTGATCATGGCTGAACTTGAGATAATCAATTTTTAATAATACAGCTCCAGGACCATACATCTCTGAATTTCACTGAACCTCAAATAAAATAAAAGTTCAAACAAAGTAACAGGAGGGGCCGGAAATTGTAGAATGGTTGTATGTATCTTATTCTTTATTTAGATTGTCTCTCAAAATTCTATGTATCCTTTCTGGTGACTCTTTTTCATTAGTGTTTGTGTTCATCATCAGTGTTTTTCTAACTTAATCAAGTCCCTCAATGCTTTGACATCTGTTATTCAAACTAGTAATCCCCATGTCTCAGCATGAGGCACCCAAGGTCTGCCTTATGGCCTGAAGGCATAGGCTCCTCTTGGTGGAGAGTGTCTTCTTTTCCTCTTTTACATGTGCACACCAAGAATTTTCTGCCAACTGCTCAGCCATATATGCACTTGCTGTGCCTACACATTTTACTAGTAGAAGCATCCTTCGAGCTACATCAAGTTGTGTTTATGTAATTTTGACATGTGGGTCATGAACTAATGCCAAGGACTTCTATGATTTTATGGTGACCAATTAGTGATAAGTGACCTGACTTAGCAGAGCTACATGCAAATTTCACACAGATTCAGTTTCATGTAGCTCAGAATCAATTGGTAGAATTTAATGATTCCACTTGCATAATATAAAGAAAGACCCAGCACATATGTGGCTGAAAGGTTGGCAGGAAACCCTTGGTGTACTCACAGAAAAGAGGAAAGTGAGAACCTAATCTCCACCAAAAACAGCTTATGCCTTCAGGCCAAAAAAATGGACCTTGAGGGTAAGTCCCTCATGTTGACACATGCCAATTCAACTATGTAGTTTGAATGAGATCTGTTGAAGCATCAAGAAACTTTGTCAATTATTTTCTTTATCTTACAGCTATTCAAGAAATTGGTGTCCTGCTTGGAAAAGAATCTTTTTTGTTTTGGTCAATGTTTCACAGAGACTCAAGCCAAGATACATGCAATACAGTGCTTTATTGGGAGCTTCTTGTTCAGTTGGCTTACTCCTTCAACTGATACAGGGCTGTGTTTGCTCTAATTTGATGTCAGCCTTCAAGAAAACCAAAATTGAAAGAATTGGGACAGGAGATTCATTTCTTGAAAAGCTGTACATGTATTTCTTCTTCTTTATCCTTGTCTATATGTAATTTTTTTTTCTTCTACAGTTAGGTATTCTTTAGTTGCTTCCAAGCTCTCTTTCAATTTGAAGAAGACAGTGACATCCATTTCCACTGCCACCCCAAATGATCTTCTTACTGTTAGCCGTGGCTTATCAGTGTGGAATTACTCCCACCCTTGGCTTTCACCCAGGTAGATCTTAGTTTTCATTCACACACAGTGACATACTGTTTCTCTTTCTAATATTCTGTTACCAAGTTACTGATCCATATCACCCAAATTTGACTCCACTTGCCTTGTCAATAGAAAAATTGCTTTCAAGTGCCTCATGGAATTGATTCCATGATTTAGCAGAGTGAAAGAAGATTTTACTACTATTAGAATAATTGATCAAAAAACCCAAATAAATCTCTTTGTAAAAAGAGTGAGTTAAGTCAGATGTGAAAAGACTATAATCAACTTCCAAAGAATATTACACAGCTTTACTCTGTTCTAAATCTTGGAGTACCCGCTTCATGTTGCTTTCTGTGTGCAAGGATTGTGCAGAAACTCTCTGATGAATTGTGAGTAGATCAAGAGAATTGGTTAGTTTTCAGAAAGATATAATAATTGAGTTTCAAAGTTTCTATAGATTATCTACAAATACATTAGGATATGAATCAATCTCATTCAAGAAAAATAAGAATCTGTTGTGGTACACTGTTTTGTATATGCAGGTGGAGATCAATCCCAATTTTTTTATATGTACTTTTAAATCATGCTGTAGATCATTAAACTATCCAAGTATCCCATTAGGTTAATTTCATTTTACTTATTCAATGCATATATACATACCTCAAACTAATTTTAGTTTTTGATATTAACAATCAAATATCCAATAAGAAAACACAAACAAATCCTCACAACTCATGATCAGTTATGATTTCAATCTTCTTCAGATTCAAAACTTTCATCTTCTTCATTCTCTTCTTCTTCTATCATTTCTTCTTCTTCTTCTTCTTCTTCTTCTTCTTCTTCTTCTTCTTCTTCAAGTTCAGTCAAATTACTTTCATCATCATCATCATCATCATCATCATCATACATTCCATCTTCATCATCTTCATCCTCTTCATCATCATCATCTACAGAAATGTGTTTCATCAACGTTTCTACTCTATCATCTTCATCTACATCTTCATCTTGATCAAGAATAATTTTGTTCGTACTTGAAGACCCTTGAACCATCTGACTTTCATCATCAATCTCCATCTCAGAGCCCATCTTTTCCATTTCTTCGTGCATTTCTAATCCTCCATCACTCAAACCAGTATTAACCCTTGCTTTGATCCTATTCTTAGGTTTAGATTTAAATGGCTTGTATCCAATTTTAGTTCCCCTATTACTTCCATCTTCTCTATCTTCTTGTAATTCATCATCATCATCATCATCATCTAAAATCACTTTCCCAATCTTACCGTCAAACTTAACATTCTTACCACCATACTTCATCTCACCCACCGATTTAGGTTTCTTCAATACTTCGATCGAATCAATCCCTACATCAATTTCTAATAAATCAACAAAATCTAAATCTACTAATCTTTTCTTCCCTTTGCTTATGCTTGGATCTCCTTCATTTAATAAATTAAAAAACTTTCGTCTTAGAATCGATCGGATTTGTTCAATTGCATTAGATGTGTACCATCCATTTCTTATTCTGCATTTCGTTTGTAATCCTTTTGTTGATTCAATTAATCGTTTTAATAATGGATCTTTGATATCTATTAATTGATATGTTCCTACACTATGATTTAATTCAATTCCATCAAAGATATGAGTCTTCCTTTGATTTTCGAATCAGTAGATACACACCCAAGGAACTTGATTAGTTTTGTTATTCATCAAAATCATATCGAAAGAAATATAAAACCTCGCACCTATTAATCACATCTTTTTCTCCTTCTTCGCGTTCATTTTGTTTGGAAAATGGATGTCTCATCAATTTAAATGTAAATTTCTCAGATAATTTCTTATTGTCTAAATTCCTAATCGAAATCCTCTGATAACTAAATCAAAGTTAAAAACGTTAAATGTTAATCATAAAGTTTCTTTATAGATGATAATAAGAGAAGGTGACTTGCAATCTTGCATTTGGATCTACACGAGGATCATAACCAAATTTGACTAATAAATCTCTAAAAGCTCCATCCGCAAACATATAACAAGTATAAGCTAAAAGATGTTTATCACTGATCATTTGATTTGTTTGAAGTTTTCGAAAAAGAAAAAACAGTTGGATTAATGAGTATTTTTGGTTACTTTTAGTCTATATTTCAAGTAAGATGTTCGGAAGAATTACTAACTGTCTCAAGGCTCGACATTCTGATATTGTAAGTTGATTTTGAAATGCTGGTCTACTCCAAACTGGTCTTTCTTCAAATAACTAAACAGAAAAACCCAAACCCCGCAGAACAAAAAATCAGTTCAATGAACCAATTTTATCCTAAGCATGTTCAAATTCGATTGAAAGTAGACTTACTCTCAAAGCCTTTTGATAAAGAGCTTCAAGTGTAGGTTTCTTCATTTTCAAATGTTCAGGAAGTGGACCTTGAGGTACCTAAAGAAAAAGAAAAAAAGATTAAATCTTTCATCAAAGAATTCAAGGAAAGAAAACCCAGTGGGTCTCTGACATTAGGATTTTCAAATGTAATAGCTTGAGGTGTAGAACAAATATATCTAGATTTGTTGATTAATCTTTCTGGTTTACCATTCTTTTCTGATAAGACTGATCCTACATGAGCTTTATATCTAATCAAAAAAACAAAATCGATGAGAATCAAGGTTAATGATGATTGATTAGGTGAATAAAAAACCCGAATTGGAGAGAGAGAGAGAAAGAACACTGAACTGGTATAGTGATGGGATCATATATCTACTAAAGATTGGAGGAGGAAACAATCCAATTTTATCTGAAGTTGAGTAGTCTTCTGTTTCATTTGCGAATCTAAACTTTAATACACCTTCAGCTAAAAAAAGGTTACCAATAGAAAAAATCAAAAAGAGTGCTTTCAATATGTTGATGATGTTCTTGGAAGGAAATTGAAGGTTTAGAATGAAAACTTACGATTTAAATTTTTCATATCTTGAGATAATTTACTAATTGGATGTTGGGGATCAGGTATATATTGAAAATCGGACATATCTTTGCAAAACAAATCAACATCAATTTGCTTTGGATTCTTTTAGTTATTGGACCGCGTCAAAACAATAAGAAAAGAACCTACGTCTAAACCTAACAGTATCAGAAATCATACCAACCGCTTCAATCTTATAAACCCGCTCAATTTCATTTCCAATTTTACTTTTTCTCTTCCGTTTAATGATTTTGATCAAGATATTATTAGTTGAGATCCATTCACCCGGGATTGGATGTAACAAAGTAGATGATAATTTGGTAGAACCTAATTGTAATTCGATTGGATGATTTGGATTCTTGAGTTCAAGTTTTTGATTCAATGATTTTTGACCTCCTAATTTTTCAATTATTCTTGAATGTGATGTTTTGATTGATTGATTTGGTGGAATGCTTATTGGACATTCTATTGAGATTAAGTTGGTTTGTGATGGTAATCTTTGGGTGAATTTTTCTGTTGAACTTTGATTTGAAGTTGAGTTTATCGAATCGATTGAATCATTTATCATTGCTCTGTTTCCTTTTCTTTTGGATCGTTGACTTGATAAGCTAGGATGCCGATGAGGATATGATGAGGACGCGTCTTGCAAAAATGGAGAGTTTTTGAAAGACTTTATGCCGACTCGAACAAGTCGGGTCCCGCTTGAAACCAGTGGACCGGCTCGGGTTGGCGTCGGACTTAGGTCGACGTCCATACAGGACTTAAAAGAAGCTTAGGTGTATGTATACCAAGTCAATCACACACACCTTAACTTAAGATAGATGTATCATTTTTGTTAGGTAGAACTTTCAACCATCTTTCTCAAAGCTCATTCTGTTCATGCATAATCATCAGGCATATCTTTTCTCAACTGATCTTCAAGATATTGACAAGCTCTCAGAAAACACCAGACATCTTTCCAGGACTCTGGCTTTCCCCTATGGATGTGTCTGTTCTAAAAATCTGACAATTTTTTTTGTCAATGTTTATGGGTCATGGATGCACTACACTGTGGGTTTATGATAGCTAAAGTCGTGCAAAAGATGTGTCTAAGAATAAACTAACTTTCACCCCTCTAAAACTACTGCTTCCTGAGATCTCCTGATGTAACAGTCAAACTCCAATGGTTGGATTTTAGAAACATTTTGTGTCTTTGTGTTTTACGCCGCAGTGAGCCAAGCAGCGGACCTGCAACTATGTTCAGAAGATAGCCCCAACCCATGCGCATCTTTTCCAGTGCTTGGGATCTTGACAGAATGAGTGGTGTGTAGTGTAGAGCCCAAAAACCAAAAACCAGGTCAGATCAGACACCGCCATAGGGGGACACCAGATTCTTGTACATAGTCTTCAGATGAAAAAAACTCAAAAAGACTTGAATGATGGGGTTCTGTATCATACACATTCAATCATATTAATCTTTAGTGGCTCTCAAAGTAGACCTGGTTTCTAAAAACCCAATTGAACCAGTTGGCTTTTTGGCTGGGAGCTGTCAACAAATGTCACACTCATACTAGGTGCCTTTTTTTTGGCCCAGGGCCATGGCCTACACCCGGTGTGGCTTGCCATGGTAAGGTCCCTTCTAGCAAGGGCCTTACCATGGCACCACAGTAAGACGTTGTGTAGATGTTGATCAGCAAGAGTGACTTACAACCCAACATGTCAAGGTTCAAGAATTTATACACCCTATAAATGACACCACCAATGCCACCATCCTCTGGGACTGATGATATTAGCCATGCCAGACAACACAAATCCAACTCTTCCCCATCAGAGCATTCAAGAACATTTTCAAATTGTTTTTGGATTTGGCTCAAGTTGAGCAATACCTGATTTCATGGATTTTGCAAGCTCCTTACAACCAAATCAAACCATTACAGAATTTGTATCTCCATAAATTACTTGTGCATCATGTTCATATCCACATATACCAAATCTGCAACAACTTTCAATCCTAATTGACAACCATTGAGTAAAGCTTTCTTCTCTCTAGTTTCAGTTCTTCTCTTGCATGTCTTTATGCTGATAAAAGATCTTCTGAAACAATTGCCAGTAATCATCTTTGTTTAGAAGTCTTGACAAAATAATCTTCTGCAAGATAGAATTATGATATTGTAAGCATAATATTTTCTATTCTGCTAGAATGACCAAGATGAAAAAAATATTTACCACCATTTGGAGTGATTATGTAAGCTTCATTCTCTACAAGGCCAAGTTGTGGAAAACTCACTAGTTTTTGGCAGGCATCTTGGGATTACACAACTGTTCAGAGTGTAAGATATGTAGACTGGAAAATGTACTACAATTTTATCACATTGAAATATTTTCAACATCACAAGGGCCAGGAATTCAGAGTCTTGATAGCCCACATTCATCAACTAGGTCCTGATTTCATAGAGCATCATACCAAACATGAGCAGGCAATATGTTCTGACCATTTGTCAAATCCACACGCAAGCTATGGGCTTTCAGAGTTCTTTCATGCCTGAAAAAATGGATCTCAACAGAAAAACAAAGTTCTCTTGTGAAGGAATGGAAAATCAAAGATCTTATAAGTAGACCCTTTTAAACATCAAATAAAAATCAGTAAGTTGAAAGTTCTTGACGGATTGATAGACAAAATGAAATGAAGAACTTGCCCTTTAAGCATCAAATAGAAAGTAGTAATTGAAAGTCATTGATGTCAAAATGATCAAGAACTCACCCTGTATAATTATGTCTAGGTATATATGTAGTATCCTTGTCTGCATCCTGCAAAGGCCACGGAAGGCCCAGGGCATGGCCTAAGCTCTTGCCCTTCCCTTGAGCCCTGCTATGGCACCAGGGGGCTTTGCGGCTTTGGACGTGAGCATGAAACAAATGTCAAGCTGATGCACAAATATACCACCAAAAGGCAACTGGGTCTACTGGGTCTACTTTGAGAGCCACTTCACTATCTTTGAGTTTGATGTCTTTTCCATATACACAAATTCTCTCTTTTTCCCATCATGAGTTAGAAATAATTATCAATTTGAACAATTAAATCTCCATATGTGATCATTTTAACTATAGCAGTGCCCAATCTTTTACACAAGACAAGTCTTCTTGATTCATCACCATTTTCACATATGATTCATCAAGATTGACAAACCTTAAGGATGGTTTTCATCTTTACGTGAATTTGAAGTAGGATTCCAGGATTGGGGTGTCCATTGATCATCTGGATTTGATGGGCTTGGCATAAAAGCTTCTAATGGTGATTGATTCATGACATTCCATTTTCTAACTCTTTCTTGTTGATCATTCATTGTATTAGCTATTATTTATTTGTTTTCAAAAAAAAGTTAATTTTGAACCAAAGAAGAAAAAAGTCATAAAAGATTAGATCTTGATAAAATTTGTATATCTCATAATGTTTAGTTTTTGAAAGAAGACTAACATTGTGCAGAGTTTGTGGTCAACTCGAGATCGGATGATTGATTGATATCAGGAAGAGCTTCTTGATTTCGGCTCTGATTTTGATTTGCTTCAATTTGATTAACCTTTTGAAATAAAATCTGTTGTCTGAGATAATCAGCTTCAAGTTCCTATAATATCAAAGATAACGTTAGGTTATCTTGTGTATGAATTATAAGAATTTTACAATTGAAAAGCCCGAGAAAAATGATTAACTTGGATTGTTGGTTCAACAGATCGAGTAAATGATAGCCATGCTGCCCATTGAGGTGGTAGTCGATTTGGATGATACCTATAAATGTCCATATCATCTTCAATCGATCACTTTGAACATGACTCTTGAATGATCAAATAACCTACAAAGTGTGATCGTCTCCGATAGCTTTGAATTCTACCCTTCGCTTAGGTCGTGATGGACCTGTGCAGAAACTCAATGATAAGTCAATGAGCCCAACATAGGGAGTCGATACCCCGCACCTGGTGATTAGATCACTCACCGCCAACCTAATCATATGATCCATCGATAAAAAATGTAAGTTGATAATGAGCCCTGCAAAGTCTTCCTTTGAGTCCAAAAGAGACTAGGCACGTACTGGACTAGGCTGCTGGTAGTATCTGACGAAATTCCGTTTAATCAACATTAATGTTGTGAAGAAGGAGAGCTAATCGACGAATAAAGGACGATGTTGATGAACAAACCGATTACCAGCCAAATCATGACCTATCAAATTGTAATCGAAGTTTTGGTCAGTCTGCTTCTCAACAAAAAAGAGTCAAATGAAAGAACTCACCTACGAAGTATTTCTCCTTTCCAACACCTAAATAACGTTGCAGGGAACGAAACAAGTTTGCCATAGGGAAGTAGTTGCAGTTGAGAACTTGATACCTATTATTTTGAAAATTCCGAGTGAACAGTCCAGAATTTGATTTGAAGGAGATTTCAAACTTCATGTGACATCTCAACTCATGTCTCTTTCTGAAACTTCTCCTTCATCAATTACATCTACTTTATCAGCAAACCTCGTATCAGGTTCTTTATCATTTGTATGTAGTTGTCTCTCTTATCATTCAATTTGTTGTAAAACTCTTTCAAAGCAGAAGCTTCCATTCCCCCTGGGCCCCATCAAAATATGTATGTAATTCCCTCGTTTCAGGAATTCAATGGGTACAATGAATCCCCCAAAGAGATGCTGATTTAATTTTACCATTAATGGAAATCTAATGAGTTTTGTAAAATGATGGTCAAGTTTTGCTTAAGACACTAATCCTTTGAATACATCAGTGTAATCCACAATCCGAAAAACATCAATGCTTGGAAAATATTCCCGTAATTTTAATCATGTCTTTGAATCCAAGATGTTCCAAAGCAACTTGCCGGGGTGTATGCTGTCTTAGGATTCACTTGCCTTCTTATGCCCCAACATCATACCCTAAAATGAATAGGTCATTCATCTTTGAGGATTCACAATTGCCAAATCAAAGCAATTCATAGCATCGGCCCATTGAGCGTGTAGAAATTACATGCTTCTTTCGCACTCGTCTCATCCTTTGCTCCCAGGTAAACAAGATCTTGAATAGTTGTATGTATCTTATTCTTTATTTAGATTGTCTCTCAAACTTCTATGTATCCTTTCTGGTCACTTTTTTATTAGTGTTTGTGTTCATCATCAGTGTTTTTTCTAACTTGATCAAGTCCCTCAATGCTCTGACATCTGTTATTCAAACAAGTAATCCCCATGTCTCAGCATGAGGCACCCAAGGTCTGCCTTATGGCCTGAAGGCACAGGCTCCTCTTGGTGGAGAGTGTCTTCTTTTCCTCTTTTACGTGTGCACACCAAGGATTTTCTGCCAACTGCTCAGCCATATATGCACTTGCTGTGCCTACACATCTTACAAGTAGAAGCATCCTTTGAGCTACATCAAACGTTGGCTGTGTTTGTTGATGGGCTGATTCGGTAAGTTGTCCACGTTTTCTTTTCTTCGGTGTGAAGGTCACCATACATCGTGACACGCTTTTATCCTCTTTTATCTCTCCAAGATGATACTCTTAGAGGGATTCCTGGTTTTCATTTCCTTCACACTATACTCATATCTCTTGCTCCATTCAACTCAGATTGACTATCACTTCTGGTACCTCCAAAACCCCGAGCAAGTCCTATGAACCTTGAGTATGAACAAGCAATGAGGTGGACCACCCATTGCTTTTGCCAAGTTTTAAATTGAAAAACAAATTATCCACAGAAATAATCTCAAAACGAAAAAGATGATATTTTGTGAAGATAAACCTACAGAATTATGAATCTCAAACTCAAATCTCATCAAGAATCAAAAACGAACAAGATTTAAAACAATTTCTTTTCAATCATGAATTTCTATAGGGAAGTGGTATATATTAAAGAAGCAAAAAAGATAATTTGTATGGTAAACTAAAGGAATCCATAATTATCTAAAACCTTCAATCAAAACGAAAAAAAAGAAATGAAACGCTTTTTGATAAAGTTCTACATCCATCCATCCATCCATCTATCTATCTATCAAAACCTTTTCATCCTTTTTTCCCCACCCAATGTGGATCAAGAACTACCACAAAAGAAACCCATCATTCAAAAATCAAAGTTGATAAACTATCTACACAAACATCATTCTTCGAAAATGGGAATCGATATACATTCAAATCTTTCAGCTTCCTTGATTCAACAATTTATCGAATTACTACAGGATCGATGGATTGGTCATTGGTTTTTGATCCAGCACATCGACTAAGGTCTCGAAGTTTAATACTACCAGTCATCGGTAATCTGGAAGCCTTATTCTTCATGAGATAATTATCAATTTCTACAGCAGCTGCTCGACCTTCTTGGATACCCCCTAGATGATCATCAAACATTACGATGAAGAATACTCAAGTCAGTACATGTTATCATCGCCTACCGTTAAGAAAGATAAAAACTCAAGTTCACTTACAAACTATCAAACTTTGACCTCTTCTACAATCACCAGCAGCAAAGACACCTTCAACACTAGTAGAATATCCAGTTCTTCCATTTGCTCCTGATTTGGTCACTACTCTCTTCAATCTCTTTTCTACATCGACCTCTAAAGCTTCTACTAAATCACTTTCAACTCCTTCAAATCCTAATGCTAATAAACATAATTCACATTCAAAGAATTCTTGAGAACCTTCGACTTCTTTCATCTTCCATTGGTTGTTCGAATCTTTCTATTATGGGGCAAAATGTGTAAAAGAATATTTTCTTCATCAGTATCAATTCGTTTTCTCAAGAGAACAAAAGGGAAAAAACGTACAGTCCATTCAACTCGGACCGTATTCAAACCTTTCAGGTTACCTTCATCATCAGAAACAACTAATTGTCACAAACGATCAGAAGAAATCCAAACGTAAATACAAAAAAACCTTTTAAAACATAACTAAAAAAACCACACTTACATTCTTTAGTAGCAATACAATAAAGCCTAGGATCTTTTCCAAAGAAATTCTCCACTTCAGAATGACCATAATCAACTCTAAAGACTTTAGGCCATTGAGGCCAAGGGTTATCATTGGCTCTAGTAGCAGGTGGTTGAGGTAATAGTTCAAAATTCGTCACTGATTTAGCTCCATGTCTCAATGAAGTTCCGATACAATCATTTCCTGTATCTCCTCCTCCAATCACAATCACATTCTTGCCTTTGGCTGAGATGTATTTGCCATTCTCAAGATTTGAATCTAATAATGAACTCGTGTTCAACTGTAAGAATTCCATTGCGAAGTGAATACCTGTTCATCAAACCATCAAAATCAGATTCATACAATTCATGAATGCTTGGAATTGAGAAAAGAATTTTACTCACCGTTCAAGTCCCGGTTAGGTAAATTGAGATTACGAGGCCATGTTGCACCTGTTGCGACTACAAGTGCATCATTTGCTGCCCTGATCTCCTTTACATCCATGTTGACACCCACATTTGCGTTAGCCACAAACTTGATTCCTTCATCTCTCATCAAATCTAATCGACGTTGAACGACTCGCTTGTCAAGTTTCATGTTCGGGATCCCATACATTAATAGACCACCGTGTCGATCATTTCTGTCATAAACAGTCACTAAGTGTCCGGCTCGGTTTAGCTGATCAGCACAAGCGAGTCCTGCTGGTCCTGATCCGATGATGGCTACTGTCTTTCCAGTTCGCTCCTTGGGAGGTCGTGGAACCATCCAGCCCATCTCGAAACCTTTATCAATGATGGCACTATGAGATAGAAAAACATATTAGTATTCTGATTTCTGTTAGAAGATATATCGTATGGAAGAATCACTTACCATTCAATGCTCTTGATTCCGACCGGAGCTTCATTGATTCCGAGCACACAAGCACCCTCACAAGGTGCTGGGCAAACTCGACCAGTGAATTCAGGGAAATTGTTGGTCATCAAAAGTCGATTGAGAGCTTCAAGCCATTGACCTTTAAAGACTAAATCGTTCCATTTCGGAATCACATTGGAGATCGGACAACCAGAGTCTGATTGACAAAAAGGTACACCACAATCCATACAACGTGCAGATTGGACTTTCAATTCATTTTCAGTTAATCGATTTGAAAGTTCGGCCCAATCTTTCGTTCTTGCACGTGGGTTCCTGTAAGCCTCATTTAACCTCTTGTACTTCATGAATCCTCGAGTCTTGTCTAGTGCCTCTACCCTTCGACCGGCCGTTTCAGCATCCACCATTGAATCTTCAAGATCAATCACAGCAGGCTCTTCACCAACCGGTTTGGCAGATGGTACCTCTTGATGTCCCGTGACATTCGACTTTGCTTTGTCTTCCGTTGGATTGTATGCATCCCCTTTGATATCAAATCCAGGTTGATCTTTCTTCGGATCACTTTCCATCGCCTCCTTCAAACCTTTTTCTAAAACGGCCTTGTAATCCAATGGCATCACACGTACAAAGCGAGGTAAGATGGTATTGAAGTTGTTCAAGACCTTGCGTGCTTGTTCTGAACCAGTCCAATGTTGATGATCTTCAATCATTCCTCGAAGTGCAGCGATTTCACTAGTTTCATTCACCGTACCAAGTTCTACCATCTCCAAATTAACTTTTGATTTGAAATCTTGAGCCATATCAAGTACGTAAGCAATTCCTCCACTCATTCCTGCTGCAAAGTTACGACCTGTACTACCAAGTACTACTACCCTTCCACCCGTCATGTACTCACATCCATGATCGCCTACACCTTCAACTACTGTGATTGCACCAGAGTTTCGGACCGCGAATCGTTCAGCTGCGATACCACGTAAGTAGGCCTCACCAGATGTAGCACCGTACAGACACACGTTACCGACAATAACATTTTCTTCAGCCTTGAAAGGAGATTGTTTGGGCGGGTAGACAATCAGCCTACCACCCGATAAACCTTTACCAACGTAATCGTTCGAGTCACCTTCAAGTTCGAGGGTGATACCCGGCGCAAGGAAGGCACCAAAGGATTGACCAGCCGATCCACGTAGGTTGACATGAATCGTATCTTTCGGTAGTCCCTTCTCACCGTAAGCCTTTGAAACTCGATGAGCTAGGGTGGTTCCGAGTGCACGATCGGTGTTGGTCACCTCAGCCTCAATTCGGACAGGCAAGCCTTTGAGTAAAGCTGGTTCGGCCTCATCGATGAACTTGTTATCTAGTCGCACGTAGAGACGATGATCTTGGTTCTTGGACTTGTATGTCGCTGCTCCTGGACGCATCTTCCATGCCGGTTTGAGTACAGCGCTGAGATCGAGATGAGCCGTCTTAGGGTTTCGGAGTGATTCATTAACCTTTAATAACTCAGCATGTCCAACCATCTCATTCAAAGTCCTAAAACCAAGTTTAGCCATGTATGACCTCAACTCCTCAGCAACGTAATAAAAGAAGTTGATCACATGTTCTGGTTGACCGGTGAATTTAGCTCGAAGGACTGGATCTTGAGTTGCTACCCCGACAGGACACGTGTTTCTTTAGACGTCAAAGATTGAAAGATCAGATCATGGGCTCATCATCTGATAAAGCTAAAACAAAAAATTCTAACTTACTGATGACATCGTCGCATCATGATACAACCCATCGCAATCAAAGGTGTGGTGGCGAATCCGAACTCTTCAGCTCCCAACAAAGCAGCAATCGCAACATCACGTCCGGTACGAATTTGACCATCGGTTTGTAAACAAACTCTTCCTCTTAAATCATTCAACACCAAAGTTTGATGTGTTTCTGCTAAACCTAATTCCCAAGGTAAACCGGCATATTTGATCCCAGTCCAACGTGAAGCACCAGTACCACCATCATGACCTGAAATCAGGATATGATCAGCTTTAGCTTTGGCTACACCAGATGCAACAATACCAACTCCGACTTCGGATACCAATTTCACCGAAACTCGAGCTCTTGGATTAGCGCATTTTAAATCGTAAATCAATTGTTTGAGATCTTCAATGGAATAAATATCGTGATGGGGTGGTGGTGAAATAAGACCAACTCCGGCAGTCGAATGACGAGTTTTGGCAATCGATTCGGAAACTTTGTGACCTGGTAATTCTCCTCCTTCTCCAGGTTTGGCTCCCTGTGCCATTTTGATTTGTACTAACATATTACACAAATTCACGTCAGCTCCAAAATGAAGTTTTGAACGAAAACAAAGATTGAGACCCACGTTCATCACTATCAGCCAGGTAGTTTGACGTCACACCAAATCGACCTGAAGCAACTTGTTTGATGGCTGATCGCATCGTATCGCCATTAGCCATGACCTTGGATCGTTCAGCATCTTCTCCACCTTCTCCGGTATTAGACTTGCCACCTAATCGGTTCATAGCCACTGCTAATGCACTGTGAGCCTCCATAGAGATGGAACCGTAGGACATTGCACCCGTACAGAATCGTCGAACGATTTCATGCCAAGGTTCAACTTCATCGATCGGAATTGGTTCAGCAGCCGGGAAATCAAAATCAATCAAACCTCGCAAGGTTACTGCTTCCACCTGTTTACGAGCATTCAAACTGTACGCGTCGTAGGCCGATTGGTTTTTCGAACGTACTGCATCTTGAAGGTTGGCAATTGATGCGGGGTCGTTGATGTGAGCCTCGCCTCCGTCTCTCCAGTGGTACTCACCAGACTCCGGTAGTCCGGGTGGGAGGATAGTCTCGCGAGAAGGATAACCACGTTCATGGTATTCAAAGGCGTCCATGGCTAATAGCTCGAAAGTAGTACCTTGGATCCTACTTGCAGTACCGACAAAACAACGCTGGATGACAGTTTCGTGGAGTCCAAGAGCTTCGAAGATCTGGGCGCCTTTGTAACTTTGAAGAGTAGAGATACCCATCTTGGACATCACCTTCAAGATACCATTATCAGTTGCGTGACGATAGTTATCCATTAGCTGTTGTGGGGTGAGATCAGCTTTGACAAGCCCCTCTCGGCTTAATTTGAGAATAGCTTCCATGACGAGGTAAGGACAAATGCCATCAGCTCCATAACCAAGCAACACACACATGTGATGAACTTCTCGCGCTTCTCCAGTTTCGACCAACAAAGCCACCTTTGTTCGATCCTTGGTACGAAGCAAGTGATGGTGAACTGCTCCAGTGGCAGCCAAAGCCGAAACAGCAATTCGATCGGCGCCCACTGTGCGATCAGACAAGACGATGATGCGACAGTTGGCACGAACTGCCTCTGAAACCTTTTCGCAAATTTGATCAAGTGTACGTTGATAGCCAGGCAGACCTTCTTTCTTGTCAAACGTGATATCAATTACCGAAGCGGACCAGGTGGGGAAGACCGAGTTCAAATTGACGAGTGCGTGTAATTCCTCAACACTGAGAATTGGACTAGGTAAAGCGAGTCGACCAGCTTGGGATTCTTCAAGAGCCAGAAGATTACCCTCAGCACCAACATAACACTCCAATGACATCACAATCGATTCTCGGATTGGATCAATTGGAGGATTGGTGACTTGGGCGAATAATTGACGGAAATAATCGTAGATCAATCGAGGTTGGAGGGCCATACATGCGAGTGGAGCATCGTTACCCTATGGATCAGAGTGAAATGTCGCAAGAAGACGTTGTGGTTCAGTTCTAGCAATAAATGTCTCGGGTATAAGTCATTTTTGAAAACTGACCATCGATCCTAAGGCTTCTTTACCGTCCGAAACCATCGGCCTCATCAAAAGGTCCAATTGTTCAAATGTGTACCCAAACGCGAGTAGACGGGGGTCTTCGGAGATTCTAGTAGAGTCAAGCACAATTGAAGTTCCAGTGAGATTGGCTTCACCTTGACGAGCGATGATATCAGGTAACCTGAGCATTTGAGATTCGACCCATTGTTTAAATGGACGTTTAGAAGCCGTTACGCGTTTTAGTTCTTTATCATCAACAATTCTACCTTCAACTGTATCAACTAATAGCATTCGACCAGGTTGAAGTCGTCCTTTACGATTAATTCGAGCAGGATCGATAGGAATAGCGCCAACTTCAGAAGCACAAATCATGATATCATCATCCGTAGTTACCCATCTACAAGGTCTTAATCCATTTCGATCCAAATTCGCACCACAGTATCTTCCATCAGAGAATGCGAAAAGAGCTGGACCATCCCAAGGTTCCATAACACAAGCAGCCCATTGATAGAAACTTAATTTATCTGGGTCCATCTCCGCGTTGCTTTGCCATGCTTCGGGTACGAGAATCATAATAGCTTCACTGTGTTCGGTGATTGGTAAACAGGAAAGGAAAACATCTAGAATTAGAACTCTCGTCTTGAAACACGCAACCTCTTTTCATTGTTCTCTTTCATCACACATCTGAACTATGTCTCTTTTGGCAACCCAGCCCTCAACGTGATCGAGGATAAAGACCATATATCAATCAAGAAAACCTTCCTTCCAAATCAACACAAACAAACCTTTCTTGCGGCTGGATGCTTGCGAAATGATACGGATCGGGTGAAGATGAAGAGAAATGGAAAACTAGAGACACCTATCCTGGCCGAGTGGGACATGAGAAATTAGACTTACGGTAAGCTCAGGACTCCATTGACGACCAGGAGTTCGAGAACGTTATCAAATGCAGCGGAATCTGATCCACCATTTTCAATGATAGGATACAACAATGATAATTCATCACCAAATCGATTTGATGCCAGATTGCCCTCACGAGCTCTCATCCAGTTTTTGTTTCCTCGGACCGTGTTGATTTCACCTATGAATATGTATGTAAATATATATATATATAAAGAATTTGCGTTGGTTGGTTTAATTTGAAGAAGTGGGATGGTGGGTTGTTTTGGTTTGTTTCAAAGAAATGCACAAAAACGTGGAAACAATCAATCAAACAAAGGGGGGAAAGCACAGAGACAAAGATGTCGAGGAAAAACAAATCGAAAAGGTGACAGGTGAAGAAGTCCAGGAGATTGAACATTTTAAATGAGGAATAATGCAGCAGGCAGAGGAGATAAGATTGATTGAAAGAAAAAAGGAGTAAAGAATCAAAAGGAACATTCATTAGATATCAATTGACGAAATTCGAGGCAAACAAGAAGAAAAAGAATATCAGAAGGGGGATTGAGGAGCAATTTGTTGAGAAGGGACATTGGGCGTGTTTGATGCATATAAGAGCAAATAAAGAATGCGTGAGCCAATCACCCTTTAGTTCAACAGCTGAGCAATGATATGAGATGATGATCATAGGAAGCAGGAATAGGAATAGGAATGGGAATGGGAATGGAAAAAGAAAAGGAAGCCTGACCATTGTGAGCAGCCCATCTCATGGGTTGTGCACGATCCCAAGATGGAAAAGTGTTGGTGGAGAATCGAGAATGGACCATGCAGAAGTGAGCAGCAAAGAGTGCGTGATTCAAGTCGTGAAAATAATCGTAAACTTGACGAGGACTGAGTTGACCTTTGTAAACGATGACTTTGTTGGAAAGTGAACAAATGTAGAACCAATTGGCGAGAGTAATGGTGTGAGTGGCGTGTTTCCTTAAAACGTATAGCTGGCGTTCGAAATATTTCTCATCAAAGTTGGATGAGTCTTCCGAAGTCGATTCTTGACCGTTGGCGAGGTTGGCAAGGACCACAAATGGTTGAAGTACCAAAGGTTCGCGGCTCAGCGCAGCTGGACCAAGGATTGAGTTATCTCTAGGTACTTCACGCCATCCAATCACCCGAAGATTGAGAGATTCGGCAATTCGTTCAAATGTAGACTTCTGATCGGCTGAGGTCTCGGGCGCATCCGGCTTGAAGAAAACGTTTCCGACGGCATACTGACCAGGTGGAGGTAAGCTGAAGCCAAGAAGTGAAGCCTCTCGTAGTAAAAACTCATGAGGAATCGAGCACATGAGTCCGGCACCGTCACCATCTCGGGTATCCGCACCGGTGGCACCCCGATGGGTCATGTTGCAGAGCAAGCCGCGTGCATCCCTCACGATCCGGTGGCTCGGTTGACCTTTGATTTGACAGACGAATCCCACCCCACAAGCGTCTTTTTCTTGATCGGGGTCGTAGAGGCCTTGAGCGGCAGGAAGAGCGCCTGCCCAATGAGATTCTGAACGAAGAACCTCATCAGCGTGTTGAGAATCGTCTAGAGGTTCAGAGGTGGATTCGTATCCTTGCTCGTCAATGACCGAGAGAGCTTCTTCGAATGCAGCATGATGGTGATCCAAATGTTCGTGCTCGGGCGAAGTGGGCAGCGTAGGTTCAAAACGAACAGTTTTTGGCATGGTTCGCTATGACTCAATAAATCGAAGTTGATGCTTGAGACTTGGTTGTTTTTAATAAATGATGTTGTGTGTGTGTGGTGGGGCCGAGAGAAAACAAATGATTCGAGAAGGAAATGGATGTCTGAAGAAAAACGGAAGCTAGCGATGATGATGATGATGATGATGAATGGTAATGAAGTTAAAATTAAAAGAGACTAACGAGCTGATAAGGTGTATCTAATGAAAATGCTACAATGAACAGGGCGAAGGATTTAGACGGCGTTGGGTCCGATGAGCGAAACAAGGGTTTGGGTAGTTATTTTTTTGGTGATTGAGATTCTGTTTGAGATTCAGTTTCGAGATATTTTGGAAAAGTTTGATGGAGGATGTGGAAAGTATCGGATTCAAATAGGTACTTGGTCTTTGTTGTAACTCGGTTTGAAGTTCTGATTGGATTGTATGCTGTTTTGATGGGTGAATGTCTTCGTTTGTCCTGCTCTTGTTGCTGATCACCAACAAAGCAAAATTGAGAAAATGTGACTAGAATTGGGTCGAAGCGTGTGTCCTTCAAGATCTGACGATTTCAACTCAAACTTTTTAACAAAAAATTAAAATTATTCACAGGGCTTAGGACTACTTAGGGTTTTGTCCTAGTGATAGCACTGTGTTTCTGACTTTAAGCTTTCCAGCAAGTTGGTCTGAAACTAATGTGAAAACCCAAGGGGCTGCTGACTTTGGTAAGAGCGACCTCGGCTCAAGCCAGTCTGTTCCAGATCGAGCAAATTTCAACTCTACGAAGTCAGGGGAAGATGACGACCGATAAGCAGGTTTCTAAACCGAAGATGGAATTTTATGAAACAAATCACTAAGAAAGAAATTGAGTCAAAACCAGCGATAAGCAACTTGATATGAATGTGGAGCAATTGAGCGAACCCCTTCAAATAACTCATTGACTCATCACGTAACTTTAGTCTTCATCATATCACTTTGGCTCAACTCCGGAGCATGAGGGCATGAAATCATTTGAAACATGAAAGCGATTGGCGAAGGGGACTCTCTCACCCCATCTTGACTACCCGTCGCGGTTTGAGGGCTATAAATGATGAGCACGTTCTATTCCCCAGGTTGGGTACGTTGATGCGGTAGCCTTGATGATTATATGCATACATATGAGATCATTGGGTCGACCGAGTCTGGAGCTATAACAAGACGAGCACGCAGTTCCACTCACACACGCAACTACACTCGCGCTTTAGGGTCGCAAGGGCTATTTCGGGGCAAATAGGAACAAGTGTGACTTTTATTCATCGGCTCGCATATACATGCCGATGGTGATGTTCTATGCCTTGTTTCGCGGGTTTGCTCGGAGAGGAATGAGCAATTCTCGGATCGCCCGATCGTTCCAAGCTCGATGGGCGCACAACGGTCCTCCCCCCACGTGAACAGCCAATTATGAGGTCATAGAATTTCGCAATCCTAAACAATCGATGTCCACCTTGTTGAGGATTTGTCCTCTAGAACAAATCTCAGCTGGCGTAATGTATGCGTTGGAAATGGGGCCGAACTCTCAACTCCCTTCATCTTGTATAGTCCCTGATTCTCCCTGATCTATGTAGAGCAGATGTTCGCTAGCTGATCCTTGCGATGGGCATGGTGGTGGAGGTGAGACAATTTTTGGAATGCTTTGTGCGGGAGAAGATCAAATGCCTACAGTCCACCTTTCAGGGATAGAAATTAAGTCATAGCAGCGAAAGGTTTTGTTAAAACGGAGTACCCTGTTGGTGGTTGATGCGGCAAACAACAACATGAGCCCAGGCGTTTAGAACAATACTGTTGTCTTTCTTTTAAAAATTCCCATTTGTAGCATGATATAAACTCGTCGTAATACGTTGTTGAGAGCTGTCCGCAGCCAAAGCTGGGATAAGTCTCGGTGAGTCATCTTGCTGATTCTAGCCAAACTTTAGCATCTGAAGAATTTTCTTGCCGAGCTTTCTTTGCACATTTGATTTTAAAGTGCATAACTTGAGAGAATGCAGTTCCTCCACTATATATGCAAATTCCTTTGAGCTTTGCAGCTCGAGGGAAGGGATTCGAGAAGCTATTAGGTCCCTCACAAAAACCTATCACATGTAAGACTCTCTGAATGCCGGGTACTGGGTGCTGATCTCCTGAAGTGAGCCTCTCATATTTTATGACGAGTCCTTTGAACAGTTGACATGAATCTGATCATTGCATTTCAAAGATACAAAAAAGTTCATAGAACTCAGGATTCAGAAAAAAGATATTAGATGATAAAAGGCCACAGACTGTTTGACAAGAAAGATCAAATCAATTCACAAACAGGTTGCTCAATTAATGAATGAATTCAAACAAAGAATGCATGAAAAGGAACTTTGAACAAAATATGAACAAATGAGTATCAAACCCATAAAAATTAGTTAGATTACTATTCACATTTATTTTACATCTAGTTGCTGATTGTCAATACAAATTAAATGTCAAAACCGCCTGAAAGATAAACATTCAAGAGGTGGATTTTAAGTTGAAACAGAACAATAATCTCTTGGTCCAGTTGGGTTCAAGAAATATCTACAAACACAATCAAGCAACCCAAATTCATTCCAAAAACAATTGAAATATTATAAAAAACTGATTATACGTACGTTGGCATGGTCAGAGCTCGAAAACCTGCTCCTCCTTGTACTAGAGCTGACATCAAAAGCACTGCAAGTTCGGTCCCGCCATCCAACTAAAATTGGGAGTAAAAGGATAACCAAATCAGGGGAATATTATGGGTACTGTTTTTAAAAGATTGAAAGACATTCAAATTGACTTACTGCTGCACTGATGATGTAACTATTCCCATTTTCAAAAGGTGATTCTGGGTAAGACTATATGGCAAACAAGAATTGTTTTTGCATTGAGATAACTTACTTATACTTTTGGTACCTATTTGTAACAAAAAAAAAATATTTATATGAGAATCAGAGAGCTATATAGTTGGATTCAACATCATCAAAAAAGGTAATCAACTTACCAATTTGAATGATGTCTTTTCAAAAACCATTGTGTATACAGTCCAATGACCATAGCAGTCATTCGACCTGATGTGGCACCTATTCAAAAACAAAGAAAAATGCATCAAAAATCAGAACCTATCTTAATTTCTTCTCATTATTTCAAGAGAATGAGAGTATTAGATATGAATTTACATACCTTTTATACAATTATACAAACTTGAAGTAAAAAGTGGTACATTCAACCTATCAAATCCAGCTTTGGGCTTCCATTTGTGTAATAGAAACAATGGTACTGGTACTACAAATCCTATAAGAAAGCAATATGGTAGGATAGCCTGAATGAAATCACACAAAGTGAAGAAAGAAAAGTCAATAGAATTTCTATTGACTGGATAACCACTAGAAGCTTACATATATCTGACCCGGTGCATATAGCCTTCTACTGAATAGTCCCCAACTGAAATTATTCAAAGAGGGATTATGGTAAGCTATAAGTCAATATGTGATCAATTTAGTAAACCATGCTTACGTTGTTGATTGAGCAGCTAAAGAAGTCAAAACCCAACTCTAAAGGTTGAACAGTTTCAGCAGAAGGAGTCAGCATGTTGATTTCTTGGATTGAAGAATCTGAATTGATGATTCATAAAGTAGGTTCAATTTATCCTAACTTACTGTGTACACCCCATTCCCATGACCATTTGAAAGTACCTCCCTTTGTGAGTCTAAAATTAATCTCATAGTTCCAAGATGCACAATTGCTCCCAATGATCTAAGATAAGATGATATAAAAAGCGTCAAGAAATGAACACCTTCTTTCAATAGAATGAATTGACTGACGTTCCAATGAATTGAGCACAGGCCACAGAGAGCTTTGAAAGCAAGTAAACAGCAAGTTTATTAGGTTTTATTTGAGAATGTGTTTATAAGATTTGCAACTAACCCCTGAAAGCTCAAATCTTTGACCTAATTTCAAATCTTGTGAAGTAGAAGTACATTTTGCAACAACTGTTCCTCCTAGCCTATAAAGTGTTTGATAACTTCAGCTTTTGAAGTCTTGTCTGATTTAACTTTATGGAACATATATTTTATGAAATTTCTTACATAGTGAAATTCAACGCTCCAAGTGCATTTCCTGGAAATAGAACACCCCTGAGATAATGGAATTGTCTGATGTTAATACATTGAAGCTCTCAATTTTTTTAAGAAAATTAAACTCACCCTAACATTTGGAAAACAGCTTGAGATTGAACATGAGAATACCATGTCAAATCAGCTATTATGTACTTTGTAAGACTAGATATTGAATACACATACCATTACAAGGTAGCTGAAGTCCTACCTCACCAAAAAAGATACCTGATGCTAAACTAATTTGGATTTAAGTCAAAGTTTCAGCTTCAGAAGTCAAGGATGACAAACACTAGGATCTCAAGGGGGAAACATTTTGAAATCTTTACCTGAAGACAATGGATGTGAGTAAACTTGTGATTGCTGCCCCCCATGATAAACCAGATTCACTACGCGCAAAACAGATAAATGCACTCAGAGAAGCTAGAGATGTGAGAGCAGCAAAAAAACTAAAGTGTGATTTATTTTTGTTATATGTAGAATGCAATCAAAGAGTAAGCAAACGAGTCAAGATGAAATGAGTGAGATAGACTTGATGTATTCTTACAGAGAATGAACTTCACGATTAGATTTACAAAGCTTTCGATGAGGATCTTCTAAATCAGGATCACTACTCTTTTTAAAAACAGTTGAAATTTGTTCCCAGTGAAACAATAAACCAGTTGTGATTGAAGAAGAACAAGCAAGTAATATACCAGATAGTCCCAATATCACACTTGTAGAAAATCTAGGTAAACCAATTTGATTGACTCCTTGAATGTTTTCTGTGCCATCCGGATTGACTGTTTGCGTAAAATTAAACGATGATCCTTCTGAATTTAGTAACTGAAATGAAATGAAAGGTAAGTTTCCTCCATCTATGAAATCCAAGTTGAGAAGAGATAGTCAATCATTATCAGACTCATCTTTCATGTTTTGTGAAGGCTCGTTTGACTAGAAAAAGATCTGACTCACCAAACCAATTGTACCGATAAGCGCCTGACATCAAAATTATTCCAAATGTCGTCGCACACCAATCTACAATCTATCAAAGAAAGTTTAACTTCAGAACCACGACCAGTGTTTAGTGTTGTTATCTGACGTACTTGAGCTTCCAGAGGTACAAAGAGAGGTCCATAGCTCCCTGATATGATCCAAATATAAATCACCAAACACTCCGTTATTGTTTTTCCACATCAACTCGATACTGCTAATCGATTGAAGTGTCTACATACCCACAAGTACCCAATCTAAGCTTGCAGAGAGTACTCCTAGTCCCTCGCCAACTAAAGATCCACCAAAGAGCTATGTTTGATTGAAAAAAGTTAGATTGAAAACTAAGAGTATTGAAAAGATATCTTGTGAAGAAAATTTCCAGAGGTTACTCACATGAGTGATAGCAGGTGTTTGAGGTAGCGTTAAACACCATGGACTGATGGCTTGTAAAGCAGGCGCAACATAAGTAGGAATAGCTTCATCTATAGGTCAGGAAAATAGTGGGACAGGGTGTCGCGTTAATACCCATGATATCTCAGAGAATACTGAGATGAATTTTGCATACAAATCAAAGCCGCTGTAAAGACTTTTTTGAAAGTCGAGACTTGGTTTTTGGTTGTTGAAGTGATTCTAGACATGTTTAAAAACAAAGAAATTGAGGGGAGTATACTTCTGTAAAAAGTTATTTTTACATAGTGTGCATGTGGTCAATAAACGTTTTTTGTGCTGAATTTTTTGACTGACTTACGGGAATGTCGTTCTTGCGGGGTAGATAAGGAATGGTCGAAAAAGGCTTATGATGTTTGGTTAGAAAAGTCGAAGTGAGCTATAAGATTCATTGCATTGCTTATGTGATGAAATGACATGACACTTACCCTGCTAAACCAAACCCGATCATTTGTATAGAAAATGATAGCAAGAGGCAAAACCAGAAAGCAGGTCTCTTTCCAAAAATTAAATCTTGAGCACCAATAACCTAAGAACACACAATAAATCAATCATGAAAGTTAATGGTGACCAAAGTTTATGGAACAAACAAACATGAGAAAAAGTTACTTACTTCAACGCTCAAGGTAGCAGCTGCACCACTAGTCGCCATGATGGCAGAAAATACAGTCTCTTTGATTGATAAAGGTCCAGGATTCCACCATCTGGGACCAGGAATATTTTCAACTATACGTCCCAGAACTAGACAAGCTACCTTTATGAGCAAGCCAAACATCAAGAAAACATTTGAGTAATTTTGGATGACTTGAGAGATTACCCATGAGTAAATCGATAGGTTGAAAGTCACTTACTTGCAGTACTAGGGCATGTACACTCATTGCAACAGGTTTGAAAACGAATAACTTGAAATTTTTCAAATTTTCAATCGAGTGTTAAAATCCTTTGCGATTTTTGAATTAGATAAGTCAAAACTTTACCTGAGCAATAGCTCCACCAATGCAAGTAGTCACCAACCCCACAGCCATTGATCTAACTGTCACCGTCACTTGAGCAGCTTGGATTTCATCATTGAGTGTTTCGGTATCGCTAAAGTCATGATCCGTTTCGACACTTTTAGACATAATCGGTGGTGTAACGAAACCTCTTATAAAGAACGAAGGTTTGAGATGAATCGAATTGAAGTCAAATATTGGGCCGTAAGATCTTTGATTTGAACAAGAATTGTGTTGTTATAGTGGTATGTTTCGAGTTCAGAAGAGCTTGCTTCGTATCATTGGGTTCATGTAATTAGGTGATTATGTATGTACTTCGAAAGATCCAATTTTGTTGTTCACCTGTTTTTGGTGTGTGATCATCGAGATATGTGATCATGGAGAATGGCGTAAAAACGAACGCGTGCTCCAGTCACCTTACATACCGACTTCAAATAACGAGACTGTCTTCGGTCTCATCACGACTGGTTGGATGAGTTAAAGATTATTGGAGTTCAATTGGCATCAGTTTACACTCTACATCGGTTCACCGGTGCATCGGTTGGTCAAGCGCGACAAAGATTTTTTTAGATTTTTATACAGTAGGTAAGACCCGAAACTATAATCTTAACAAAGTCCTGTCCTCTCGCCCACCCTCCCTCGACTACCCGTGAGCAGGATGGACTCTGGAGGGACTTTGTGAAGTTCGAGTCAAGTTGTACATAAAAGGATCCGTTGACTTGGCTAAGAGCATCCGCACTCGTTTGCGGTTGTTAACTTGGTCACGTGCGGTAACAACCGCTACATTAAGCAAAAAATGACTTAACTCAGCCAAATTTCGCACTCGTTTGTGTTAGTAGCACTGTAACGTTTGTAACTTTACCGATAATGCATGTGCTCCACAGTGGTCATGCAGTAAGGTAACATTCAATTTTTCAAGTACGATTTCAAGTTTAAGAAAACAAAGGCTATATTTGAATACATCTATTGATCTTGTGAAAATTATAAAGATTTGAAACTACACAAGAAAGATGAACAATCTGAACCAATCCAAACTTTTTTTAATGTTTGATTCAGCTTTTTTCAACTGTTTGGTTTGTATCTCTTGATCTTAAAAGTCTTCCAGTCATTAGTCTTTAGAATTCAATTTTCTCATCTATCTCTATACATATGTGAAGTCTGAAATTCTTCATATTGATTCGATTGGTTTGAAGTCGAGTTGAAGATTTTCAAACGACCTATTTTAGAACAAAAAAACAAAAAAAACAATCGTAAAAACATCGATTGGTGTTAAAAGGTCTTGATTCAATTCATGTGACTGGGTGAGAGAGGTGAAAAGACGATGTTTGTTGTTGACTTTGGTATTGGAGATTGGGCTGAGTTGAGTTTTTGGAGTTGTAGTTGCTGTGAACAGGTCGTGATGTGTGCTACCGCATGCGTTAGCCAATCGGTAGATTTACCGATTCGCTAATGCAAACTGATGAAAAATTAACTACCGCGGGGCTAATTGTTCACCGGTGCGGAAAAGACCCCGCGGTTGCGTTAAATTTAACCTTACCGCACTCGATTTACCGCACGAGTGCGGATGCTCTAACTATGTATGAAATCCCAGGTGTACGCTTCGCAAGCGTCTACTCGCGCATGCGCAGGTTGACAACGTCTGCCTCGCAGGTTGTTTGAGAGCCTGGGTTGTTCGGTAGCGCCAACTTGACCGTCATGAAACCTGAAGATCATGGGTTTCATGAATTGATTTGTTTTCTTCTTGAAGCCAAGTCTATGGCAGTAGGCAGGTCAACCTGCCAGATTCTACCAAAACGGCCAACCTGACAGGTTGACCGGTTTGGCTGGTAGACCTGAGAGGCGCAAACTTAACAAAGTCCCTCGCGCCAAAGGCCCGAGGCTTGAAAGTTTGTGAGAGGCGTACGCTTGAAAGGTTTTCAAAAAACCTGTACCGAACGGTTCAACACCCAGGTTGACATTTAAAATACCTCTCAGGCGTACGCCTGGGCATTTGGCTGGGTCAACCTGCGAGGTTGACGGCAACCGAACGGGCCCTAAGATACAAACAAGTTCATAGGATTCGAAAACAAAAACAAGATATTAAATGATCAAAATCTATTTGAAGAGCAAGATAAAAGAATTTCACACAGATTGTTGAATTGAAGATTAAGTAAGAAGAAAACTCTAGCGAGTATGATGAAATTTGAAGAATATGTAACAGATCAAGTATCAACGTCCCTAAAGAAAAGTTTTATTTTTTATCCGTTCTTTGATTGTCAATGTTTTGTACTAGTAGTCAGAATTTCAAAACTAGAAAAAAAGATAAAAAATTCATATCAAGTTGAAGTATAACAATAGTCTCTTGGTCCACTTGGATTCAAAAAATATCTAGAAAAACAAACTCAATTCAATACAAATTCTCCCCAAAAGATTGAGAAAAGAACAATGGTTCCGTACGTTGGCATAGTTAGAGCTGGAAAACCTGCTCCTCCTTGTACTAGAGCTGATAGAATAAGCACTGCAAGTTCGGTCCCGCCGTCCAACTAACACATTGAATAATAGAACAACAGATGCCCATAGACTTTTGTGAGTATGTTTTTGTCAATTTGGAAGGACGTTGGAGTTCACTTACTGCTGCACTGATGATGTAACTATTTTCAATTGAAAAAAGCAGTTCGTTGTAAGAGTATGTGTTGAGCAAGATCTATTTTACCAGGGAGGTAACTTACTTGTACTTTTGGTACCTATTTGTAAGCAAAAGATAGATTTATAAGAATTAGCAAAGTAGCTGTATACTTGCTCATCATATAAGGAAATTGACTTACCAACTAGAATGATGCCGTTTCAAAAACCATTGAGTATACAGGCCAATAAACATAGCAGTCATTCGACCAGAAGTGGCGCCTGTTTAACAAAGAACACTTCAACATAACAGCTCTATCTCTTCTCCTCATCATACTATGAGGTATGGTGATCTGAATCAGATTTAAATACCTTTTATACAATTGAACAAACTTGAAGTAAACAATGGAACGTTTAACCGATTAAAACCAGCTTTAGGTTTCCATTTGTGTAGTAAGAATAATGGTATCGGTACTAGGAATCCTATGATGAAGCAGTACGGCAGAATAGCCTGAAAGAAATAATCAAAAATGACAAAGGAAAAGTCAATTGAATTCCAATCTTGTAGGTAAACCGGAAAGAGCTTACATATATTTGACCCGGTGAATATAGCCTTCCACTGAAGAGTCCCCATCTAAAATTGTTCCAGGGATTCAGGGTAAGTCATAGCTTATTACAGGATCTATATGGTAAGTTAAACTTACGTTGTTGATTGAGCTGCTAAGGAAGTTAGTACCCAACTCTAAGAGATAAACGTTTTCATCAAAAAAAGTCAGCTTGAAATTTTTAGACCTAGGAATCTGAATTCAAAATTTGTAAAACTATCTTGTGGTGAATAAATGGTGATTGAATCCTAGCTTACTGTATAGATACCATTCCCGTTACTTTGTAAAAGTACCTCTCTTTGTGAGTCTAGAATCAATCTCATAGTTCCAAGATGTACAATTGCTCCCAATAGCCTGAGGCAACAGAAAATAAAAAGTATCAATATATGGTCTCATTTTTTTGGAGAGAGAATAAGGATAATTCACTAACGTTCCGATAACTTGAGAAAATGCAACCGAGAGCTTCATAAAAATGGAAAAGGTAAAAGTATCAGACTTGATCCAAGAACGGGTTTTCATCAAATGATAAAATTTCACACTAACCCCTGATAGTTTGAATCTCTGGCCCAATTTGAGATCTTGTGAAGTAGAAGTACATTTTGTAACAATTGTTCCTCCTAGCCTACAAAGTATTCAGCCACTTCAGTTTTTGAAGACTTCTTTAAAGTCTTTTGATAGAATAAATTATTTGACATTCTTACATGGTGAAATTCATAGCCCCAAGCGCGTTTCCTGGGAATAGAACACCTCTGAAATAACGGAGTGGTTTGATTTTGATATATTAACGCTATCGATATATGAATACTATCAACTTGTGTTTCAAGGAGATCATGCTTACCCTAACATCTGAAAAACAGCTTAATTTTGCAAATAAGAATACCATTTCTAATCAGCCGTTTCGTACTTCGTAAGATTTATTAAATGCGCTTACCATTACAAGGTAGCTGAAGTCCCACTTCACCAAAAAATATGCCTGATGCCAGACTAGGATAAATTCAAATTCAATTTGAAAATTAAAAGAAGAACATCTCCAGGATTTCGGGGAGAAAGGATTGAATTAAAACTCTTACCTCAAGACAACGGATGCGAGTAGACATGTGAGTACCGCTTCCCAAGCTAAACCCGAGTCACCACCAGCGAAACAGATGAATGCACTAAGAGAAGCTAGCAATGTGAGAGTAACAAAAGCTCTAGAGTAAAATTCATTGAAAACGAAGATGAAGCAAAAATAATCAAATTCAATTGATTGAAGAGATAAGAAATAAACCAAACCAAAACTCACTGAGCATGAACGTCGGCATTAGATTTACACAGCTTTCGATGAGGATCTTCTAAATTAGGATCACTATTCTTTTTAAACACTGTTGAGATCTCTTCCCAATGAAATAATAAACCAGTCGTGATTGAAGAAGAACTAGCAAATAATATACCAGATAATCCTAGAATTAAACCTGTAGAAAACCTAGGTAAACCGATTTGATTGACACCTTCAATGTTTTCTGTACCATTTTGATAGACTGTTTGTGTAAAATTATATGAAGTTCCATTTGAATTCAGTAGTTCAAATGAGATGAAGGGCAAATTCCCTCCATCTTTAAATCCGAATTGGGGAGAGAAAAAGAAGCATCATCAGACATTCATGAGTCTTGGATCACCATTTGAAAAGATTCAAAAAACTCTTACTCACCAAACCAATTGTAGCGATAAGCGCCTGACAGGAAAAATATTCCAAATGCCATTGCACACCAATCTACAATCTATCGAAGAAACTTAGATGTTAGACCCAACGCCAGCTTTTGCAGTATGCTGTTGTCTGACGCACTTGAGCTTCCAGAGGTACGAAGAGAGGTCCATAGCTCCCTGATATCCGCAAAACAAAAACCATCAATATTTCCGTCATCGTTTTTCCAAGTCAACCTATGATCACGAATCTGCTGAAAGTTGCATACCCACGAGTACCCAATCTAAGCTTGCAGAAAATACACCTAGTCCTTCGCCCACTAAAGATCCGCCAAAGAGCTATATTTGATTACAGGAGGTTAGATTCCAAAACATAAACGTTGCGAAAGGATATTTTGTGACGAAGATTTGTGACAAGTACTCACTTGGGTGACAATAGGTGATTTGGGTAGCGTTAAACACCATGGACTGATGGCTTGCAAAGCAGGAGCAAAGTAGGTTGGGATAGTTTCATCTACAGGTCAGGGAAGTCATTCAAAAGGGGTAGAAGTCAGCCGTTAGAATATTTCAATCTTGGAGAATGTTCACTTTAAGATCAATTTTAGAATTGAAATCAAAAAGCAAGATTGAAATAAATTTGCATACAAATCAAAACTCCCGTGAAAACTTTTTTAAACATCGAGACTTGTTTTTTGGTCGTTGAAGTGTTTTTAGACATTGATAAAAACAAAGAGATCGAGGGGAATATACTCCTGTAACAAAGGTACAAAATTTGAAGGAAGTCAATAAATGTTTTTTTTTGGCGTTAAACTTTAGTTTGGATCAACTTACGGAAATGCTGTTTTAGCTGGGTGAATAAGGAATGGACGAAAAAGGCTTATTTTTCGGAAAATTCAAAGTACTTGAGCTATAAGATACATTGCATTATGAAATGATTTTTCACTCACCCTGCTAAACCGAATCCAATCATTTGTATGGAAAGTGAAAGTAAGAGGCAAAATGAAAAAGAAGGCCTCTTCCCAAATACCAAATCTTGAGCGCCAATAACCTAAGAGCACAGACCAAATTAGCTATGAAAGTCAATGGTAACTAAAGTCTATAGAAACAAAAGAACAAGCGGGAAAGGTTACTTACTTCAACGCTCAAGGTAGCAGCTGCACCGCTAGTTGCCATGATCGCAGAAAATACAGTCTCTTTGATTGATAGAGGTCCAGGATTCCACCATCTGGGACCAGGAATGTTTTCGACTATACGACCCAGAACTAGACAAGCTACCTTTATGAGCGAAACACAGGTAGAGAGAATATGTGAGGAATTTTCAATCACTTGAAATATGAACCATAAGGAAATGAATGGGGTGAAAGTCGCTTACTTGCAGTACCAAGGCATGTACACTCATTGCCACAGGTTTGAAAACAAACAACTTGATTTTTTTGACGCGTCATATCCTCAATCAGCTCTCAAAATTCACAATAGCTTTTAGGAAAAGTAAGTTGAACCTTTACCTGAGCAATAGCGCCGCCAATACAAGTAGTAATCAAACCCACAGCCATTGATCTAAGAGTCACCGTCACTTGAGATTGATCTTCATCTTCACGTTCGATCAAAATTGGAAAGTCATCCAATGGACCCGCTGAGACTGGAACATAGGTTTCTTCATTGAGTGAATCAGTATCGTGGAAGCCTTGATCCGTTTTGCAAGTTGTTCGCATAATCAACCGTTCAATGGAACGTTTTATAAAAATTAAGGTCTGATGCAAATCGAAACAAATCAAGGTCTTGTGTAATGGGATGCTTGATTTGAAAAAAGTAAAAAATTGATTGTTTTTGTAGTATTTTTCGGGTACAGAAGAGCTTGCTTCCTGTTGATGCGTCCAAGTGATCGAGTATGCTACATGTACTACGAAAAAACTCTAGTTTTTTTGTTTATCTAGCCTTAGTGTGTGATCACGGAGAATGCATTGGAAGATAAAAAGGTAAGAGGGATGTTGATCCGGGCAATGGGTTCTTCAGGGACCCTATTGGATACCGACTTCAATGAAACAAACTTTCTTCAGTCTCACCACAGCTGATCGGATGAGGTATTCAAAAGATTTTCGGGGTTCGTTGAGCATTAGTTTTACATGGATTTGCTGAGCACGAGTGGGATGTTTCTACTAGAGGCAGGACTCGAACTGAATGAAAGAATCAGTTGACTTTGATGTCACAATTTTACGCCGGTGCAACATCCAAATAACTTCAGTGTCTTCGATGAGGATATAGTGTGATCAACCAATAGAGACATTCGATGTGGAAAGCTGAGATTTATAGGATCAGCTTGGTTCATGAAACTATACCGACTAAAATGATCTGCTCATAAATACATACATACGTAGATTCAACAAAGTCTTTCTGCTCGGAAAAAGATAGTGAGCTCGCGAGAGAGGGACTTGAAGGATCTTGAAGCTTATCTTCGTATTTCTCGCTAAATATAAATCTCACTTGGCTTCACGTAAACGTTCGGTTCTTGTCCTCAAGGTGTTTGTTTACCTCTCCATCGACCTCCAAACCACTGCTACATGCGCATGTTGGAACCCCAGCCTCAGGAAAGCCCGGGCGCAAGCTTTGCTTTCTAGATCGCCATGCTTAATCCCTCAAATGAACTTGCGTTATTTTATCTTTAACTAAAAAGGAAGCGGTAGAGAAAGCTTCAACTCTGACTCACACAAGACCTGAATGCCATTATCTTGAGCTCTAGATTGAAGGAAGTCACAATCTGATCATTATTTCTCACCAGAGTAGAGGCTTTGATCGGAGATCGAGAAGGAATAGAAAGAATTCCAAATTGAAATTTCTATATATGGCTTGTTGATCTTTCTATACTTTTCTTTATTTATGATTCGAATGATGAGGGTCTTAAGGTTAAACTTTGGTATTTAAACAGTTCATTGCGCTGTTTACCTTATTTACATTTTCTTATCAAACTTGAACATTTGTTTCGCCGCATCCTCTTTAACTTCATATTGTCTCGTTGCCCTACTCGCTCACCGTGTGCAGCTTTTATCCCCACAGGTTAACCGCATTTCTAGTTTCCAGACTCACACGATTGTTAACAAAACTTGAGTGTTTGACAGCTTAAAGCTACAAACCCAACAATTCTCAAATCCCGTCCCTTAACCAAGATAATTCCTATGTAAAATATTTTCAACTTTTTTTGTATTTCATTCCTCAAATCAAACAAGATCATCATCATCATTACCCAACATGAAGTATCATAAAAACAAAATTTATCAAAATTCAACATCATGCTTTCTCTGATATAATACACTTATAAAGCAATTGAAGTTTCACTAACAAACAATTAAACTAACTAATCCTAAAAGCCCCTTCAGAGAACCCGAAAAACGTATATATATATATCATTTGATTAATACATAAAAATATGTACATCATTATCAAAAGTATCAAACATAGTGTTTTGTATTGCAACGAACTTGGAAAAAAATCTAAGACCACTTCACTTTAAGCAAACGGATCGAAATCAGATAATTCAACTCGATTTGTTTTATTTGGTGGTTGTATAGGTTTACTAGGAGGAATGATATTCCAATTAATAGAAGATCCCATTGTAGCACCATTCATTCGGACAGCTTGATGATTTGATGTTTGAACGATTTCTGAAAGTGATGAACTTTGTGGTTGAAGTGGTGGTAGCCCAACAAATGTATTGATTCCATTCCCCATACTGGTTCCCAGTGAAGGTTGTAGTGGTTTTGAGAGTGAGTAAGATGTGGATGTGAGGTTTGTATTAGCACTTGATGGGCGAGGTGGTAGTTGTGAGGCAGCATGAGTTGGAGGTTTCATTAGATTCATCATCATCGAATTCGACATTGGATTGGGAGGGGCAATAGAAGCTGGTGATAAGGAGTTAGACGACGTGACACGAGATATTGGATGTGTCAGACTGCCTCGACTGATGATGGAAGGTTTTGAAGTGTTTTGTTGAGATGTCGTATTCGGGTTCCGGGCCGATGATGAGCCTATACTAGCTCGTGGGTTGGATTGTAAGTTGGGGGTAGGGTCATCGAAGCCCCAAGCACTGAAGGTTGGACTGGTATTGTTGGCATCCGATGGACTGGCAAAACCATCATATTCGATTTGGTCTGAATTCGTTTGTCTAGTTCCATTCGAGCCTGTGACCGCCGATTTGGTATGGCCGGCTCCCTTGACCAAAGTCTCAAAATCGACCTCACCGTGGTTGCCACCAGGCTGTGAAAGGTTTTGGATATGAGTAGTGCTCTCCTGGAGCCGTCTAGCTTCGAGAAGATGTTGGGCATGCTCTTCTCTGACTCGCTTAGAAAGTTGATCGATCGAATTCATGAAGCGCTTGAACTGATCTAAATTCAAGAGTGGTCCAATTGACATGGCCCATAACTGAGGTAAGATTAATGTGGCAATCGCAGTCAATTCCACTTTCTTGCCCATCTCCTCATGTACTGCCAAGGTGGCAATCATAACGGCTGGTTCTTTGGTTTTGATGCGGGCCAATAACGGCACAAGCTTTTCCGTTAGGGTGAATTTGTCGAGGATCTTGACCATGGAGTGAAAACATATCAAGGTGTTGACTTTGATGGAAAGTAAGGTGGTTTTGGAAAAGATCATCTGTTCAAAATGTGGGATAGAAGATAATCAGTATCGTGTTCAAGCGCTTCGTTAGCTTGAAATCGCAAACTTGTGCTGTAATCCAGATTCACTCAACTGTAACCTTGGGGAACAAAACCTGTTTGACATGCGTGTACTACGATTGAAATGAAGTGTTGTGATCGGTCAACGGGATCACTTAACAAGATTAAGCGACCCGAGAACTTACGTCTAGCGTCTCGCACAGTGTAGGGATCACCCTGAGTGACTTTTCTTGTAGAGCAGGCACATCAGACTCCAGCGCAAAGTATATCAAAGGCATAATTTGTTCTCTAAAGACTTGGGGTGTAGATTTGCTTTGAAAGATAGATAGATTATCGAGAAGAGTCAGAATACTCTGAGGTGGATCTTTGATCGAGAAGAGTGGAGTTAAATGTGGTAAGAGTTCCTCTCTAAACGCATCCTGGACTCAAAAATAGACCAAGACACGATCTCAATCAATACACCTCCTCAATAGGGTGAGGATATCACAGTAGCAGGAAGTGCGAAATAGCACCTACGGTGTCCATCTTCTGGCCAATGTAAAATATGTTGGGTAATAGGAAAGGTAAAAGAATATGTTTTCTCGTCTCTTCTATGAGACTGGGTAGGATCTTCCGGCGTATGATCTTGTCCGAGAACTGAGGTAGTATCCTGGTGAGGCCTTTCATGAACTGAATCTGTTCTTCTTTTTGCTTTGAATTAAATGTATCACGATCCAGGAAAGCAAGGGTAGAGACGAGTACGTTGCTGCTGAAATAGCGGGACGTCAGAAAGGACGAAGCCGTGAGTCGAGTTGAGGGATAACGAGTGATAAGCTGCGAAAGAACATCTACACCGACAATGGAAAATGGCGAGCTCAACGACCATGAAAAATGTATCCACAATACTGATGATGAAAAGTGAGCTTTACCTTGTACATCATCCGGTACCCGAGCCCAAGCAGCTCTCAATACACCCATATTCTCTACATTCCGCCGCATCCTATCCAGGTCACCTTCATTATAAAACGGAGGCCCACTTTTGGTATGAATAAAGTGAAGAATGCAACCCAGACTATACATATCATTACTAGTTGTTAACTGTTCATCGAGTGCATATTCAGCAGCAATATAATCGAAATTCTTTTGTACTGCCGCTGGGAGACGAGGATCACAGTCCGGAAAGGACCAACGAGTGGCTTGACCATCAGGTTGTTTGAGATATTGTGACAAGCCAAAACCTGATATCTTCCAATCACCCTGCAGAATTAAAAAAACGTCAACAGAGTCAGACAAAGTCGCATCATTGAGAATCTGTATTTATGGACTCCTCACTTTTGCATTGATTATGATGGCATCTGGAGTCAAGTTCGAATGAACAAGACCAGCTGATTCGTGTAAAAATTGAAGTCCTTTTCCAATTTGAAGAAGACCCTTTTGAGTCTGAGCAATTTATAAATCTCCAAGTCAGTTTCACCGCGCAGATTCATGTGAGTGAGAAGATAGTGACAAACTTCAACTTCATCTAATTCAATAATTGACTGAGATTGATGTGAATTTGAATTGCGATAAGGGTGCAACGAAGGGCTAGATCTCGAATTAGATGTGTGGTTTATGGCGTCCTTTAAAGATGCTGTGACAGGCTCGGTAGCAAAAACCATTGTAGTCCTGTTACCCATCCCGATGGAATTCAGTATCAAGTATACCTCCATGATATGTGAGATTGATGAACCTAGTCTCCTCCAAGGGCTCTACAACTTCTAAAATACATGGATGACGTAAACGAGAAAGTGAAGATGCCTTGAAAACGTTGAGAGATCAGATCAGGTTCCTCGCAACAGAACTGTGCGTCTTTGCCTTCATATTAAAAATATCATACTGACCTCTTTCTTCAAAACATCGATGGCTTTCTCCAATGGTGTTTTACTCGCGCCAGTATTACTGCCGCGCCCACTCAAATAGCTATGATTGGAATTTTGAGATTCTAATTTCTTTTCAAATGTCCAAACACTGACAAGCTTGTTGGTGCTATTGTGGGTAGCTCTGCGAAATAAGATCGAACACAAAGGATCAGTGATTTGAAGAGGATAAGAGAAGAAAGATGAGATAATATAAAACTAACCTGTGAACAGCCCAGAGACCAATCCGAACTGGAGGTGCATAATTGGAGGCAGCTGAAGAGGAAGAAGGTTGGCCAGCTGATGGAAGAGTCGAGATTGAAGTTGAGGAAGTTGAGAGGATGGTAGATGGGTTCGGGACAGCAGTATAAGATGATGAGACATTTGAACGGTCGAGATAGGAAGCAGCCGCTTTGAGATAACTAGCCATGTGGATTGAGATAGGTTGGTGTTGAGGCTGAATGGTGATGGTGTCAGTGATGTTGTTGCTGAATGAAAAGGATCGACTGCAGACTGTCAGAGTGAATGTCACAGCTATGTATTACACAAACCTGTGATAGGTATTCTATCTGCCTGCATTTGTCGGTTTACAAGACATCATGCTTATACGCAGGAGGACTTAAAGATGTAAAATATGTCCAAAACCGGTATGGCAAGCTGACAAAACCGAACCCAGACCTTTCACCAGCTCAGCGCTTTTTTCGAGACCCCCCGTGTTTCATCCGAAATTTTTCAAACGCCCGTGTTTCAAAATATTATATTCCTCGATGCAATATGACAATGCGATTCCTGCAACTATTTTGGCATTTGCGCAATATTGCGCGCGTAGTCTTTCTCAGAATGGTGACCAAGACGCTCATTCACGCCCACTATCGCTTGGCCAACCCAAACTCCAATCTGCTCCCGCTCCCAAACCCCAATCGCAAAGGTTCTTCAACTGGTCTATTATGCCCTACCTGTTCAAGTACGATGGTCTACCTCAAGACGAACACGGACTCCTGGCTTATTGGGGTATGTCCTATGCCATTCATCCAATCTCTTCCATTTTCCTATCTAACGTATTACGGTACGACGGGCTATTCCAATCCCACAGTGTCCAACCCCCAATAACGACCATAATTGGAAGTGGTGGCGCTGTGATCAGCTCAACCACGAGCTGAGCCTTATCAACCTTGGTGTACCCCGGCCTATTGTTTCCAAACCCTCTGACTGGGGACCCAGAGTATCACCCCAAGGCCAACCCCTGGAACCCAAACCAACTTCCGCCTCATCAGCTTCACGTGGACGTCATCATCCCTACCCGGCTCCCGCTCTCCATCCCTCTTCTGACACCGCCGGGCAGAAGAAACTCGAGTGTAATCGAGTTTACGAGGGTAAACTATCTCAAAATCACAAGAAAGTGGCAAATAAAGAATGTCCGCACCAATATTGCCTAGGTGTACGTGCCACTTCAATACCATTCCATATGTCTCTTACATAATTGATGTAATTGACAACATATCATTTGTACCAGTGTTGCACTGCATACGGCTCTGGTATTTGTAGCAAACACAAAGTCTTGCCCAAGACTTTTACACCCCCGGTGACAGCCAATCATGGTCTTACACCGCAGCAAGTCCGTGATTTAGGAATCACCCACCAGCACCTCACCGATCTTAGGCTTCCGACTCGAGGTTCAACACCAACTACTGATCTTTCAGTTGCACAACGTCAAACTCCAGCTTCACTAGCCCGACCTAATCAATGGGCTCAATCCGCTAACTCCCTTGGGCGACGTATCCCCATTGAAACAATGGCCATGATCCAGAAGGTCCGTGCTGAACAAGACCAAGCCCAAGATCGCCGGGAGGGCCCGCTTGTTGATGTAAACAAGGTCGCCACCATATCTTTATGGGTCAATGTGAGTTGTCTTGCACCATCATCAATGCTTGCGGCTCACATAATTTCTTCCTTTTTTTTGCTCACCTGCGCTCGCTAGTCAGATAGCCCGAAGCCAATAACTGCTTACTTTGCTCGGTGGCCTGTTGCATATCTTGACGAAAGCAAACTCCTTTTGCAGGCAATTTTGAAGGTCGTTGGACCCCAGTGGGATCGCACGCTGTGCATTTGGGATGTCACACTGTCTGCCTGGGTAAATTTTTCAGTATGATTTCTACGCCCATAGGTCTTGAACTGACTCAATCCATTCAATGGGGCAGCGCGATACAATGGTTAATTACCCACATCGGTGCCAACCAAACCAACGTACAATTGTTGTTCAACTTCCCACTGTGGACGTCCCGGCATCTGCACTGTGCTGTGGGCATCAAGCACCTCCCTCTGTCCAACCTCTCTCTTTCAATGGTCCTCCACCAGCCTCCACGGTGCATACGCCGTTTCCACCCACTTCAGCATTCCTATCTGCTTCAGGACTTCCCGCCGTCAGCGAAAATACACTCTCCCAACCAAGCACAGTAGTCATCAACAATCAACAGGCAACCACATCAGCATTATCGCAGCCCCCAAAGGAATCACTCCCTATTGTTCCGCACCAAACAGATGTCACACAACCTACTACAACAAACAGAATCACGACATCCAGCTTGGTTTCCGCTTTGAAGTTATCGTTGGATTTGACCGCGCCAACACAATCTAGTGAACAGGCAGCTCCCGGCGATGAACATGTTCCTGTAAGCCAAAGTAGCAGTAGCAGCGTCAATACACAGGACACCACGACTATGTACGTTTGTTTTTGTTTTTCCTGTTCTTACTTTGTTCTGACTTTGACGTTTTTGTAGGTCACCATCCCCACAAGATGTTCCTTCTCTTCTTCAAAAAGGCTGGCCATCCTCATCAATCCTCGTCTCAAAGGTGCTTGCGTGGTATCGCGACTCCAAACAGGGAAGCATCAAGCAGACGTGGTCGAATCATTTTGGCGGCCAATGGAAGTTAGTACCTCCAACTGTATATCAATATCATGGATGGATCGAGGATGTCAAACCGGATGTCATGTCCAATCACTTCAAGAATAATGAGCAGGCCACTGTAGGTGATGCTCGTCTAGTCTGGGCAGAAGAATTCAACAGAAGAGCAGGGGTTACTAAGAAGGCAGGCTAATGCTTCCCACAATTCAATCACAACTGATTAAATACTAATTTTCAGGGTATTCAATCAAATATTCAATTCCCTTGGTTTCAAAATTCTCTATCTATCTATTAGCTTAGCTTTGTTTGTGAATTTCAATCTGTACCCTTCAATATGTAGTCCGTATTTTTGAAATCTGTACCTTCAAATTTGTATCTTCATGCAATCATACGTAACCTTTTTTCTTGACTTAACCTTTCGGACCCTGGGTGGGGGACGGCCTGAGCTTGATCAACATGAGGTTGGCGCTTCAATTCGATGAAACCCTTTCCCTTGATGACCTTATGGCGTTTGCTTCCATCAACCTTACCCTTTCTCAAGTTTTTCGTAAAACCCTACCAACAACAACATATTCAATAACTTGACACTTCCACTATGATGAAACGAATATATATATTTAAATATATCTGCATCCATCATGCAATCCCTCCACCGACCGACAATCATTCCACAATCATTCCACAAATGCCTTACACTGCCACCTTGAGCGCAATCCTGCGTACCACTACCGAAGTATGTGATGTGTTCCTATCTGTTGATCATTTGTTCCGTGTGTCACTCACCTCTAATCTTTCCTCGTAGCCAAGACCACTCGCAAATGGACACAACGGCCCCATCGCGTGGCACAGCACACAAACCGAACTGATTTTGAGTGACGCCAATACATCAAAAGTGCAGCTCAACGCCTGCGGTTTTGGCGGCCAGGGGGACTTGCTTGCCCTTGGTCACACGTATCACCTCTCTGGACCTTTTGGCCAACGTCCTTCTGGAGCATCTGTGATCAAGTACAGCTCCCTAACTCAAGCTGACATTGGCATCATCCCACCAGAACAAGCCCAAGTCGCGGGCAAAGCAATTATCAGTGGAATTGGGAAGGTGATTAGTTTTGAATATGATGATGTTGCTGATGAAGATGGATCTTGGAACCTCACTATTGATGCGGAACATAATTACTTCGATCCTGAAATAAGCACACTGACCAAGATATCTTCATGAAGATGCATTGATTTAAGCCAAATTTGATCACAGACTCAAGAGGCATATGATTTCATCATAACATATCGTTTTGGACATTTCACACCTCCTACGGGGCTGTGGAAGCATATCAAGATAGCCACACCAATGTGGTTCCAAGGAATGATCATTTCCAAAGACCCTTTCTCGAACCGCTTCACCGTTCAAGTTCGTAGTGTCATCTGATCCACTTATACTTATCAAACACAAGATTCTAACTTTGAATCTCAATCACTTTCCAACCGTGAAGGTGCTCAATCACACGGTGTTTGACCACATGCAGGGCGAAAATACCAACCCTTGGGCATTATGAATTATGAATATGGAGGATTAGAGATGATGATAGATAGATTGGCTGTGCAAAACCTTTTTTTGATCTGAATCTAGTTCCAAAGGAATCAGTTCATACTTGTAATCATGATCTATTACTTGTAGCCCATTGCCCTCGGTTTTTTTGGCTGCGCACTGCTCAATCACTTGAAATGAAGATCCGTCATTTCATGTTCTAAACTAACCAGCCGTTTACATGTTTAAAGATTGGAAGGCATCACTTACATTTCCATTTGTGTCAAAACTAAGGGAAAAGTAGAATAACAAAAACAACCACCATAGTGTCATTACAACATAATATCATTTGTTGTAAAGAAAACAAACGGCGAAAAAAGTTTCACTACAAGGCGCATTCCCCAATAAATTGAATGCCAGGCCTTTTGTTCAATTTCTTAGTAAGCCAAGCGTTTTGCATGTACACCATCTCTTCCAAGAAAAAATTGTATGTGAGAGAGTGCATATTTCAGCACATTGAAGCATATCCACCATACCAGATATTAGTCAGTTCACCTGCAGACGCATTAAAAATCCAGTGCCCGCCCTCTTGAATATCGGGAAGAGTTTAGGGTCGGTAAATTTCTTGCAGAACTCATCGCTTTCGGCGTGGGAGCGGTGGTGAAAGGGGTCTACCGGTATCACCGTACCAAGGAAGGGGGTTTTGTCCGTCTGGCCAGCGTAAATGTGCTCGGTTAAGCGGCATGCGTTGTCGTAGAAGACAACTTCTGGAATCCCGCGGGGGAAAGTTTCCTCAATAAAATCCTGTGGATCGTTTCAGAAGAGAAGGCAGATGAAAATGTGATTTTATAAGGAGAATTCATCCTTATACTGACCTTTACTGCACTCACCAATTCCGCGTTGTAAAAGGTTTTCCTTGCCAATACAATGCCACACGTGGACACAATGAGCTGGTCATTGTGTGTGCGCATTCTTGATAACAAGTATTTACCCGAGGCTTGTGATTCACCTCCATCATGTGCGCGTTCGTGGGCTCTTTGTGACTCATCAGCCTGTTGTAAACCGTCGAGGTCAGTGAACTCGCCGGTTTCGGCATCTAGATGAACCGTTGGATCGCTGGGCAGATTGGAACCCGGTCGGTTAAGAATGCTGGTAAGTGAGAAGTTCCCCTTTGTTCGTTTGCTGAAAGCGGCCCATGTGTTGATGTGGTCTACGTTTTCGCATGTGTCACTGTTTGGAGCGAAAGGGGCAGAACAAGGTTGAGCTCGGCATAGTCCACCTAGGAGGATAAAGTGTTCAGGGCAATATCGGTCGTTGATGTTGTCAAGTTTGTTCGTACAAGGCCCTTTGGGAGGTGGCAGACCTAAATTGGTAGCTATGTCTTGTAGTTGCTGGGTAGACGCACTGCATCGCCAATGGCCAATGGTCAGGCCATCAGTAACAACTGCACAAATCACTGTCCCACATGCCACCAAGAATTCAGAGCAATCACTGCAGACATTATTCGGGTTCCCCAAGTGGGCAGGGAAAAATGATTGGGAGTATGATTTGTCATAAAATGGTCTATCACTCCACACCTGAGCCATAACACCCACACTACATATGTGTAGCAGGCTCAGTGAATATGTGGTTATCATGTACATACAGTTCTGCTCAGTTATCTGCTCATCAGGACAAGTTATTCATATGTAATACATGCTGTAACTTCTTTCAGATTGAAAAAAGCTTCCAAAAGATTGACTACATACACTGACTCAATGTTTTGGTGTGATCTCATCAACTCAACTGCATGTAACACACTTTCTGTTACTAAGACATAGCTTCAACAATATTGCCTGAGCAGCTACAGAATTATATGTAGTGAATTTTTGGGAAAAAATTTCAAAGTCGAAAAAGTTACATGTGGTATAACATGTGATTTATTTATTCTGATGGGCAAAAAACTGAGCAGACCTGTATGTACATGATAGACAACTATTGACTTAGCTTGCTGCACATATGTAGTGTGGGTGAAATGGCCCAGGTGTGCAGTATTAGATTCTTTTATGAAAAACTGTACTATTAATCATTTTCCTCTGCCAAATTGGGGAAGTTGAATGATGTTTACAGTGAATGATTAGTTAGAGCAAATAATTAATTTGATGATGAGATTGATTAGATTAGAGTGACCTACCTCGATAAACGGGCTCGTCAGTTTCTGGGTCCACCCCATCCGAGGTCAGTTGGACACAAGTGGAGCAAAAATGGTCTCGGTAGCGCGTTCCTTCAACCAACAAAAGTTCTAAATGATGTTCAATTGCAGAATCAAAGCGGATTGTGTCGTTTCCACTGGAGGAGACCGCAAGGTGAGTACCCCTTCGGTCTGCGTGGTTCATCAACGAATGGAGTATTAAACCATCGCGACACATTTCTTCAGACATGGAAGGGCTAAACTTTTGGTTGAGAACAAAAGTTGACACCCGCTTTTCATCCACAAATAGCTCGTTGTACCAGTTGACTAGATTGAAATGGGAAACGCTACAATCAAGAGAGGTCAGTTGCCAAAATCACGATTTCAACGTTGATTAGGAGTGCACTCACTGTGCTAGCATCTGTAATACTCGGAACATCAAGGACAGTCGACGAGTCATGTAATAATGACAGTGGATGTGCAGGAAATCAGGGTTGTGACCCATCGTCTCTGAGTAATAAATTTGCATGTTATCTCGTGTGTAATAACTTGGTCTATACGAAGTACCACATGCTTCGTCTGGTATCACACACATCAGTCATGGGTCAGCGCAATAAGGCTATGAGGTAGGTAAGACCGTACTTGAACAATGAAGGATAACTGTTTGGATGGCGTGTGGACCGTCGATGTTGTACAGATAACCATTCACGCGGGAGTGAATGTGTAATGTTGATGATTGCCAACAGACAGTGCAGTTTGAGATCAGTGCCCGCAGAAATCTTTCAGGTAATTTGAATTTGTCAGTGAGTTCGTGTTTCAGACCAAACTCGCGGATCACATCAGCTGGGTCCATTTGGCAATCCGACAGGTGGGGTGAAGATAGGCGCCATAAGTCTGGCATCAATTCGGCTGGGTATTCAGGCGATAGGGCGGCCTCCAGGAACGGCATTACCAAGCTATTACGAGTGGCAGTCAGGCCTAAGTGATTGGCCGCAATATGTTGGACTCGTGCCGCAAGGGATGCGAAGTTGACAAAATCAGATACAGTGAGGGTCGCTGAGAGGTGAGGTGATTGGGTCGTTAGTTGGATCACAAAATCACGCAATAGCATCATTGTGTTGCGTGTTAAGGGTGACGGGATGGTTGTTGATGCTGTTTGTTCAATGATTATTAAAGTAGAGTAACACACATGTATGGAGTATGTAGGGGTAGGGTCCGCTTAGGCCTCACAGATGTGGGTGTCACTGGTTGAACATGTGGCTCCCACATACTGGCCACAGGGCATTTACCGTGGGATTTAATGGTCCAAGGGTATTGTCATACTAGTGATAAGCTGGTTGTGAGTGTAGCTTACATACATAACTGCAATGTGTAATCACAGTCTAAAGCCATGATGCATGGTTTTATGGGGGAGTCTCAGGAGTATCAGAGCTGCACGCACCAATCCCCCGATTCTCCGGGCTACCGAACTCCACCTCACGCTCACACCCTGCGCCTTTTTTGTGGCCCAGTGCATGGCCAGGGCCGTGGCCTTGTGTGGTGTGGCCCAGTGTGGCCTTCCATTTAAACAACCCCATATCCTCATCTTTAGTCGCTACTCCCTGCTTCAGACAATCATTAGGGAGGGCTTGATTGAGGTTGGTCACTTGTTATTAACAGATACAAATGTCAAATAACAGGACTTTTACATTACAAGTTGAATTCAACGGGTCAGATTCTTTTACTTACTTCCGTTTGATTTTCAGTGATGTCACAGCTGTTTACCACATTGTCAGATTCCTTTCTTCTTTGTTAGGCACTGGGCAATGTTTTGACGAACAAAGGATGTCGCCACCTGAATAAGTCCATGAATGCTATGGAAGATTTCCAAAATTATTTCAACAGGAGGTATCACCCAGATTTTGCATATCCAAGTGTGCTGTTGTCTTGGACTGATCCGGCAACCAACGGTGAGACTGAGCCGACCACTTGCTTATCCTCCACAATTTTCCATCACCGCACCACCAGAGGCCCAAATGCCAAAGGGACAAACATCCGTGTCGGGCTTCCTTATGGAATCCACACAGGAAGGGCACAGGGCCACAGCCCCATCGGTGAAAGTCGTATCTGGCTATCCCAAAGTGGTACGCCAGAGGCTTTCGGTTGGTGAGGCAACCCAAAATTGAACAACGAGTCCAACATATGGTTGGAGCTGGCTATGCGCCACCCTATTTTTTTAGTGTCATAAACTTGACTTAAAAACATTGGGAAATTTGATACTGATTGAACAGGGGCTGAATTGCTTACAAGTTATTTAAACTGCGATTGAATGATTACTTTGCAGAGCCTCGCCCAGTCCCTGTTATCATTAGGGACTGGGCGAAGCCCTGCACAATTGCAATTCAACTGTAGTTGAAAGCAAGTTGCAAACAGTTAAGCCACTGTTCAATCAATATGAAATTTCCCTATTTTTGTTAGTAAGCTTTATGACACTAAAAAAATAGGGTGGCGCACAGCCATGACCCTCCCTAAGACAAGCTGTCTATTCAAATTTGCCCCCTCACCTCAGCCAAAAGCCTATGGCAGAACGCTTCTGGATAGCCCTGTCAGCCCTGTCAGCCCTGAGCCCTAATTACAGGACCATGGGCTAACAGTACCATATGTGATATCAAAATATTGTATAAAGCCATAAGCTACATCTCAAGGCTCAGTGTCAAGAGCCACTTAAACACATGTATGTAATGTATTGAATACATAGTAAACCTAACCCAAGTGTCAACCACAAGTTGACACATGAATAGACAAGACTCACACGCCAACCACAATTTGACGCTGGAACTGAGACTATATAAACCCCCCCTTCTTCCCTAGAATCACCCCCCATCTTTTACTACAATCACAACACAGAACCACATTTTACTTGACTCCTACTGAGAGGATCTTCAAGTACGTGGTTAGTTGTGCAGCTTGTTAAAGACCATTCTTGAGCATTACAGGTTCCATTGCTGAACACCCAAGGTACTGATTTCTACGAGCCCAGGGCATTCATTGTCTCTAGAAATAAACCTTAAAGTAGCAAAGCTTCCTCCTTTTTAAGGAGTCTAAAGGAGCCTTCAGGATCTTTGGTTTACCAAAGTGTAAAGCCTGCCCCTCGCAGTCTCACAAGGATAGAGCACATTAGCTCTTTATTGCCCTTATATTTCCTTTCCCTTTCTCAAATCCTCTTCTTAGAGGTCAACTAGCTGTAGTCTTCACTTGGGTGTACCACATGAAGACCACACCTTCCTTTTTGTACTCTATTTTCTGTGAAGAGTACGCCTAACAGACACGTACTCCTCACAAGCCCCATATACCTTTCACAGGTTGCTCTGGCTTTGGTTTTGGTGAAATCATCTGACAGTCAGGGCTCTTGTGCTTGCAGGAGAAATTGTGACACTGTATGTTTGAATAAATACGGTGGCTCTAAAGTGCCACTTGAGTCACATTGTCAAAATTGACAAAAACAACCAAAATGACCCAAAACAAGCCCCGGTGAACAGGTGCCAACCCAGGACAATGTCCAGATCCGTGGCAATCCTCAATTCATTGATGTCTCAGTCCATCTTATCAGCACATTATTTTGTTGATATTCATCAATTTTGTAAGAATTGAGAGATGAAAAGAAGAGGATAATTTTTCAAGGATCTGACAATCTTGTTTAAATAAGTTGGACATTGTCAAAAATGCAGTGAATGTTCAATTTATCGCCGGACATCCAGCAAAATGTGTCTCAATCCGTGATTCCAAGTAAGGTATGCTATGTATATGAGCTGAAAGAGATAAAGCATCCTCAATTTCTAGGAAGACCAGCTGTTTTTAAGAGAAATAGAAGGGAAATAGGAGGATCCCTACAATAAACTTGTCAAAGACAATCGATTGATTCAATTAACTATATACATTGTATTCCTATAAAGTTTGTTTTCATTAATCCTATAGCATTATTGTCTTGATCTTGGAGTTCATCATGCTTCAACAACTTTAACTATTGTTTTCCTCAAGTACTCCGCTGAAGTCGATGATGAAAATTTGGTGATGAGAAGGCAAAGGAGAATCTGATGAGTTGGCCGAGCAGGGTTGGCCAGGGTCGGCACCTGTTCACCGGGGCTTGTTTTGGGTCATTTTTGATGTTTTTGTCAATTTTCACGATGTGACTCAAGTGGCGCTTTAGAGCCACCGTAGAATAAATGAATTTGGTCAACTTCCAGGGGATTCATGCACTTATTGAGGTGGCTAAATCCTTGGTCCGTCAAAACCTTGCCCAGTCCCTATTATCTCAATCACAAAACTTCATAGTTTGCTTTGTGATTTTTTGATGCCCACCCTCTCCTCCCTTTTTGGTTTTAGAAGAGTCTTTATTTTCTGTTTGGTATTTGAATTGATTTGGTTTATAGGTGATATTAGAGCATCCACAGTGGTGGGCTCCAAATCGGGGCTCCAAATCAAGCGAATTCAAATTTGGTGTGGCCCCAAATCAATCCAGATGCAGTTGTTTGGGCTTCAAAAGTGTACATTCTATGTGTTTACACACACTTTGAGATTGGTGTGTGTGGGCTTACATGTGTGAGGTATGGGATTGAGCAAGTGTGGGAATTTGGACCCCAGCTTTTTGTTGCCAAATTTGTAGCCAAAAGCTCAAAATTTGAAGCCGGCTACACAGAAAGTTGGCAACGGGGACAGCCATTGCACCAAAACATCAGGGCTCAGTCACCAAATTTGGTGATAGCCCCAATTTGGAGCCCACCACTGTGGATGCTCTTAGTTATTTAAGAAATCTTTTGGTTTTATTTCTTTGAGTTTAAACACATATACTATTATTTCTAGCAATGGTCAGAGATTTTATGTTTGTTTAAGTTATCATACTTAAATAGTTTGGTTCTTTTACAATACATGTAGTGCTGTCTGCTGGCCACCCCGTGGGGTGGTGGTGGGCTCCAAATTGGGGCTCCAAATCAAGCGAATTCAAATTTGGTGTGGCCCCAAATCAATCCAGATGCAGTTGTTCGGGCTTCAAAAGTGTACATTCTATGTGTTTACACACACTTTGAGATTGGTGTGTGTGGGCTTACATGTGTGAGGTATGGGATTGAGCAAGTGTGGGAATTTGGAGCCCGGATTTTTGTTGCCAAATTTGTAGCCCAAAGCTGAAAATTTGAAGCCGGATACAAAGAAATTTGGCAATGGGGATCGCCATTGCACCAAAACATCAGGGCTCAGTCACCAAATTTGGTGATAGCCCCAATTTGGAGCCCACCACTGTGGATGCTCTTAGTTATTTGAGAAATCTTTTTGTTTAATTTCTTTGAGTTTAAACACATAGACTATTATTTCTAGAAATGGTTAAAGGTTTTTACGTTTGTTTAGGTTATCATGCTTAGTTTGGTTCTTTTACAATACGTGTAGTGCTGTCCGCTGGCCACCCCGTGGGGTGTTAGGTTTAGGATGATTGAAATTTACTGTCCCTTGGTTCAGACCAAGGGTTTTTTTTGCCACTCCTAACTAATAGTTCATTTCACTTAGTTTTGTGAGTGCTACTGTATTTAAAACATTTCCTGAATTCAATGCCCTTTGAAGGCCATGAAGGGGTCAGGGTGAGGGCCAAGGCGTGGCATAAGCCCTGGCCCTGACCATGTGCCCCTCCAGGGTGCCTCATGGCTTTGTGGCACTGGGTGTGAGCGTGAACTCCACCAAGGGATCTTACTTCCCATGTTGAGATTCTTGTGTGAGTCCCATCGGGGTATTTCCTGAAAAACTTCCCGGACCTCTGCTTGCAAATCTCATGAATAAAAGCACTATAAGTGTTTAATGAAGATGGAGTGTAGCTCTCTCTTCTATCTTCAGCCACTCTTGGCTACTCTTGTAGTTTGAGGCCAAACACAACTGTGGCGACCCCACCTGAATCCCTTTGTGCAAAACCCCAAAATTTGGTACCAAATGGTAGTAAGGTTTTGCCCAAATAGTTTGCCCGGTGAAGCCGGCTGAAACGTGAAATTACCAAATCCATGATCTCCAGACCCCCCGTGATAAGGACACTCTTCCATTCCCCTGAGCTGGAGGGTCTTTTGGGCCAGACGCACACCAAGGCGCATTATAAGAGGGGAGGGCAGACATGGGATGGAGGACTCCAGCAGGGGCCAAGGTTGGCTCACAGAAACCAAGCCCAGGATCAGAGTCATTCACTACCCCAACCTGTGCCCTCTTGACTACTTGTAAGGAGGGTGCATTACTAGGGGACACTCAGAGTCTTTCAAGGATTAGGCACAATTCATGCCTTCTTGAGACTCAGTTGGTCTTGGAACAGCCAGAACACAAAATCTAACCCATTCCAAAGCCCAGTCAAGCTCAAGGAGAACAGACTCTGCAGACCAATACTAGTCAGAATCTTTTTGAATAGCTTTTTGAACCTTGTCCCCATCTTCAAACCCAATTGCTCCTCTTTGCCTGAAAGCACTTCCCACTGCCTGGCCCATTGCTATTATTCACCCCTGTTTACCAACTTCCAAGGCTTTTTGTTCTGTCCACAGTTTATCTCCCTTACTTCTAATATGACTAATTTTACATATGATCTTTCCTTTTGTTCTCACAAGAACTGCATTCCTGTCTGAAGTGATTGCCTATTGTATTAAAAGCTTCTGGACAAGACTCTTTGTAAAGACTTTCTTTGCATCATCAATGTATCTGTTGAAATTATTTGATGTGGATTTGAATCAACATAAGCAGAAGGTAACCTGGACAGACAGGTGTAGAATGTGAGCTCTATGATAAAACTCAAATATAAAATGATGAACACTTGGCTAAAGAATCAACACCTTATCTGAAGTAGTGCAGAGAGTAAGAGAACAAAAATAATCTTGTGCAATCTATTCCTAGCAGGCATTGTAACATTAGCTAATAAAGAAAAGAAAGAAGGATGTGAGCTCTATGATAAGACTCAAATATAAAATGATAAACACATGGCGGAAGAATCAATGCCTTACCTGCATTAGTGCCGGAAGTAATAAAACAAGAACTATCCAAGAAACTTGTGAGCGCTATCCAGGGAACAATTAGTGGTAGTACGAATAAAAGGACTTAGTCTTGAGCAATCTACACCTAACAATCAGGAAGGACGAGAAAGCTCAAGAGAGGTTGGATATGAGAGTCACAAGACACAAGGCACAAACACATGGAAAACTCAGACAAGGGGATTGATACAAGCATACAGATATACGCGCACATATAAATATAATGAGCTCTTCTCGAAGAGCAAATCCACATTTTCTAACCTCTGACATCCCTTCTCACATTCCATAACTCTTCCCCAATTTGAGTAGTTAATTCATCTGTCCCTTCATGATTAAAACCATTCCTCATGTTAACTACCTGACCCACATACACAATCGTACACATAACTAACCCTGATTCGACACATGCATACATAGCCATTGAAAGTGAAGGACCTGAATATGAGCACGTACTTTTCAACACAACATCTGTTGAAAAGATGATATCATATTCAAAGAAGACAAAGCCGATTAGCTTCCCGAATTTTGGTCTATCTGGTTCTGATCTATTGAACGGTGATGTATATGGCTGCAGTAGAATTACCAGGAATGTAAACCAACATGAGTGAAAAGCTGTTTATTGATTATATGGTGAAACTTGCACAAAGACTAACCATCATCATAACTCCCACGTTGGGCCAAAGGGGCGGCGATTGGCTGATGATTAGATGCACTATTCAAGGAAGTGATCCTGGAGAGCAGTTTTAAGTAACGGTCACACAGTCAACTTGGATTATTCTTAATTCTTGGTTTTGTTCTGGTATACAAACCTATAGATACCCGCTGGTAATCCATCCTGAATAAAGAATTAGTGCAAGAGGTCAATATTCCCGGTCAATGATTCCTTCCGAGTAGAGTAGGGCTTACTTTGACTTCTAGCGAGACCTTTCCATCTTTGTCTGCAGCACCATCAACCCCTGCACACGTTTGAGGTCATAATTCAGGATGGATGAAGCTCATGTAGAAGAGATAAATCAAAATTGACCTTTGAAGAACTTGAACTTGAAGGGATCTAGAATTTCATTTGAACTAAGACTCTGGACTTGTGAAATCACAATGTGGGTGTGACCAACCACGAACAGAGTTTTGGGATCAAGCTGCGTAGGAGCAGAATAGAAACTGCACATTTCGTACCAAAATGAAAAGAACGGGAGAGATGGCGTGTATTGCTTCATCAGTCAGTGCGTGTCTGGAAATTCTACACAAATCATATCAAGATAAAAAATGCAAATTATCTACAAACGTTTTCTCCGGATTTGTGAAACTGCCGGTGATGAGATTTTTGATCACCAATGTCACTTTGAAAGTCTTGCCAGGTGGCAATTTGTCCATGTTTTTAGGAGATTCAAATCTACAATGCGGTAAATTATCTTGACCAGGTATCTGTGTCAACGAACATGATGTAATATGGTAACCTCGGTCAGTGAGCTGCTCTCGGGATTTCGTAAAGCTTTAGATCTTCCGACTCACCATCCCCATTGGAATTCCATTACAGGCGGGACCATTCTTGCTTTGAGCGCCATTCAAGATCACAGCATTGTGTGCCCTTCCCTGAGTTGATATGCAAAAATTGATCTGATTTCAAAGGAAACATAGGAAAATGTCAAACTTTCTGCGTCAATTCAAGTGAAAAAAAACTACGAACAAAATTGTTTGGACTAGTAAGCGAAGGCACCTGTGGGCCAACGGGCTTTCCAGGTGAATTACTTGCCGATTGTAATGCCTGTGGACTCAATTTCAGCTCTTGTTGTGGGTCTTGTCTTCTCTGAAGATGGCGTTGATCAATTCTCGATCGACGTGAATGGAAATTAGAACTCAAACTCCGGAAATCAGGACTGTTTTCACCGAGAGTAAAACTGAGGAAGAAGTATGCACTAGCAATCATTGTAACGAGCCATAGTGGGCCCATGATTTGTGGTATATGTGAGCGACGATCCTTTGGGGACTAGTAAAGTAAGGGTTTGAAGACGAAATCGGCAGAAAGGTCGCAAAGGTTGGAGAAAATCGGCGATGGAACTTTGCTTCTCAAGCACAGCTTGCAAACCAATTAGAGAGCACACCAATCTCTTTTTTTATGTATCGTAGCGGCGGGAGCGAGATCAGTATAATACGGCAACCGAGAGCTCGAGGGTACTTGGCATGAATAGTGTTTCTATCGTCATCGGGTTCGGTTAACCTCACCTAGCCTTCGAGCTCGTTGCCCCCGTGGTCGGTTGAGTGCCTACTGTCATGAACTAGTCGATGAGTTATCAACGCCCTAACGGTTCTTTATGGAATGGATATACATATGCGAGTCGCTTGCACATTTTTATATCTTAGATACTTGACCCAATTCTTTAGCTTGACAAAGGGTATTTCCAAAAAGGTGCATAGCAGTTTTACCTTTCTACGAGGAATGGCATTAGATGAGTTGCTCCACATCACCGGAGTCCATATAAACAAAAATGAGATTTCAACTCAAAGGAAAGGATAGGCATTGCTGATCGAATACAAAGATTTACAGAAAAAAAGACTTTTGAGTGGGTTGAGGAGAAAAACAAACAAGATTATGAACAATTAGAGGAAGATATGCTTTGAATGTTCAGGTATAGCACAAACGTCGATTGTTCTTTGGTATTTGACGAGTTGATCTAGTATATTGATTGCTTCGCTCCTTCTAGTTGATGAGAAAAAAGAAACAATCTGAATTCCGTGATATGTACCAAGTCGCATATTTCTTTTACCTCAAGAGAAAGTTGGAGACCATTGCTGATCTTCGATCTTAGTTGTAGCTTTATAATAAGGACAAGCATACAAAGTGTTTGGGTCATCAAGCACCCTCTTGAGGGTGTCGTTATATTGCCCGAGATTGAAAAAAGCCTCTCGACCGAGGCGGTAGAAGCTGGAATTATCAAACGCTCCAGGGTGATTCTTGCAAGGATGGGAAAAGTCCCGCTTTCGGACATTCTCTGTTGAGTGGATCTTTGAGTCAGTATGCATAATAATTATGGCTTGAAGTGGATGTGACTTTAGCTTTGGTGATGGGTCATTTGGATGAGTGATATAAGGCCGAAGTTGAGAAAAACGGCCCTTACCCAAAGTTCAAAGAGAGCACTTGTACTTCATCCTCATATGTATGAGAACACAAAATCATGCGGCACTCTCAGTTGAAGTACCTGCATGATTACAGGCACTCACTTGGGTCACCAAAAACCAGTACTCATGAATCTAAGCAGAGGCCCATAATACTCAAAATGGCATTTCTGGTGGCAAGTTATTGGGATGCCGGCTGTGTTCGGGTCTCTCGCCATGGCAAAGTGCTCTGGGAGGACTCATGCCAAGCAAGCACAGGATACTCCGAGGGGAAAAAGCATTGAGGTGGAAGGAACTTTCATTACGAACGCAACTCTTCAAAAAAAATCGTAAACATCATAAAAAAGAAATTCACAAAGGTAAATAAGACTTGCACATAAAACGAAGAGATGCATCAAAAATCGGTCTCGTTTTCATTAAAATTGGTGAAATGTACACAAGAGGTAAAAGGTATCTTGAAAACTTGGTCTACAGAGTGAAGGAGAAATTTAAACCGAGGTTTTTTTGGGATTGATGGGATGAACACGTGGCACTTAATCAACTTCCTCCACAGAAGGTTCATCGGCATGAGCACCGGGAGCGCCACCAGCACCAGGGAAACCACCAGGAGCACCGCCAGGACCGCCAGCACCAGGGGCGCCACCAGCACCGTATACTTTCATCTACAATAGCAAAGATGAAAAGAATGATGAGCGATAGTAAAACAAAAAATAAAGTCAAAGATGTAACATACCATGATAGGGTTAGCAACACCTTCGAGAGTCTTTTGTCGCTCCTCGTATTCTTCCTTGGCAGCCTCTTGAGCACCATCCAACCAGCTGATTGTTTCGGAGATTTCTTTTTCGAGAGTGGCTTTGTCTCCAGCATCTAATTTGTCCTTCAAGTCACCTTCGACAGAGTTCTTGAGGTTGTAGGCATAGGATTCGAGACCATTCTTGGCTTGGATTCTTGATGCAGCAGCTTCATCTTCAGACTTGTACTTCTCAGCGTCGCTCACCATGCGCTCAATGTCTTCCTTCGACAGACGACCCTGAAAAGACAATCATGTCAGGACAAGTAAAGGCAGATAGAAGAAAATGGCGCTTTGGTGTACGGACCTTGTCATTGGTGATGGTGATTCGGCTGGATTTACCAGTGGTCTTGTCGGAAGCAGAAACGTTGAGGATACCGTTGGCATCCACATCGAAGGTGACTTCGATTTGAGGAACACCACGAGGAGCAGGAGGGATACCAGTGAGTTCAAATTTACCCAACAGGTGGTTGTCCTTGGTACGAGCACGTTCACCCTCGAAAACTTGAATGTTGACACCAGCTTGGTTGTCGGAGTAGGTTGAGAATACTTCACACTTTCTGTTGGGAATTGTTGTGTTTCGGGGGATAAGAGGAGTGAAAACACCACCGGCAGTCTCGATACCAAGCGAGAGAGGTGCAACATCCAGGAGGAGAAGGTCTTGAGTCTTCTCGGAAGTATCACCGGAGAGAATAGCAGCCTGGACAGCGGCACCGTAGGCAACAGCCTCATCGGGGTTGATAGACTTGTTGGGCTCCTTACTACAAGGGTCAAAGCCAAACGCAGTCAGAATACAAGGAGTGGCGTCGAGGAGCAGAATTGACATACCCGTTGAAGAAGTCTGAGACAAGTTTCTGGACACGAGGGATACGGGTAGAACCACCAACTAATACGATCTCATGCACGTTGGCCTTGTCAATCTTGGAGTCTCTCAACACCTTCTCAACAGGCTCCATGGTCTTTCTGAACAAGTCTTGGCAGAGTTCCTCGAATCGAGCTCGGGTGAGAGATGTGTAAAAGTCAACACCCTCGAAGAGAGAGTCAATTTCGATAGACGTTTGGGCAGCGGAGGAGAGAGTTCGCTTGGCACGTTCGCAAGCAGTTCTAAGTCGTCGTACAGCCCGAGCATTACCGGAGAGATCTGTAGGAGATGACTATCAACGACTGGAGGGGGTCAGAAGAAGATAACATTTGATTGACGGACCTTTCTTGTTCTTGCGTTTGAACTCAGTCACAAAGTGGTTAACAAGACGGTTGTCGAAATCTTCACCACCCAAGTGAGTGTCACCAGCAGTGGCTTTGACCTCAAAAATACCCTCCTCGATGGTCAAGAGAGAGACATCGAAAGTACCACCTCCGAGATCGAAGATGAGCACGTTACGCTCACCAACGGTCTTCTTGTCAAGACCGTATGCGATGGCGGCAGCAGTAGGTTCGTTGATGATACGGAGGATGTTGAGGCCCGAGATCAAACCGGCGTCCTTGGTGGCTTGTCGCTGAGAGTCGTTGAAGTAGGCAGGGACAGTGACCACTGGATAGTGAGAAGGTACGAAATGATCGGTTTATTGGAAAACATTTCTTAAGGAGAACGAGATGTTTTGAAAACATACCTGCATTGGCAACAGTAGTTCCAAGATAAGCTTCAGCGGTTTCCTTCATCTTGAGGAGAACCATGGATGAGACTTCCTCAGGAGTGAATTCCTTAGTCTCACCCCGGTATTCGATGGAAATGACAGGCTTGCCACCCTTGTCGATGACCTTGAAGGGCCAGTCTATGATGTCCAAGGTTTAGGTCAGCATGCTGTAGTGCAAAATATTCGGAAGAAGGGTTACATACGTTTCATATCATCTTGAACATCCGCATCCGCGAATTTACGACCAATCAGACGCTTGGCATCGAAAACGGTGTTGTGGGGGTTCATTGCCACTTGGTTTTTGGCGGCATCACCGATCAATCGTTCGGAATCAGTGAAGGCTACGTAAGAAGGTGTGGTTCGGTTTCCTTGATCGTTGGCGATGATTTCGACACGATCATTTTGCCATACACCAACGCAAGAGTATGTGGTTCCGAGATCGATACCGACAGCTGATCGAGGATGGGGAAAGAATGTAGGTGAGTACAAAAGTCACAAAAGTAGGCAACATTGGAATTATGCGAGTGGTGTCAAAGAGACAGACCTTTACCGGCAGACATTTTAGAGATGTGATGAGATATAGGTGTAATAAAAAAGTTTTAAAATCTTTAGCGACGTAGTTTTGATGGATAAGAGTTCACTATAATGGTTACTCGAGGTGGTCAGGGAGGGAAAAGAGAGAGTGGTTTATATCTAGTCTGTCTATCTCGGCTTATCCCACAACTTAGCCTGTTAACCATCATTTTGGTCTTCGCTTGAGGATTCGAGAACAATCAATTGGCCTCTGGTCTATTCTAGATTGTTCGATGGAACTTATGTGGTATCGCTTTACTCACACACAGGGTACCCGGACTGCGGACATCAGTCCGCGCTACTGTGATTCTACCTGTGAAATCACGATCATCTTCCGGATCCTTCCAGCGACTGAAGGGTGTCACTAGCGTGATGTCTTGACATTTTTAGTCAAATGTACCGAGAGTACCGATAGTACCGAAGCGTGCCGAATGACACCGACCGACAACAGACCTTTCACGACTCACTGTGATGCTCATGAACCACCAACAGTGTTTTGGTGCTTCAACAACATTTCGCACTCGCTCACTCGGATCTTTCGTATTGAAATCATCACATCCTCAGAGATTCTGAGGTGACGGCTATTCTCGTGGTGAATGCAGAATTCTTCGACAACCCAGCTCAGCACTTTTGGGACAAAGACTCCTTGGCAAACACCATTCATGAAAATTGTAGAAAAATGTAAAGAATATAAACATGCAATTTCAAGTGCTTAATGAGCTGGTTGAACAGCACAAAAGTTTGATGAGGAATGATCAAAACGTGAAATGCTACAACACTGCTGGCCTAGAACCATTCACCTCAATCTCATGAACAAAAGAGAAAGAGAGACATAGACTACTAACAAAGAAAAGTAAGAGAAGGGGGATATAGCCTCTGGGAGGAATCAAGGTGATGGAGATTGGATGTATGGACTAGAGATGATAACAAGGGACTAGTAGCCTCGAGCAGACATCTTGACCACTTTTGGGTCTTGAAGGTTTCCTTCTCCTTTCATCATCGGGCCTAAGCCTGTTGAAATTTCGGCTAGCATCTGAGGATTATTGTGATGAGTCGTAGCCTGAACAATTGCTTTAGCCAACAGGGCTGGATTCTCAGATTTGAAGATACCAGAACCGCTATGGAGTGCAAAGAAACGATATCAGTCTTTATGATTGAATGCGTATCAGATAGACTGGTATCTTACACAAAGACACCGTCACATCCTAATTGCATCATCAGTGCCGCATCAGCAGGTGTAGCGATTCCTCCGGCGGCAAAGTTGACGACGGGTAATCGCTTTGTCCTTGCAACTTCCTTCAAGAGATGATAAGGTGCAGAAAGCTCTTTGGCAAACGTGTAGAGTTCCTCATCAGACATTACCGAGGCTTTTCGGATATCAGCTAAAACAGCCCGCTCGTGCCTAACCGCCTATAAGGACAAAGCAAGCCATATTGTCGCAAAGTCAACAACAGCTTTCGAGATAGTTTCAAATAGATGTATGGAAGTCTACTTCGATGACGTTTCCGGTACCAGCTTCACCCTTGGTACGGATCATGGCAGCGCCTTCTGAGATTCGACGAAGTGCTTCCCCCAAGTTCTTGGCGCCACAAACGAATGGGACCTTGTAAATATGTTTATTGATGTGATGATCTGGGTCGGCCGGTGAGAGGACTTCGGATTCATCAATGTAATCTACTCCAATCGCTTGCAAGATCTGGGCTTCAACAAAATGCCCAATTCGAGCTTTTGCCATCACCTAGTCGTGCAGAGAAGCTATAATGAGATTGAGAAGTGTTGAGTTGCATGATATCATAGCGTACCGGGATAGTGACAGCATCAATGATCTCTTTGATCATTTGAGGATCTGACATGCGAGCGACTCCACCATCACGGCGAATATCGGAAGGTACCCGTTCCAATGCCTGAATCACACACATACACCAGATTAGATTCCCATCAAGATGATGTTTGCAAAAATGACTTCTTACCATGACAGCGCAAGCACCAGCTTCCTCGGCGATTCGGGCTTGTTCAGCATCGACAACATCCATGATCACACCACCTTTCAACATTTGTGCTAAACCAGTCTGATTAACACGACGTCACACCGTCAGCATTGAACAAATCAGTAACCGAGAAAAGTTGGAAGGCAGAATGAAGCGCTTACCTTGACACCGAAAGTACCAGTGCCGACGCTGGTACCAGCGATAGAACCAGAAGTTTGCATTGCAGTAGCCGATCTAGTAGAACCTGCTGCTGCTGGGATTCCGTTGTTCTTTCCTGGACTGCCGACGATGACTGGGTTATGGGAGTTGGGGGCCAATGATGATTGATTGGGGGTAGTGCTTTCCATGATTGAGGATGAATTCAAGGATCCGACGAAAGCTGATAACGTGATCGGAGATCGTTAGCTGAGCGGATCTTCGTGTTTATTGTACATACGCGGGGTAGAATTGAAAGCTTGTAAGAAAGTCAAATTGAGTGGGCTGCGCACCTTGGAGATGAGTGGAAGTCCGATCGGATATAGATAACAAACGGCAGTTGTGAGGGAAAGCTGAGAGGAACCAAAGTTGGGGTTTTGCTCGAAGGGAAGATGAGATTGAGATGACTATGAATGAGTGGCAAGAAGGTGAAGTTTAGAAAATTTCAAGTGAAAAGGTCCATTCATTACAGTACGTTACAGGCTGTATTTCTGGACTCTAGACCCGGTCATCGGAGCTTGTCGTGCGTAGCTTCATGAATCATGATGCTTTCGGTTTGAAGTTGTATTGAGCACACCAAACTCATCAGAGCCCATCAGCCATACCAGGCTTTAGAGATCTCGATCGCCAGACTCGAGAGAAATGCGCGATCCTTAAAACTCGGCTCGAGACATATGAGGGTTTTTGGTTGTCGCTGGATATAGACAGAGCACATCCATATTTGGAGCGATGAACAAAAACCTTCCGTACATTGGCATCGCGATGGTGAGGTAATTGAATTGACTGAGACATGAAAAGCGCGGTGTTTCATCCTGAATTCTCCTGCATTTTCAGGGTAATTTTCACAAATCAGTGACTTGACTTGTCCAAATGCAAGTAGAAGGGTGTGCGACCAGGTGTGTGCTCTCAAACCCCCTACCCCCATCTACTTGCTCAATAAGCAAATTATTTCCATGTCTTCCAAAATTCTGCTGGCGACTCCACAACACTTGATCAGAGATATGCTTGCTGGTCACGCGAACTGCTTGTTGATGGCTTGGTGGGAGGTAGGAGGAGGGATGCGTCCGGCATTTATGAAACAAACATTCAGAAGTCCTCTGCAGCTTTCGGCTGTCTTGTGAGACTTCCTCAAGGTTGTCTCAAGCCTTGGTTTTTTGTTCACGCGATCATCGCGGCCCAATGTGTTGGGGCTCTCAGCCAAACAGTTGATTCACATTTGAACTTTTACAGATTGAGATAGTTTAATGTCATGGCCAACTAAAACAATTGTCAGCCTGGAGTCGGACCCACTGTTGCGTAATATATCACATCAGCACGCCGATATTGACACTCCATCTTTGCGCTAGCACACTAAGAAGCAAACATTCCTTAGCCGTGCCTGAGGCATTTTCTAGGCACTTTACATCTCAACTTCGACTGCTTATGTGCAATGATGACGGTGGCTTGGGTACTCACTTTGTTGACATTGGCAAAACTGAAATATATTCTATAAAACCTACGGAACACGCCCCAAATCTGGACCGTCATGTCACCTGCTGTTTATGCCGAATGGCGACCAAACCCAAGGAAAGATTCAAAATTACATCATATGCTTTAAAAACAACATATAGCACAGTTGATTGAGACTGAGGCTCCCAAACTAAAGAAACAATAGGGTTAATTGCCAGACGGCCAAAGAAAGACGAAGGGAACGACGATGAAATACGATAATTTATATGTCCGACTTGCATACTTGAGAAAATCGAAAAAAACTGATCAAACTTGCTCGCGAGTGTCTTCAGCAAAGTTCACGTGTCCTTTCTTTGAATGCTTCGATCTTCTTTCTCAGTCGCTCCACTTCTTCCTTCCGACGGTCAAATTGAACTTGAGGTAAACGTTCTTTCAGTTGCCAAACTCTCCCTGTCTTCGGACGCGATTCAGATTGTGAATCTTCACCCGAAGTCTCGAGGTTCGCAGTTGTTACATTGCGCCGTTTGACTTGGGTCAGATCGACGACTCTCGGATGAGCTGAAATCGTGAGAGCTTCTTTGTAGAGTCGCTTAGATTCGGATGTCATCTTCCTGAGTTGTTCGGCTCGGGTCATATTGGGTCGATAATTCGAGTCAAATGGTGAACTCGGGTCGGCATCAGATTTTGGCTCGGTCGAACCTGGATCCGAGTCGCCTTCAAGAACCGGCGGGAATGCCGGGGGAAGAACGCTGTAAGATGGCAAAGTGTTGAGCTGCTTGAGGAGGCCCTGCGACTTTAGATAAAAGTTTTCGGCACGCAAAAACCTCGTTGCCCCTCGCAAGGATTCGATCTAAGCAAAAAATATCAAGTCAGCCTTGTGGTAGGATGAGAAGCACGAGGATTAATGTGACATGGCTTACTTGCTCTACTAGCTGAGTTGTCTCCAAGTTACCTTCATAAGGTACATAAAAGTCCTGACCTGATAAAAGCCCACCTTGATTCTTAGGGCTATTGACGGAACTTTGAGTGGCGGCTTTGTTGGCGTCGACACCAGCTGCCGCAGCTTTGACTTTCAACTGTTTAGTTTCTTCGGCCATCTTTTCATTCTCAGTACGAAGTGAATCACTGAGATCTTCATATTCCTTTGACCGCGTTAGAGCCGTCTTGAGACTGGACTCAAGTTCAGTCATCGCTTCGGCCTGCTTCTTGACAGCTTCCATACGTTTTTCCATGATCTGAATCTTTACCTGGCTTTCTTGTAGTGTATGATCCTGACGGTCGATGGGGTCAGATTAATCGACTATGTGACTTCATTTCAAAAGAATCATCACTAACCTTTGCGCGTGCATCTTTCACAAGCTCTCTGATTTCCTCATTGAGTTTAGATACTTTCAACTCTGCATCCACATTGATTGCCGCTGAAGACCTCATCTCGCTCACCCGGGCAATCCAAGGATGCTCGAAAAAGTCTAAATAGGTGACAAGTAGCCCGGCATGGCGACAGTAAGGGTCAAAAGCTTGGAGCGTAGGAATTGAATCGACTAGACTTACTCTTGGCCACGTGATCTGGATCTTGAGCAACTCCAAGAGTAATGCCTAAATCGCGTGCAAGATGACTTAACAGCGTGAAAAATTCTTCCAGAGGTCTACTGGTATGTTTGACAACGTCGCCCGTAGCTTCTTGAATGATGTCGTTATATGTCTCCAATGAGAAGGTCTCTTTCGAAGACCTAAGACCTGAGCAATAGCGCCCCACGAGATCCGCAAGCTGAAAATATGCAAACTTTTCGTCAGATTTCGACTAATTGCAATGCCACATGTCAATGAAGATCCAGCGAAGGTCTCGACTCACTCGCGAAGATACGTTTGCAAGGTCATATGTGTTGTCTTTCAACACTGCCATGGCATTGGAGTGGTTAGGGTTCAGCGAAGATGACTGCTTCATCAGATCTTGCAAACGTCGCAGCAGTTTCTTCGAAATGACCTTAGCAGTACGAGCTTGATGAATGAGGTTTTGTAGGGGACGGAAAAGGATGTCTGATAGGTAGTCATCAACGTCGGTCTCTGAAATGAGGGTGCAGTGTAAAATAGTGTCAGAGAGGAGAATATACAACACAGTGACCACAAAGAAGGAGAGGAACATACGGCCATCCTTTTCAATGGTCGCGATCGTCTGCTTAGTGAAGCCGATGCAAGCTAAAATGGAATCGAGATCCACGTCTAGTGTTTGAATATCGCCGCACTGCAGTTCAGCGACATCATATTCTGTATCAGACAGATACAACTCTGCGAGATGTCTCATCTGCGGTATGAACCTGAAAAAGAATGGATCAGATCAACAACAGGAAGTTTGCTGAGAACAAAGGCGCGATGGAGACCCACCTTTCAACCTCGCGTGATACTTCAGCTTCCTTGAGTTCCTCTTTCCTGCAAGCATCAATAAATATATCCATCTTCTTCTCCACCGACATCAATTCTTGATAAACACCACCCATTTTGATGAAACTTTCTGGTGGACAAAATTTCATGAAGGCTGCAAACCGACTTGCAAGAGCTGAGAGCCGCACAAGCTTGGATCGGGTCTGTATCGGAACAATAATGACATAAGTAATCTAAATCAAGCACGGATGAAACCAAGTGATTTAATTTGTTGCCTACTTCGCATGCAATCACCACGATTTCGGTCACAGAAGTGGTCAAACTTTCGCTGATGTTATTTGTGTTCTCGATCACAGAAGACACGAGCTCAGCTTTGGCAGCTAGCCTAGTGAAAAACATGAGTGACTCCACGGAGTCGTGATCAGCTTCGAAGTAAGCAGGTAACAGATACGGCTGAGGACGTTGCAATGAATCATACGTGCGTTTTAGTAATCGATTCATGTTCATATAAAGGGTTTTGAACAATATACCTTCATGATAGTACATTGTAGCACCGCCTGTGTGGATTCCAGCTTTCGAAGTTCCAAATCAATGGCCTTCACTTGTCCTTTGATACTCGAGTTCTGTAATTTCATATTCAGGTTTAACATTGCTTGCGTTTGACTGGCCAGTGTCTGCGATTCATCCTGTTGAATTTGCTGACGCTCGCGCATAGCTTCCAAATCTCTGCGTAGCAGCACAGTACTGTCAAAATAAAGCAAAGAGGTGTTCTGTTCACTGCAGTAATTGATACTGACGTCTGTAAGCTCAGGACCAATTCACGGAATTGCAGAATCGTATTTTCGTAATCGGCTACAGATTCTTCCAATGACTCGTTTCGTTTCCTTTGGTCACGGAGCTGTAAATCCTTGAAATCTGGCCAGAGTCAAGATAACAGAGTGTTAGAAGTTCGAGAAGTTCGACATGACCAATTGCAAAGAAAGAATTTACCGATTTCTTCTTGCATTTGTTTTTCTGTTTCGACATGATTCTCTTCCAGCTCGTCTGCTAGCTCTTTCAGAGCTTCCAAATCTTCGATGATCATCTTCATATCGTCGATTTTCTGAATCCGAATTGATGTGTCAGGGCCTTGGAACAGAAAACTATGTGACAAGATCACGTACTTCATTGAGAGTCAAGTTTCGCTCAGTCAGTTGTTCCAGCATGTCTTCAGCACCCATGGAATCGTCCAGTTGTTGCTTCAGCTCTTCAATTTGTGCTTCAGCAATTGAGAGCTCGTTCATGAGGACACTATATTCGCCTATCACACCATCCCGGAGGAGTCAGAGTTACATGAGATACAACGAAAAGCCCATGAACGAAATCTCACTGTCGTCAAAGAGCAAAAGTGTTTACCTTGGAGCTCAGCAGACAGATCGAGTTCTTGCTCTAGATCGGAGATCTTTTTACGACTCGCCAAGTCAGCTTCGTGAGACAAATCGCGCATCCTATCCCACATTGATGGCTGGATCAGTTGGCTATGATCAACAACAACTCGAAAAGTTATCGAGTAATGAACGTGTGAACTGACCGAGCTAATGCCTCTTTCAAGCGATTATTCTGCTTTTCCAGTTGGATCATCTTGAGGGTCGATGTCTGATCAGAATCGTTGGTATCGCCGTTCTCGATGCGGTCTACGAGGAACAACATGTCAACTTTGACGACGCACGATAGAATATCAGATACATACCCTGGATTTCTTTCAGGGCACTCAGCTCGACCTTCAAATTTTCGAGTTCCTCCTTCATGGTCACCATCAAGACCTCGGTTTGGTCTAATCGTTCCTCTGCCATCTCTTTATCCAAAGTAGCTAACTCGACTTCATCCGAAAAATCTGCCAGGCGATTTTCAGCCTCCTGCTGAGAGGCTTCCAATTCTTTATTCTACAAATCATGGTGTTCAGACCACGGAAGTTAGTAATTGTGTAGAGTTAAGACGAAGTCCTCTAGCTGGCATCACAGGGGACCCAATATGACACATACTAATTTCTTCAATGCCTTGATTTCCTCCGTACATTCATTTAATTTTGCTTGAAGCTTGGGTTTTACTACGTTGTTCCAATCTTCAGTGTCTTCTTTTACTTTTTCAAGCTCCCTAATCTTATCGCGATCCTCATTTCTACGTGATTCCATCAACTTGTATTTTGTCATGAGCTCTTCGTATGTCCGAGAAGAAACCGTGTTAGGATAGGGTGAACCACTGTGAGTGCTATCAGGTAGAGGCCTCGAAGGTGTCCTGTTCTCTTTCGGAGATCGAGTTGAGTTGAGTGAGAAATGGTCTTCGATAACGCTCAAATTCGGGATGGTGGTTGCTAAGACTGGGGAGACATCCAGATCAGGTGCAGTGATCAATTCAGAGCTTGAGGGCTGTTCTATCCTTGGCTTCCTATTTTTCTTGCTTGGTGTTGCATCAGGATCATCAATACTGCCATAATTTTCATCATCAACATTGTTATCATCGTCACTGTCAACGGCATCCAAAGGATCTTCTTCGAATAAGGAAGTGGAGGTCTCATGAGAAGTCACGCGCGACAATGCTTGACTGGTAACTCGGGACGTGGTAATTGATGGGGGTGGTTTTATAGGAGGATCAAGCTTAAAAGACGATTGCTTCGCTGAGGATGGTACTGCCCGTCTGGTGCTTGCACTAACTCCAGAAGATTGTCTCCTCGTAGCGATTGGTGTTGAGACGGACGTAGTGGTCTTCATTGTGGTGCCAGTGATACCAGCTTTGCTCGAGGCGGTTGAGCTGCTATTAACACGGGATAATAGTGGACTTGATGGACCCGATTGAGGATACTTCGAAAGAGCGCTCAGGGTGGATGTACGATTGACGTTCAGCGAAGATGTTCTTGCTGAGGCTGTTTTGACCAAAGGAGACCTGGATGATATGCTGACACCGCGCGCGTTTGGGGAAGATTGAGTAGGGTTGGGTGAAATTACATTCGAGAGTCTGCCGGATCGTGGTGCTTGTGATGCAGTTAGGTGAGTAGGCTTTGCAGGTTGGAGTCCTGGTCGAGTTGAAGTAGAAGGGTTTGCGTTACCAATAGAACGGATGGCGGCTTGAGGAGTCTGTGGTGGTTTAGAACTAGATATCGGACGCTGAGGATTTAATGGCGGGTCAATCAGAAAAGCTCATTGCAGGTCATGGAGGGTTTATGAGGTTCCATGGACTCACCGTTGTCGATTTCGATCCGGTGACCAATGTCACTTGACTTGGACGCACAAACACACCACATCCGGATTTACACATGAAGTATCTCTTTCCATTCACCGATCCGTCATTTTTGCCATTTGGCTCGTCAAGAACTATGCCTATCCATACGCCGTTTGAGAATTCCGTTGTGCCGACATAAGCTGCGGTTCCTTCTCCAGCTAACGGACAGAGTTCGATCGGAACATAGCAGGCCAAGTTGAGGTGTAATCAGTTTTCAGTCAAAAAATAAATGAGAGAAGATAAAACTGACCAGCAACAGCTACCCGGTCACCTTGTTTGATGTTGATGAGCTTCGATGCCATCGTGGTCGCTGGAGCGTCGAACCACTCAACAAGATTCTGAGTGGAATATGTTTCGGGTTCTCGACTCGAATCCACTCGAGGTGTATTATGGGATATCCCGGGTAATTATAATCTCGGATCTCGGGGCGTTTCTTTACTGCTCAAGTTTTGAGTGAGACTTGTCTGAAAGTCGATGATTCTCTTCAAAGAGCTTTATTTATCAAATGGCAAGGAGATATTACGATGACCACCACCGGTCGACCTCCTCCTGAGCCACTCTATACGTTTAGACCATTCCACCATGCCGTCCATTCATCGCCTAATGCACCCGCCATCAGTCACTCAATCACCCATATAGCCTTCATTCATCGACCTTGCCTCGGAACGCCTAATCACAAGCTCTTACAGCTTCTTACGACAGATGAGCTCGGTTTTGTTGTGCTCTGGAGCTTAGAATCTAAACGCGCCGAAGTACTATGGAAGCCGCATCCTGATTCTTCAAAATTTGGTGGCTGTCTGTGGGCCGAAGGGGTGGTGGAATCTCAAGACGCTTCAACATTGCGAGAGGAGGATGTGAATTATCTTTACATTGTCTCGTGAGTGCTTGTTGATTCATCTAGGATAATCAGCTCAAATACATGTTCATGCAACTCTTCGTTCGATAGTCAAGGTCGAGACCATCGTTTTGTACTTTCCCGGGTACCAGCTCAGCCGGCTTTATCACTCAATCGAGCTGCATTCCGACCTACTGCCGACCATCCATCGCCTGATGTAGATATTGTAGCCGATAGCCCTACCAATACCACCAGTTTCTGCAAGGCCGCATTGCTCACTTGTGATGCTTTACCGCATTCCAAATGGACCTGCATCTTGGCAGCTCCTAGTTCAGTCGATGAGAAATTTGTGCGTCGGAGCATTTGTCGCCAATACGTCGTCGCCAGCTCTCTGATACCTTCCCTTGTCTTAGGTGGATATTTTCGCTGTGCGGACTCACGTTGAGGCGCCGCAGATCCACAGGATATATCGGGGCGTCGGTGATGAAGGCGCAATACATGAGATGGGTAAGGTCTTTCCGATTCTCAGACTATATGTGACGTTCCTGAAATTGATCTCGGGGTTGTGTAGGTGCGGTGATGTCTGTTTCGCTATGCAGACCCGACGGATTTCGCAAAGCAACATTATTGCTCGTTGGCTATGAAAGCGGCGCTGTTGCACTTTTCAGCCACCATGACGCCAACAATGATATCGGTCAGGGGGTGTGGCAAAGAGTCGCCTCGTTCCGTGGGCACGATGAACCCATTTTCTCCATGTGCATTGGCGCCAACTTGGATCATTCGTGCGCTGCCACCGCGTGGAGTGTGGGTGCAGATCATAAAATCGTCCGTTATGACATTGAAGTCACATATGTTCGATCTAATAACGTAAGCCGCGTTTGAAAAGGACGCGTTCGAGTCTGGGGTTCGATAATTGACCTACTACATGGGTATCTAGACCACTCTTGAATGCACGAGTGGTAAGGAAGAACATGCACTTCTGAAATACGACTTCAAACCTACTGTCTATACGACTCGAAGTCCGTGTCGCTTTGATGTGAAGTTGCGTTCGGATGGGAAAGTGATGGCCACAATTAGTGCAGGAGGCAAGATATGGATGTATGGGTCTCCACATCCAGCGCTACAAGGAGGGAAGCTACCACCACTTGGATTACTCAAACTCAAGACCAGCGAAGAAATTCGAGGTGGTGTACTGTCATTCGCCCCAATCCGGGACAGCCAAAAGTCACATGCACACAAATCGCATCTCGAAGGCCTCGGTATGCTTGACACTGTAGGAAACCGAGCACTTCTGGCTGCTGCCGACAAGGGTGGGTCGGTCATCATATGGGAAGTTTTTCCAATGTCATAAAAAATATCAGTAAGCATGTAAAGTTGACCAAACTGTGAGTCTTCCACGGGCTGTGTATATCATGAATCATGTCGGAAGATGAGCACCATTGTAATGCAAATTGGGAGAGAAACACAATATTCAAAACATGTGTAATCTCATCTGGAGACTTCTTGTCTCGATAACTGTTCTCGTGGCGATTGTGTGGTGATTGCCAGGTACGAAGAACCCGGAGCCCCAGTAAAGTACTAACTAAAATGTATTGCCCATACACTCCAAAGAACGTAGAATGTCGGTCCTCTATGGGTTTGGAACGGATAATTGTGGAAAACGGACGTATCTCAATATAGCGGAGGTCTTATGTCACTTGATATCTCTTCGACTTGCTCAAGGCGTTTAAACACAACTTCAGATTTATCTTTGATAGAACCGAGAAAATGTTCATATGTAGGATGGGCTCCAAGCTTCCGTCCCGGTGCCTTCCCACCAACCGTCTCAGACTTTGTCTTGATTCTATAGAACAACATGACACAAGCAAAACCATTACTTCTTTATGAGAATGTATTCAACACAGTTCTAAGATGCCTTGAGTTCTCTAGGCCATCACTTTTTTCCACAGGCCTCAATTTTACCCGGTATGTGAAGAGCAGTTGGACATCGACCAGCTTCATGTCGTGAATTTTTCTCAAGTTCAGCAAAGCGTACAACTTTGAATCCATCCTTGATGGAGCCGCGAAAATAATTGCAAGACGAGCTCTGAGGTTCCGTCCAGTCCTACACCCGGGTGGCATCCGTGCCTCTCCTGAAACTGCGAGGGCGGGGCGCAGGGCCGCTCAAAGGGACTTTCTTAAGTTTATTCACAGTTATTCACTTACCTCCATTCAATTACCTCTCCGGGAGAGTATATCTCTCGCAGTTCGGGTATGTTTTGAATTCCCTATTGCGGAGATTTCGGACGTTAACAAGTCTCTATTCGGAGATTCCGAATTATCAGCGGACCTCTGTAAGGTCTAGAAAAGTGTCTGGTTTGATGGCGTTGATATCCTTCACAAGTCTTAGTTGTTGTCCATCATGCAGCGGGTATATGACGAGCAAATGATCGGCTAAATTCGTGTTTGGAAAATATATGTATTCTTGTGCGTCAAATGTCGGCGACCAAGCGGATGGCCATGATCTATACGCAGCTGGGTAGAGCTGGGTGAATCAACGTGTTCTTGAGGTTTGATTATGTGTAATGTGGCATTTTTGCAAGTGCCGTCCCGCAATTGATTACACTCTGACGGCAATGTACATGATTGTTTATCCATGTCCAAACGCGTTTTGAATTGGAGTTGAGGAAGTGGCCAAAAATGAGTAAATGTTGAATCGGCGAGACGCGAACATCATGTTGAACTTTGAAGCGCACCTAGACTTAACGAAGTATTCAAAACTTGATTCACTGAAGATGAGACCAGCAAGAGATGGATGGGATCACCTCTATGCTTCCCGAACCGTTCCCGACGGCTCTTGCTCAGCCTTCTATGCAAAACCTGGCGATATGTAGCAGCAATATTGATATTCGAGCATATCTTGAAATGTATGAAAAGACCGGTTCTTTGGTGGAAGTGCCAATCCGTCCTCACTCTCCCAGCAGCTTCTCTTGCTTTGTTCCTTACCTTGTAACGTATTCCAGCTTGACCCTCCTGATTGCATCTAGAATTCCTTCAGCGCATCTCTCTTTCGCGAATTTTGATAGCTAAATTCGAAGTCAGGCCAAGATGGCAATATCATGTTTGGGATTCCAATTGATTTTGATGTTCATCCTTGCTTCTGTCATTGCGGACCCAACGTTTATACCATGGCCCCGAGAATTTGAACCTGGCTGTCTATCAAAAGTGCTGCAGGGGTAAGTGGCCGGTATTGATTCGTCAACAACCTTGTGTCATGACTGTGCTTTGTCTTCTTCCAGACTTGCAGACGTGAACCCAAGATCAGCAAAAGATAACGTAAGTATAAATAGAAATAGACTATCGAGAGATGACTTATATGAAGGAAGTGAAAAAAACTCTATATGTAGAGAATATACCTTGCGTACAAGGAAAAGACAGGCCCAGAAGAGGTTGCTCGTAACATACTTAGCAGACTTGATTGGTTGGATGATTACGAAGGTGAAGAGCCCAGATACCTTTGCGCGGCGAGTTTTGGTGATAAAAGAATGAGTCAGATAGCGGTCAATAGTGAGCATCTTGTCCTACAAAGTAAGGTTGAACATTGCTGAATTGCACTAATTGTTGATCGTTCATCACAATAGGCTACCCCTGGACTTTGCCCAGCGGAATGAAAGATTATCTCTTGTGGATGAGATTCCCAATACTGAACCGAGCCACCTTAGAATTGAGAAAGGGGGAAGTGTTTCCCTCAGAAAAATACTACGAAGAAGGTAGACTAGATGCTTTGGTTGAGTATATTGAACATACTGATTTTGTGGGGTACGTTGGGGCGATGAGTCAAGACGAGATTGCCAAATTGGAGCCATTGGAAACTTATCATCCCAACAACAAAATATATGTCACAAGCAATGGGCACACAATCACTCGTAAAGAGGCGTGGGAAGCCAATCAATGGGCTGGAAGGCACTTGAATGCTTTTCTCAAAATGAAGTTCAAGAATAAGGAAGTGGTGTGGACTAGGAGCCCCATGTGGTACAAGTGGGTACTTCAATTAGAAACATCTGTCTATAAGATTTTAAGACATAAAACTGAACCTTTGGGCTATAGGGGTGTTCAGACAATTGATCATGCAGTGTACGTATCTCATTGCTCATGACTCTGATCCCTGATTACTGAAGTGAGATTGTACCATGTAGGATTATTGTGAAGGATTGATGTTCATCGGAGTAGGAAACCAAAAACCAAAATTGCAGTTTGGTGAAGCATGAGTTTTATTTTTCCTTCTGTCACACTCTACCAGTCCTTATCTTTCTGTTCCTTCAAAATATGTCAGCTACATACTTTTGGTACTATAGAGCTTGTGAGGAGAAAGCTCAACCCATGGGAAAACAGAAAAAATGCCAAAAAAACACACGTAGAATTAGTTCATATTGGAGTGGCTTGACTTTGTTCAATCCTTTTCTCAAGGGAGATACACTGGCTCAAAATGCATTGTCAAAAATCATACCTTGTCAGGAGTCTCCCATTTTTATTAAGGCCCCATTTGGTTTCCAGCAATTATGATCATACAGTGCATTAAATAATGCATTATTTGACCACAAACAACAGTAAAAGTGCAAACTTGCAATTAATTGTGAGTTGAGAAGTACCCAGTGGTGTTCAACAATAATTGTTTGGTACCTCAAAACTAAACTGATTCTTTGTAGATTGGACAGTCAACAATCATGATAGCTTGGATTCTATTCCCACAATTTGAACTGAGAATTTGTTTTGAGTCAGACAGTAATGAGAAAGCCTTCCAACAGGAGATTGAGAACAGCATTGCAGGTTGGGCACTGCTGGCTGCGGAACTAGCCCCCAACATTCCCTACTGTACCTCTTGAATCAAAGGTCATGAGTATGCTAAAGAAGTGTTTGAAGGAAGTCTGGTTTGATTCCATGAGGTCTGTCACAAGAGCACGTTCCTGAGAGGTTGCAATTCCAACATTTGAAAGAGACGGCAAGCTGCTACTTCGAACATTGCGGCAGATGCATCAGAGCACATTTTGATTCATCCATCAGCCTGGTTCCTCAACACCTTGTCCACCTTGGAATGCATTGAATTACAAGCAATATCCTTGGTTCAAGGAGTGTATAGGTGCCATTGATGGCACCCACATTGGGGCTATTGTTTAGAAAAGTGATTGTGGACTAACCATAATCAAAAGGGATTTTCAAGAACTGGCTGGGTGTTCATTCTATTCAATATTCACCTTTGTTCTTTCTTGTTTCAAAGGTTCTGCTACCAATGCCAGAGTATTGGAGGTGGCTTGGCAGCAAGGTAGATTTGTGGTCCTAGCAGGTATGTGACATACCTGCCTTTTATTATATTTATATCCCAATATTTAATGTTCTTTTATATCACACCTTTTCTACCTTGTTGATGCTGGATATACAAATAATACCATATTTCTAACTCCTTACTTTGGGGTTAGAGATCATCTGCAAGAATGGGCCCCTGGGCCCTGGGATTATAAAGAACTGTTCAATCTAAGTCATTTGAGTTTGAGAAATTTGATTGAACACATCTTTGGGATAATCAAGAAGAGATATGAGATTCTTTCAAATATTCACTTGGTCTTAACTGAAATGCAAGCTAAATTAGTTATTGCAATGTGTACATTACATAATATTATAGTGAGGAATGGAGGGGCTGATTTCTTTATGATAATGATGGAGAAGGGGCTTAGCAATGGCCAAATCAACAAGTTCATGCTTACCAAGTGGCATCTGCTGGTCTTCAAACACAAGCCACCAACAATTGAGATGGAATTGCAATGGATATGTGGGCTGCTTATGTTGCTCATCCTGGCTACCAAGCCTGAAAATGTACAATCAAATAAAATCTATGGATTTCTATCTCATTATGAAGCAGGCCGTGGACATTTTTTTTTATTTGGAAAAAGGTGTGAAATCAAAAGTAGGCTAAAATCATGTTGTATGTCATTTGGACAAAGCATTTGAAAGCAGTAGGCCATTTTGTAGTTTATAAGGTCTATAAGCATGTAGAACATATTTATGTATATTGTAGTCATGTGAAGTAAAAATATAAGATTGAAATGTAGAACAAAAGTATAAGAATACTTTAAAGTGATTCAAAGAACATTTGTGTCTTTGAATAAAATTTGTATTTGATGTTATAAAATACAACTATCATTCTTGGTCAGTTACCACACTATACTCAAGGGAGATGGTGAACCAACTCCATTGCAAGTCCAGATTGGCATTGATAAAGGTGTGACACTTGTCCTCCTGTTTGAACATGAGGATGGCTTCAGTTGCAGAAGCCAAGTCGTCAAAATGACTTCTCCAGTCTTCCTTGAAAATTGCCATAGTCTTGTCATGAGGAGCAAAAGCTGTGTGTCTGAAGGAGACAGACTCTTGATCCAATCAACATGCATTTATTAAGATTTGCTCCTTTGCAGCATTATGAGCAGCAACACTTTTAGATTGTAATGTCTTGTGTTCAATTGCTTGAGAAGCTTGAGTCTTGAGCAACTCAACTGAATTTCTCAAAGAACTTGTAAGCCTGTCCTTTATGTTTGGTCTGCCACATGGAGCCGGCTTTTTACTGAAAGAACAAGATTTTGTAGTAGCTTGACTCAAAGCTCAAGTGCTACCATAGTCATATTCATTGTCCTGACACATCAAGTTGAGATCCTATAATTCACAAGGTAAGACAAAATCTTCTTGAGCTTGTTTGTTGTAATGACCTATCAAGAAGGACTCAAGACTTTGTGTTGGTCCAGCCTAGATTTTTTTGAGGATTTTGAGCTTTATCCTCTTTTTTAACCATTTGAATCTTGCTCAAAGATGTAGGAAACAAAAAGAAGAAGGCTCAATAAAAGAAGTAGAAAGCAAAGTCAAAGAAGTAGAAGTCAAAGTAGGAAGAGGTGATATCAAAACAGTATAGAAGAAGTGTTGAAAAGAAAAGAGATGAGTTGGGTTTGAAGGGAGGACAAGAAGAGGTGATATCAAAAAAAGAAGCTAGAGTGAAGAGAAAAGAAATGGCATGAGTTGCAGTCAAAGGCCCAGGAGGTATTGAGAGATGAAGAAGGAAAAAGTCAAAATTTTGACAAGTGCCCTTCTTACATACATAATTAATCCAATTTACAATCTGAATCAATGAAAAACAGAGATACAATAGCGGGTCTCAAACCAAACCTGGTTGCCAAAAAACCCGGTACACCTGGTTATTTTTTTGGCTGTGAGGTGAGAAAAATGTCAAATTGATACACAAAGTTACCAGCAAAAAAGCAACTGGGTGTCCCAGGTTTTTTGGCAACCGGGTTTGGTTTGAGACCGGCTATTATAGATTGTTTCAAGTGACACTATTACCTTGCAGACATTTTTTTGATTTCAAGTGCTTTTGGTAATGTTACTTCTGGATTGCTGAAACTGTTTGCCAGCAAGTTGGTGGGTGCCAGATCGTCCAACAATGACCAATAAAATCATCACTTTTTCTTTGATGGAAACATTTCTTTTATAATGGAGAAGAAGCTTGCCTCTCAGAGCTTTTGACAAGCGCTCAAAGGCAAGCTGACCCATTTGACATAGCTCTCAAAAAGATCATTGCTGCCTTCAAGGATTTCTTTTGTATATTCATTTCCTCAGAGCCTCAATATTTTATCAGACTTATTCTCAGTGGATATCAAGGATATAAACTCTTTTCCAGCTTTAATGATGGTTGTGGGAAGATTTATTGTAGGTCAAAATGAAGTCAATCAGGTATCAGAGTTGGAATCAGAAAAGTTAATCATGATGATGAACTTATGGTGGAAAATTGAAACAGGAAAAGGATGAAAATTTCTTGGCTGTCCTTAATTGCATTCAAATTGAACAACTTGTGACCATTTCTTTCATAATTTTTCACAAAATATCCAATCTCACATTGTTTGAAAAATTGCTTCTCTAGATGTATGTATAGAAAAGCGCTCAAGGAGAATGTGATTTCTCAAACTTGCTGCTAAGCCAACACTGCCTAAATATGCTACATCTTTTATCCACTAGGGAAAAGGTTGTCATGCCTGCCCCAACAGAGTTTGAAATCACCATGCCTGCACCTAGCTCAACATTCCCTTTTTTTATTGTTTATCTGGATCTAATATCAGATGAAATTATACTCTCACTTTAGGAAAAAATTGATGATGAATTGCAAAATCATAGAGTTACAAACAGATTGATTAGGTAATGAGTTGTGTTATAGTGAGTATTCATAGTCAAACACTTGGTGATGATCAATGGTGTAATGTTGGTAAGAGGAAGAATTGTTCCTGCTGACATGGTGACAATGCATGCTGTTGATGATATCAAGGAATTGTTATTACATAAGTTAAACAGAAAGATGGTGTTTTGGAAAATCAAAATCAAAAATAAGGGCAGGTCAATAAATGGGACCCAAGATGTGATGGGTTGGGAGAAAGGGTAGAGGGGATCATTTTTGACCTTTATCAAGAGGAAACAAGAATCCCTTTTATACTAAAAAGCTCATAGCCAAGCTGGCTACAGCATACTTGCTGGTGATTCTTGGTACAATTGAAAAGCAACTTTACTCATATTGGAAACAAGAGAGCACAGACAGGCATTTATCCCATGATAGTTGTGTCTGCTTTGGCTAAACACACAGGGATTCTTTTCAAAATAAAATCAATCAAAATCACAATGAAATTGAAGTATGAAAGTTATGCAAACAATAAGCCCAGAGATCAATGGAAGTTTATAAATCAAACTTTTCTTTTAAATGATTGAAAAAGGTCTTAACTTACAAAAAGTTGAGAATCATGAAAATCACACAACAATTGGCAAGACCCAACCAAGAACTGAAATGAGAATATTGAGGAGCAGGAAAGGGTCATGCAGGAGCTCCTACCTTTTTTGCTATTTAGATGTGTGATGACTGCCCATTTCTCTTTTAATTTTCTTGTGCTAGTACTCCTTCTCTTGAGGCACTAAGTTAATTCAACTTCTAACCCAACATCATTATACAGAAATTATGTAGTACTATCAGGATGAGTCAAGAATTGACAAAGATATCATCTGTTTTTCTGTGATAAGATGGTTCCCTTTACTTCTCAGCAGGCACGTAGAGAAACCTGAAGTTTAAGTCATAGATCTTCCAACATGGTCAATGTGTTTTTACCCAGATACTTAGGACAAATCAGTGTGTGATTGAATCTTTTGGCAGATCATTGATATATGTATGAGAAGCAAATATACCTTTTCAGTGCAAAGATCTACAACTGAGAATCAATACATGTGATTCCCTGGAGGCAAAATGCATTGTGTACATACCACAAATGTATGAGCTACCAGATTCTTGACAAAGGAAAGCAGACATGAAAGTTGACTTGAGGATGGAATCAATTTGCTTTGGGGGTCTGAACTTGAGCTATTTTTTAAACTCTTTTTTCAAAACAAAATATTCACTTGTAAAACAGGAACAATTTTCAAGTTGACACTGATCAGGCACTTTTATCACTGAGTGAGATTCTGAATTCCCAGAATCAGATGCGCAAGTTATGTGATTAGGAGGGCGTGCCCTTTACAGATTTTTGCGCCCTGTCTTGAGAATTCAGTCAGGGCAGGTCAGGGCCAGAGTCCAGCTCACCAAACTGAAGCTTGATTTCTTCACTTCGACTGACTCTGAGCAGTTATCATTCCTTCAATCGAACTTCAAGATGACTATCACTCAATCATCACCCAATCAAATAGTAAGTCACTATTCTCTTATATCTAATCAAATCAAGAACCTCTGACTCATCTTTCATGGTCATACAGATTCAAACCATCAAACCAACTGGATCGGTAAATACCTTATTTCTTTCTACAAGACAAACAAACATACAAACACCACTAACGCGAATTTGTTTAAAATTTGACCTTTAGATGGAAGATCGAACGAAGTATTATCAAGAGAAACGAGCTGAAAGGAAACAAGCTTTCCTAGATGAAGTTTGTGTCTTTTTTTTCCCTTTAAACCTTAACAAACACAATCCCATTTTTCTCAATCTTGTTTTCTTTTTTTTTGGGGGGGGGATATGATAGATGGAAGCTCTCAAGATTCAAGAAGAAAATGAATTAGGAATCAATTCATCATCATCACCAGATAAATCAATTGAAGAATCAACTAAACCTTTGATTCCAAATCCAAATCCAAATCCAATTTCAAATCAAACTAAACCAAAGTTAGCAATGAAAGATTTATCTAAAGCTGAACGTAGGGAAATTCAAGAAAGACAAAGAGCTGAAAAAGCTGCATTGAAAGTCAATCCGAATTCTCAAACCGGATCAGGAGTCAATAATAAAGGAAAACCATCGGCCAATCTCGGAGGACAAGCCACTAGTCTCAATCAATCATCAAAATCGAATCCGACGAGTACCACTAATAATGCTACTAACCTTCGAATGGATAGACCTTCGAACCTTCAATTGTTTTTACATCTCGAACCTCCAGCTTCATTAGATTCTTTGACGGTGGCTCAAAGGACTAACCCTCAATTACATCATTCGATCTTAAGATTAGCACAACTCTATGCTCAGTTTAAGATTGTAGGATCAAATGCAAGATGTATAGCAATGTTAGAAGCTTTTAAAGAGGTTCGGACCATCCTGTTTCTGATCGATCAAGTTTGGGTTTCTGAGAACTGATGAAAGTGATTGTTTGAAATTTATCAAGGTGATTCGATCTTATGTACCACCACCTGGTACATCACTCTCAAGACATTTGCTTTCTCATCTTTCACCTCAAATCTCTCATCTTGTTCACGCTAGACCTTTATCGGTCAGTATGGGAAATGCCATTCGACACTTGAAAGGAGTCATCAGTCGGATCGATGTAGATGTACCAGATGAAAAAGTGATTATCTCTTTGACTATCACACCTTCCGATTCTTTCTATCATGAGTGTCATTCTCTGACCATTTGAATTATATCTTTTCTTTTCTGAAGGCCAAATCCATGATATACGATCGGATTGATCTTTTCATTCGTGATCGAATCATCGTGGCTGATAAAGTCATCCAATCACACGCCATTCAAAAAATCAAAGATGGTGACGTGATCATGACATATGCAAAGTGATTCTTCATCTTTCAAACACACTCTCCTTTCAAAAGTTCAATTAATTTACTAAGAATCAATGGTTTCTGCTCTTTTTAAACTAGTTCATCTGTAATCCAAGGAGTTTTATTAGAAGCACATCGACAAGGAATCTCATTTAAAGTGATCATAGTCGATTCAAGACCCGTATACGAAGGCAAAAACTTATTAAAATTATTAATCAAATCTGGGATTGATTGTACTTATGTTTTGATTAATTCGATTGGTTCGATTCTACGTACAGTGAATTTACTTTTATTAGGTACACATGCTTTATTAGGTAATGGTGCTATGTATGGTAGAGCGGGTACAGCTATTGTGGCTATGATGTGTAAGAATTCAGGCATTCCTGTGGTGTGTTGTTGTGAGACTTATAAATTTAGTGATCGAGTGATGTTAGATAGTATCGTTAGTAATGAAATCAGTAAGTTATTTTTTTCAAAAAGCTTTTAAACCTTGATTTTGCTGATCTTGATGTAAATTGAATGAATTTATAGGTACATCTCAAACTCATCTTCCACCTACATCACATTATTCATCATTTGATTTTCCATCATCAGTACCGCAACCTAAATCAATTGACAACCTTGCAGTACAAGACCTTGCTTTGTTATACGATGTTTCAAGACCAGAAGATGTGACGATGGTGATCACGGAAGCTGGGATGATACCGGTTCAAAGTGTACCTGTTCTTTTAAGAGATTATAAACCTCTTTTGGCTGAATGAAGAGGTGATTTGATTTGATTGTTTGGTTTGATAGGTGTTTGAAAAAAAGGATACAGAATGATAAATGATAAGATGAAATTTAATATTTCTTGATTGATCAGGATACTTTTGTGTTCCAAGTACCTAATGGTGTTTGTGAATTGTAACCTTTGGTTTTAATTCCATATATATCTTGTTAAATTCAGATAAAAGCCAAGTTATCTTTGGGTAAACAAGACAAAAGGAGATATACAAGAGAGAGAGAGAAAAGTACAAGATTGGTTTGGATTGATTGATTTTAATTGAACTTTTCTTTAATGAATTTCTCCCAATCTTCTTTAACAAAAGAAGAAGAGATCGAAGGATCAATGATTCCATTAAAAGCCACGGTTGGAGTCACATGAACACCTTGATCAACACACACCAATATCATTTTTCGAAAGATCAGCTTAATTCAAGACGATTGGGAATAAAATAAGAAATCACTCACCATTTTGACGAGCATATCTAACACAAGATTTTAAAGTTTGATCGACTTTTGTACCAGCATTACCAACCCCATTCAAACTGACCAAATCTAAAAAGGTTTGTTGATTGAGATCTAAAGTTTTGAAAACCAATTCAGATAATCTTTGTTTAGTGACGATTGGAGTTTCATTTAAAGTAGGTTCATCAAAATATTCAGTTTGTTTTTCAAATAGTTCAGTAAACCATTTCCATTGTTTGTGAACCAATTCTTCTTGTGATTGGTTTGATTGTAATAAAAGTTTAGATACTGCTAATGAAGCTTGATGAGTAAAAGTTGAAGCATGATGCCATGGTTGTGGTACTTGCTATTTTACAATTCAAAAGAGAAAAAAGTGAGTGATTCTTTGTTTTTGTTAAGATCATCAGAAGAAGATTGAAGACTCAACTCGAATGATTAAAGAAGTTTGAATTTGATTTTCATGCAAGATTGGTATTAAGTATTGGTTGATAGATTTAAAGATTTTAGCTGAAAATGGACAATTGAAATCTAAATAGAATTCTAAAGTGTTATAGATTGGTTTTAGAATTGATTGGTTGATGATGTTTTGATGTAAAATTAAATCTTTTGATAATCCAGACATGTTGAGTTGGTTTGAGTTGATCGATCGAGATGGTATTGGTTGGTATTGATGTTGGTGTTGGTGTCACTGTTGGTTTGGAAGAAAATAATTCTAAAATTTAAGCACGTAAGCTTAAGGTTAAGTAGATGACATCATATCCAACCAAGATGATGACACTTTTATGATCTCTATCAAAATATCATTGACTATCATTGATTTCTCTCAGATTTAATGGACATTCATATCAATTTGAATCATCAAAGATGCTTACACATTTTGAATTTGGGGTCAAACATACTGGTTCATTGGGATTTATCTATACAACCATTCATATCAACTTGAGAAAGATTTATATTTCTTTGAGGAATTTCATGGATATGGAATTTCTATTCATCTTAGTAAACATTTGAATTTTCTAGACTTCTTTTGGTAAGGAAATCTTGAGTGATTTCATCTTATATTTCAAAAAAACCATCTTGGAAAATCTCAGAACTGTATAGCAAGTTATTTGTGATCAAGCTAGCAATTTCAAGATGTTGATATCATCGATTTATTGCAAATTCTTTTTACCTCACTTGTGGTATTCATCAAAGAATTCAAACCTCACGTTTAGGATTCCTTTTGATGATGAATTTAATGAAAATCCAACAATCAGGTATAGAAGAAAGGCTTGAAGCTCAGATGAGATTTCAAAAAACAAGTGTTTGAAATCAAAACAAGTGATGAAGAATTCTGGTGGATGATACTATATATTTTTCCTTCAAAACATATCAACTAAGTCTCGAATTGATCGATTTTCAAATGGATCAATGAGTCTTTCTTTATGTGGCAAGCTTATAGTAAGCTCTTCGTGACAGGTGGTAATGAAGATGATGTGCACTCATCACAGACTGTTTTTTTAAAGAAAGGATGGTTTTGTATTGCCAAAGAAATTGAATATCAATCAACCTTTATAATCTTGATTGAAAACCATGAGAGATGATAAGAAAAGTGACTCACCAGTTGGATCTGTGATGTTTTCGCACAAGTACTTGTCATCATCGTTGCAGTCTATTTGATAAAATATCGAAAACAAGATGATTAGAAAAAACGGTAATCTTTTTGAATGAAAAGTAAAAATCTCAACGAACAATATTTTTGAGTTTTAGTGATATCAATGTAAGCCACTGGACCATAAGCAAGAGTACAATTATGGGACTCGAATAGTGGAGCGCTTGCGTTAGCGACCGATCGACACTTTTTGCCGACTAAAACAATCAAATCATTTGATCAGTTGGATGACTTTATAAACCGATTTTCACTCAACTGGTAAAGAAAAGTAAGAAATGCTTAACTGGCAGTAGGAAGACAGCTTCGACATTGACGATAGTCAGTTGAGTTACTAGTTTTATTACCCACACCACAAACTAATTTAAAAGAATCATCAAGATTTTCAAATTCAAACACATCAACCAATCTTTCACCACCAAAATTCAAAGCAAAGCAATCATAAGCAAAGAAAGTGCACTAACGGAATCCAGAATTTCCAACTGCAAGAGGCACTGGCACCTGGAGCCCTTGTCCAGCATTAGGTGCTGGTCCAAAGCTCACATCGCAAATAGATTCATTTGCTGGAAGCGCGAAAGCAAAAGATGCAAAGCAAAGCATGACAGAAGTCATGAACTGAAGTTTTACATTCATCTTTATAAATAGTTGGTCTGGTCGAGAAATGATTGAAATTCTAATCGAGAGATAAGATAAATTATATATAGATCAAATGAATCGACGGTGATGGTTGGTTAGAGTAGGATTGCGTGTTGGGTCAGCTATATATATGTTTGTCCAGTACCTTGCCGGTCACCCTGTTCTTTGCTTGTAGAGCGCTAGAACACAAGACACGAGGTCTTCATACTTCAAGAGGCGTAAAGCATGTGTTTTCATTTCGGGCGTGGAAATATCATTGATGATTCATGATTGAATGGGTATTGGTTCGGGTATCTATTTCTCTTCAGAAATGGATATGGTTTAACCTCAATGGACTCCCTCGTGGTGGCGGCAGCGAGGCTTCAGAAATCATTGATCACAAAATACATTTCGAATTGATGTATTCGTAAGCTAACGTTTAAGCGGATGTCAACAGATTGGTGTCACATCCAACTAAGATTTACCTATGCCATCTTCACTACATCCGATTCCTACAATACGAAGCAAGATATATTCAGAAAGATCATTCCAAGTTCAGCTAGCTACCTTGATGGAATCATTCAAATTGACTCCTAATAATTTTACCCCGAACCATAAATGATCCCTTTGAATCAAATTCATCCAAATATACCAATCATATTGGATTTGTAGTCTGATTATGATTTAACTCAAGGAGATATCGCGATACCTATAGTACTTTCCAGCTGTTAAGGCGAGCAATCTGAGAATATTTTCGGATGAAGCAATCAAGGAGTTTTGGGCGCTGGCAAGAAACATGGTCTTGCCAATGCCAGAGGCTGTCCTGCCCACGACAAATGTTGATGCTGGACTTGTAACACTCATGATACTTTCAGCATTGAGTTTGCTACAAGAAGTGACTCATTTGATTAGATTTCTTTTTGGTGAGAGTTTGGAGGTATTTCAAGGGTATCACAGGGACATCTCCGAATTAGCTTATCAAAACTTCAGACCTTTACTACAAATCAATTTTCTTAATATATTCTACCTTATTAGCGAGGATTTTTGAACCAGTGAACGATGCGTTTTGGGATTCTATCTTTTGATAAATTCAGAATATTTAAGCAATTGGATATATATAGAAGAACGTGTTTATCAAGATGACATTTCGAAATCTCATTTATAATGTAAAGGATTATAGAGAATGATAAGATTCAAATTTCTTCAAAGAAACAATTCAATTTGTAGATATAAAATTGATTTGGTACAACGTGTTGTCTTTGTGTTATTTTATCACCTTCAGAATAAGGTTGTCCCGATTGGTGAATATGAGGTACATTCATCGCACACTGTGTTGTAAAGAAAGATGAATTGATGTTGACAAATAATATTAATAACGGTGTTGATTGTTTTTAAGAGGATTGAATGATGAGCAAAGTTACTTACCAGTAGCGTTTTCGATTTTACCACAAGAGTAATTTTGATCATCTTTACAATCTATTCAAAGAAAAGCAAAAAGAAAATTCAAGAAGATCAAAAAGATGTTAAATTTGTTTCCAAACAGAAATAAGAATCTCAACAAACAGTATTTTTGAGATTTAGTTATATCAACAAGATCTACTGGGCCATAAGCAAGGGTACAATTGTGTGACTCGATCACAGGAGCTGTTGCGTTATTGAGCAATTGACACTTTTTGCCCTCTAGAAAAACCAGATCGTCATCAGTTCCAATCCGATCAAGATGGTAGGACGATATTCCCAAACCAAATAGAAAGTCAAACAAAGCTTAACTGGCAGTAGGAAGACAGGTTCGACATTGACGATAATTAACTACGTGAGCAGTCTTATTCTGGAAACCGCAAACTTTAGAATTATGAATCAAGATTATCAAAATCGGAATGATCAGTCAATACTTTGAAGCTCAGAGTCAGGAACATGCAAACAAAGAAAGGATACTAACTGAAACCTGGTGAAGTTCCGGCTGGGAAAGCTGGAGGTAATTTTCCCTCAACAGGTGCCGGGTTAAAGCTCACATCACAAATGGATTCATCTGCTGGAAATCCGAAAGTAAACGTAAAGCAAAGCACAACAGCAGTCAGGAATTGAAGTCGGAAATTCATTTTTTATAAATAATTGATAATAATTATGGCTCAAAGAGAAGTGATTGAAGTTTTGATAAATATATAGCTTAAGATGGGATCGATCGATTTAAAGAGATTAAGGAATGGTCGGGGAGCGTTCGTTGGCACTCGTGCTGGATCAACTTATATCTATCTCCACTCCCTTGCCGCTTGCCCTGTCAAAGCACGAGTCAAGAGGCGCAAAGCAGGTCTTCTCATAGGTTCTCATGGCGGGAATCGCTCATTTCGGGTGTTTAACTGCCAAATCTCAACTTCATAGACTCCTATTAAGCACAGCCTCATCTGGGCTTGAGAGGGCTTGGGAGAGGGTGGGGAAAGAAAGAGATGATAAACTATGGGATCGTGTATTTTTGCGAACGATGTTTTACTGACGTTTTTGTTCGCAAAAATTGATGTTCGGAAAAATGTAATTTGGCCCGAGAAAAGTGAAATTTTACAGTCAAAGTCCGTTTTGAGATTATCTGTAAAAAAACGGTCGTAAATTAATGTCCTGAAAAATACATTACAAGTGCATACAGTATTTAATTTTCCATGTTTACCCATCCGAACATCCAAGTTCGCCAAAAAAAATGTGCGCAATTGTATCACAAACCAGCTTTTTCCCTAATTTTACATCCGTCACCTCACAGACCAACCACGAGGTCGCAAACCGATGACTGCAAAGTTCGAAACGGTTCATCAGATGGATTAATTTTCCAATCAAAGAATCACCTCACATGCCTTCAAATCACACCCGTCGGCCACTAAAGGTGGCCTGACTAAAAGGTGGCCTGACGGTTTGCATGCCACCGAAGGTGGTTTTGAACGTCCTGAGGTGATGGTGGTTAACGCTCATCCATGGATTTGCATTGGTATTGGCGTTAACCACCTTTTTGAAGTCTTGAGCACTAGTCAACTCAACGGCGATCTTATTATCATTTGATTATTATTATCATTTTCTCTAAGATATAATACAAATTACGATCATGTGACTCAAAATTCCAAGATAATGTAAAGACTATCAGAGTCAGTTTGTTTGCCTTCAACCTTGCATGTTTACCCAGCCAAAATCTCAGGTGTATGCTTTGAGGCAATTTGAAGTGTACACTTTCAGTGGGCTCGTGGATTCTATGCAAAAGGGCACTACTGGTGCAAGGTAGTGCGTACAGTTGGTGGTCTTTCAGGTGTATGGTATCACAACGACCTTATCAATGCAGGCATTGCGACGTTGGAGAGTCGAGAATTGCCATCTATAGGAGGGGCAGTGGCTGATACACACTGGGTGATGTACTCTCGAGCTCCTACAACTGCAGAGGCCTTGATAATAGAAACCGCAAATGTCAAGATCCAAAAAGAATTCGGGGACAACCACGGAGGCGACCTGCCTTTTTCACAGCAAGGATTGGAGTCTACCGCACCTCAATTTCAACAAAGACCTCCTGAAAGATTGGAAGCTGAGCAGGAGCAGGACGCTGTCGGTGTGGTGAGCGAGAAACTTATGAAGGCAGTGGAATTTCAAGATTTGTTTTTGTCAGATGTAGAGGTACAATATGAACAACCCCAAAGCGGTAGGCTTTTTTCGTTTCCTTTTGTCTTCATGAACTAATCCTTGTTTTGTTTGCAATAGGAGCTGTCAAGGCTAAAGTCAAGGGGAAGAAACCGGCGCGCAAGATTGGCAAACGGAAGGCTAAAGACAATCTGACCGCCGAAGAGCGCGGCTTGGATAGCTCCTCAGGCGACGAAAATCCCAAAGAAAGTAAACGTAAGGATTGTTCAGATGGAAACGTAGATGAAGAACACGCAGGTTCGTTTTGTTACATTTTTTTTCCCTTCTGACGTATTAATTCACATATCTTTTGTATCAATCACCTCCACTATAGCCAAGAAGGTTAAGAAGAATAAACGTATTGATTTGTCGGTTGAGAATGTAGACGAGGAACAGGAGAAGAAGTGTAAGGTTGGTAACGCTGATGGTTTGTCATCAGAAGGAAACAATAAACGACGAAAAGGTTGGAAAGGTTGGACCCTTGTTGATGTGAAAGAGGTCCAGCCAAAAGATTTGAATGAGCCTGTCAAAGAGGGCAGCCAAGAGTCGAAGGCGAGTGGCAAGGTGCGGAAGTCCAAGCGTAAGAAGGAGAAGATGTAGCCTACCTCTTTCTTCTTGCGTTTTTTCTTGTTTTGGGTTAATTCTTTCACTTATTCTTGCTTGCAGATACCGTTGTTTCCCTTTTTTCCCTTTTCGCTACATTCATTTTTAGTCATTTCTTGGTGTTCTCAGTGTCATTTCTCGACAATGTTTGCTACATTCTTTTATATCTGTCTTATCGCTTTCTTTGGCTTGTCATTTCTCAACATTCCTTTTTTAAGTTTTCAATGGTCAATTATTTCTCTTGATCTTCACTTCAATGAGCAAGAGCTCAAAACTGGCAAATATTGTTTGTGAGATAATGTCTGTAAAATTCGACAAAATAGCCCCTGAAATTCGCTTTTCCGAAGGTCATTTTTCACGGAATGTAACGTTTGTTAACAAATGCTCGTGAAAGTATCACTTGGGCACTGTTTATGCATTTTTGCATGCTTTAATTTTCACGAACTATAAGTGTTGTTTCATGACGTCTGGGAATTTGCCGTTTGTTGACCCTCAAGATCCAATTTTACGTACATTAATTTGCGTAACATATTTTTGCGGACGTCTGAAAAACTGGAATGTTCGGAAAATTTCACTTTGCCCGGAAGAAAGTGAAATTTTCCGGACATCACGTTTTCCGGACGTTGGTGTTCGCGAAAAGATGTTCGGAAAATTTTTACGCCCCATAAACTATTCGGTGCTATTCGGATATATAGATTTCTCGACGCTACATATTTGACTCTAAAACTCAACTTCCGAGTTGCAAAACTTTTCTTCCTAAAGGCATATTTCTACAATTTCCTAAAGTTGAAGGATACATATTCTTTGCAATTTATTCCAAATCCTATCATCCTGTTAGTGTTCATACATACCTGTCAAAGCGTAAGCAGGTCTTCCATCACATAACCTCCTGGGCCGAGGGCTTCTCGAACCAGCTAGAGCTTCGACCTAGCTCAACACAGGCCCATTTTCTCGCGGAGGAGGGACTGAGTACGGAGGTATTACAGGAAGATTCTTTCACATCAATTGTGGTAGATTTTTCCAAAGAAAAACTTTGGTGCTCTTTGGTGTCTTAGAAAACATTGAATAATGACTTTTCACGCATATAACTTTCAAGATAGTCCAACATTGCCTGAAGTATTTCATTCCTTGACAAATTTAAAAAGTTGAGCATAGTTAAAGCCAACAAAGTCCATTTTCAAGAATCATCATATGTATGTATCTTAAATCTGCTAAAACAAACTAAGAGATCATGGATAATTCTTCTTAAGAAGATGAAGAATAGATTTCTTCAAGAGTAAAGATTGTATGAAAATTCCATGAGTGATTTCTAAGATGATCAGAAACCAATCTAATTACTTAATAAATTCTTCGTGATAAATTTCTTAAAGGTCCGATATGTCAAATTGATATGGTGCACATTCATCACAAACTAATTTTGGAAGAAGCAAATGTTTTTTGGAACAAAATCAATGCATGCTAATTTTTAAGAAAGATCAAGTGATTAGATAGAGAGACTGCTTACCACTTGCATTACCGATTCCAGAACACATGTATGCGTGAGCACCCTCATGACAATCTATGAAACAAAGTCATGATCAGATGAATATTCAATGTTCTTTTACAAAAAATGGAAACAACCAACAATAACTTCGTCGTCCGCCATAAACTGAATCCATTGGACCGTAACCAAGATTACAAGGTACTGAAGGAAGTGTAGGAGACTTTGCGGCATGGAACAATTTACATTGCTCACCCACTAAAACAAATCATTGAGGTTCAGTTTAGAAAATTCTCAAAGTTTAATACATTCTTTGAAATCATCTTTAAATTAAGAAAAAAAGACTCAACCGGCAGTAGCTCTACAAGTTCGACATTGATGATACGCAACGGCCGGATTGTTGTTCTGACTCGAACCACAAACTTTGCAATTTTTAAGAAAAGATATACATACACATTTCAACAGATTTATTAACCTTTGAGAACTCTTACAGGTGAAAGAGTAAAAGAGAAAAAAAATACTAACTATAACCGTGTGAAGATCCAGCTGGCCAACCTGGGGGTATCTTCGTATCAATACCTGCAGGTGCTAAGCTAACATTACAGGTTGATTCACCCATTGGAGATCCAAAAGTAAAGGTTGCAAAGCAAAGCGCAATAGCAGTCATGAATTGAATTCGGAAGTTCATCTTTCAGGTCTTTAGATAATAACGCTCGGAAGATAAGTGATTGAATTTTCGATTTCCTTGGAATGATTCAGTCCAAGATATCTAAGACAATGATAAGTTAGAAAATTAAGGATAAGTATGAGTATAAGAAGAAGGATAGAATAAAAATAAAAGAGATGATGATTGTCTTTCGGGATGGTTGTTGGGTTGATTTATCTATAGTTTCATGTCCGCTCCCTTGCCGCTTCACTCGCTTGACCTGTGCTCCACTTGTAGTGGGGAGCGATCGTAGCGTACAAGTTGCAACCAAAAACACACGCGGTTTTTATACATCAAGAGGCGTCGTCGCGTGTCACACTGAATTTGAGGAATATGTTGTAGTTGATTGCATGCTTTCCGCATCGGACATCAACACATCACCTGCTGTAAATGAAAATCACCAGCCCCATCTCTCCAGCCCAATGGACGCTTGCGAAACATACACCTGCGAGCTTGATGTCAGATGGCAACCGAACGGGCCATAAGCACAGCCTCATCCACGGTTGCCTCATAGGGCCTCATAGGACCTCATCAGACAACAGCAGACAACCGCTTTGGGCTGTACAAACAAAAAGTGGGCGATGGGTGAATCTTTGGAGGACGCGGACGCCGACCCGCGAGGGTTTCAAGCCTTAATTAAACTTATCAAGGGAGGAACTTTTGATAAGTTTAAGCCGTGATCAAGTTTGGGTAGAACTTGGCTTTCTCGCCATTCTAGGTGCATACATACTTCTGTTTGGTGAAGTTATGGGCCAATTAGATTTGCCACAAAATTCAAATCACAATCGGCCTCCTTTCAGCTTCGTTCGTCCGTAGTTGCTAAAACTCAATACCGTATGAATATAAATATGCTTCTCAACCTTTAGGTGAGGCTTTCTGAGAGTTTTTCGTAAAACCAAAAATTTTCAGCACCATTTTTTTGTAGAGGCGATTCTATTTCAGGCATTTTTCCAACTTGGACCCCCATAGTGCTTTTTCTTCGTACTATTTTGTGATAAGAGAATCAAAATGCGCATCTCAGTATACCATGATCTTGTACCCATTTTCCAACTCACTTCAAATCATTCCATCTTTGTCTTTTTTCTATCTATAAATGATATAGGGTATCAAGTAATTGGCAGACCTTAACATGATGTTGGAGCGGCCGTGATAAGCCGAATTCAAACCAATCACCAATTTATTCACAGTGATATACAACTTATACATTCTACCCACATACCATGAGGTCCCTGCAGATTGACAAATCTGATACAGTCTCTTGATGGGTTTTTATTGACTTTGGTTTCTAAAAGTCTGCAAGATGATCTTGTAAATCTTGCTGTCCTACACAGCTGACCTCCAAAGTGCACCAAAGTTGCACACAAAGACTAACACCAAGAGACGGGTTTTCATCTTTGAAACTTACCTTTATATATTTTGTATAAGTACAGAGTTGATATTATGCGCAATCAATTACGCGCAAAGCATCTTGGCGGGTGATCTTCTTGATGTATATGTTTTGTTTTGTCACCTGATTTTACGGTAGGATACCACACCCACAACAAACTTAATCACACAATTTCTTTCATACAAGCTCACATTAAGCATCTCCCACTCTCCTTCCCATAGCAGCTTGGCTAGCAGCCGTAGCAGCTCTCCGATCCCTTAGTCGTTGTTGTTCAACTTCCTTTTCTTTTTCAATCTCCGTCACCACAGCTTCCAATTCCGTCAAAGTTAATTGCTAAACAACATAATCCATCATAAGTCAATTGATGTTCACCAGAAAGCCCCCCAAACCCTTCAAAGAATCAAGATGACGAACCCTGAATGATCCGAAACCGTCCATCACGCTCAGTTCGATATTCTTTGCTCCAGTTTGAACCACTTCGAGTAAAGATCGAACAGTGAGCTTGATAGCTTCCTCTGTACTAAGATCTTCAGCCCAATGTTTCTCCAAAAACTCCTTGACGGTCTTGGAGGACCTTCCGATCGCATTGGCCTGTACAAATTCAAAATCATGTCACTTTCAAGCCATACTGAATGTAAGGGAAGGTGAAAAACTCGAATGGTCTTGAACACTATGTACCTTCCAAAGTGAGAACACTCCACTGGGTTCAGTTGAGTAAAGCTTAGGAGCAGTTTCATGTGGATCAAATCCGATAATAAGAGTTGAGATTCCAAAAGGTCGAACACCACCAGACTGCGTGTACCTCTATATGATCGAGTAGAAAGATATGAAAAGATAAGCAAGACTGAGTTTATTTGGAATAAGTCAAGGATGGCGAGACGAACCTGTTGGATCTGAGCAATGTGACGAGTGATATACTCTACTGTCACCGGGTCCTCAACATTCAATCGATGAGACTGACATTCTACTCTAGCCTTATCAATCAAGATTCGAGCATCCGCTGTCAATCCTGTAAAAAAATAGAGAAAGAGTGAGCATGAAGAATACCATACTGATTTATTGATAAGAATGATCAACACGTACCAGCAAATGCAAGACAGACATGATCGTCCAACATGGCCACTTTTCGTACCGTTCGTGGATCTTGTAGTTGTAAAACTGATTTCTTCTCTACCCCTAGAATTGCACACGACTTTCCGCGTACACCGACCTGCAATTGCCAAAAAGAATCAAGGTTAAGTAAAGATGAAATGAGTAATCGATCACTCTAAGCTTCATTCAACTAACCGCGCAGGTTCCTTTTTGAACAGCTTCGACTGCATATTCTACCTAAAGAACGTACAAAATTAACCCAATGAAATCAATTTGCTTGGAAACAAATGATTCATTTATGTTTTCTGGGATATATAGTTTTTCTTCGTTGATTAAGATGATTTACCTGAAACAAGTGACCATCAGGTGAGAAGACGGTAAGAGCTAAGATCAAGATGAGATGAAGGTAAAATCAGTCCAAGTTTAACGAGGTGGTCAACAGAATGAATGAATGCTTACCTCTATCATATGAACGACTCATCTTGATGAAGTTGATTGAAATGAGTTTGATCGATTTGTAGTCTAGTGCAATGACGCAAGTGAGTACATAAATCTCACTGTAGTTAACCCAGTTATGTCAATCAACCTCAGACTAAACCAAATTAAACAGGATTAAACCTCAGATTAAACTAAATTAAACCAGATTAAACCAGATTAAACCTTGGTTGAGTTAAGCTTAAGTGAATTTGATGGTTTCTAGTTTGATGATCTACTTTACCTTCAAACACACTCCACAGTCACACCCTCAATCAGTTCATCAAAAATATAACCACAAATCAAATCAAATCAAAGCAAAGCAAATCAAATACTATCAATCCTGAACATCAACAATGGCTCAGCAATACATTGGTTCTCGTATCTCATTGATATCAAAATCAGATGTCAGCCTTGACTTTCTTATTATCTTACTTTCAAGAAGAAAATCACTTACCTTCAAAAACTTTAGATACGCTATAGAGGTGTCCTACACTCTATCGATCCTGCTGCTTCCACTGTCAGTTTAGAACAGGGTAAGCTCAGTGAATCAAATCAAATCTTTTGCTTCAAAATTGACTCTTTTTGCCGCCTACAGTCAGATCTATGGGAACCGAAGGACGCAAGTCGAACCCAGCTGAAGAGATAGCTCCCACAGACACGCTCTATGAATTCAGTAAGTCATCCTTTCGTTATTGCCTTTATATCTCAATTCTGACTGATTCTGATTCACTCTCTCCGATCACTTTAGTCGTCTTTAGGGCCGCAGATGTCAAGGATTTGTCGATCGAAGCAGCAGCTGAAGCTAAGCCGGAGCCACCCAAGCCATCCGTTCCTGATGATCCGGCAATCATGAGTGTATGGTTTCAATCCTGTCTCAAAGCTATCTACTTCTTCGATCTAACTCAAAACTTCCTCTTATTTATTTGATTTCTCGATCACAGACCACAGCACCACCGCGTCATCCGCAAAATCCAAACCCGTTCATGCAACAGCACCCTATGCAACCCCCTCAAGGAATGTATGGTCATATGCCTGGAATGATATATGGTCCCGGTGGTATACCACCCCAATGGCCTCCCTACGGTATGCCACCACCCGGTCAGATGCATCCCATGATGGGCTTCCCTCCGCACCCCCTTCAGCCCCCGGCACCCCCTACTCAACCTCCTCCACCATCGGTTACCCCCCTTGTTCAACAATCATCCTCTCCAAAGGTTGCGACTGCCAACTCTATGTCTTCTACCGCTGCTGGGCTACCCGCTGCCCTCTCAAAACTCGATCTCGAGTCACCTGCGCCACAATCCAAAACTGGTGCAACATCCAGTAATGCATCTCCGATCAAGACCGCCGCTGTTCTTCCCTCGACTTCTGCTCGAGAAGCTGCTCCCGCTCCTCAGAAGTCAACATCTGCGGTCGCGCCTAGCCCAAACACAAAATCCGCTGCTCCCCCTTTGGCCGCCCCCAACGGGAGCACTGCCAACAAGAGTGTGTTTGGAGCACCAACAGCAATGGACATGATGAACAGTATTGTAGGCAAGAATATCCCTTCTTCGTCCGCAAACCAATCAAAGCCTCCTTCTCAGGTCCCCGGTCAAGCAAACGTGAGCGTCACCTCATATAACAGATTACTGGCCTCAGGGCGTGACGCGAGTATTGCATCAGCTATGCAAACCAAGAATGCGCCAACTGGGATCTTGCCTGCATTGGTAGCTGTCAATAAACTATGTACTAACACCGCCTCTGTCCGCAATCTCTCACAGGCATCACAATCGCGCCACCCTTTGCCACAAGCTCCCGTGAAAGCAAAACCACAGTCCCAGGTACCACAAACAAACTCGACAAAGGCATCCAGCTCAGCCCAAGCACCTGTCGTACCACCTCAAGACTTTGATTTCGCATCTGCCAATGCCAAGTTCAACAAATCAGGTACTACTAACAATTCGAAACCAACTGAAAGCAATGGTCCTGATGACCCAGCACCAGTTGAGACGAAGACCGATGATTTCTTTATCCCAGAAGCACCACCTGGAACTTACTATGATAAAAAGAAAAGCTTTTTTGATGATATCAGTAGTGAAGTTAAAGAACGATCTGCTCCTGTTAGTACTGGTCCTGGTGAAACACCTACTGTTGCACCTCGCGGTGGAAGAGGTAGAGGGGGAAGAGGATGGGATAGGAATGCTGAACGACAAAAGAATCTGTAAGGAAATATATTTTGGTTCGGTTGAAGTTTTGATTTTCTGACTCATTTGAAGGTTATATTTCTTTTTACAAAAAAAATAGTGACACTTTTGGAGAAGTGGCTTTGAACCCTAATCTCGGAGCTCTTGGATCGGGTTACAATGGATATGGACGTGGAGGTGTTCATAGGATGGGCGGAGGAGGAATGAGAGGAATGAGAGGGAATGCAGGAGGAAGAGGTGGATTCTTTCATCCACATCAACCAAGAGGGATGGTAAGAGGAATGGCACGAGGAATGGGAGCAGTACAAATGGGAGGAGCAACTTATAACCGAGCCCCTCAGTGAATGAGAAGTATTTTAACTGATAACGGAAATCCTTACACACAGCTTATTTTCTTTCCTTTTTTTCAATATTTTTCCATTATATATATATATGGTGATCAGATTTGTGAGTGGGTTTTGTTGTGTGAAAAAAAGAAGGAAGAATAAGAAGAGGAGAATTTTTTGTTATAAGAAAAAAAATTAAAAGATTGATTTGGTTAACAAAACAAAAGTGATTTGATTTGATTTAATATTTGATTTTCAAAAAGAAGAAGAGAATCTGTATGATAAAAATGTGAATACATACCCACTTTTGATTGTTTTGTCTTCTTTGGAGGAATGGTTGGCATAAAGTGGATCCATTGAAGGAGATATTCTATCTGTGAAGTGGTTATCGAAGCCAGAAGAGTTGCATACGCAGTGAGGCCGATAGATATCATGAGAATGTTCGTGATCACACGGTGGGAGAATTTGGTTGCAATGGTTTATAAATAGACATGGTGGCGTCGATGAGTTTTTGATTCTGGACTTAAAGTTGCTTCACTTGCTCGGTTACTTCCCTTCTGTGCTTCGAAGTACTTATCAAAAAATCATCATCATCATCATGTCAGACGCACCTCCAATGCCTGAAGGAGGCTTCACAGTTTACGATTCTTATACCACTGACCCAACCTATGCTCGTTACTTTACCTACGTAGCTCTTGGTTTTCTCGCTTTGAGCTTTCTATCAAACTTACCTGGTCTTTGGAAATCAATCAAAACTCAAACACTTTTCCATCGACTTTCTCTAACCGGTCTTCGTTACAGACCAAAAGCTTTTCATCCATTACCGAACACAGAACCAATCTCAAGAAACTCTTCAAAGACTTCAATCTCTGTTTTATATCTTCAAGCATTCTCTAATAAGATCTTACTACGCAATCCTACTTTCAAATTATCTCGATTTCGATTCACCTCTCGACTCACTATCTATAACATCTTTCTCATCCTACTCATCCCAGCTCTAGTTCTCGGTACTCTCCTTCCTAAATCTGATCTCAGTGACAACGCAAATCGAGCTGGATTCATTGCTTTAGCTACTTTACCTTGGATTTTCTTATTAGGAGGTAAAAGTACTGGATTAGCAAGTTTAATAGGAATAGGTTATGATCAATTAAATTATTTACATCGTTGGATCGGTCGTGCTACTCTTACACTTGTTTTAATTCATTTCGGACTTTGGACTACTCAATTTGCTAAATATGGATCGAGATATCTTTCTGAAAGACTTTCGGGTACCAAAGAATTAAGAGGGATCATGTCGTTATGTTTTTTATTTTTGTTATCTTTACCTAGTGTATCTTGGATTAGACATCAACCTATCTTTGGTTGGAGGATCTTCAAGTCTTTACATGTGATTGGATTCATTGGATTTATTATTGGTATTAATATGCATACTACCTATGCTTGGCCTTGGACCGTGGGTGTCATCGTGATGTGAGTGCTGAACTTTGGGTTGTACACTATGAAATATCGATTGACTAACATCATCTTTTTTAGATACGCGGTTGATGTGACTAGTCGCACAATACGTTATCGTTTCAAGACCGTTCAGATTGAAGCCCTGGAAAGTGGTGTGACACGTTTACGAATACAAGGTGTCACTGATGGTTGGCGGTCAGTCAACTTTAGCTTTCTTGCAAATTCGATTGCCAAAGTCATACTGATGCCTTATTCTGATGCCCTCAATTTCTAAATCACAGTGCCGGTCAGCATCTTAGAATCCGTTTGTTTTTTCCTATCTGTTCTCGTAGGAGTTGCGCAACAATCTGGAGCATAGGTCGCCCTCTTGAATCCCATCCACTTAGTATTGCTCATGGACCTGAAAGTGCAAGTGTGGCAGGTGCTGAAGGAAGTTTAGTACTCTTTTGTACCTCTGCTCAAAAAGGAGCTTGGGCATCTGATTTATGGGAAGCAGCAAAGGCTAGACCAGGAATGGTGATCACTGGATTGATAGATGGACCCTATGGTGGCTTACCTACTCATGCGAGCGTTTACGAAAATGCACATCTGTTTTTGTTGGCAGGTGGAAGTGGTATGTCATTCGTCATGGGAATGTTGGATGAAGCCGTGAGCGGGGCTGTGATGGGTGTACGTGGATGTTCTCTTGAAACGATATTGTTGGTGTGGTGCATACGTGATCCTAGTAAGTCACATTTACAGAGAGCTATTGGCCTAGTCCAGGAATCGCATGGATATGAACTGACGTCTGTGTCTACATCAAAACGTAGGCATGATTGAAGCTTACATGCCAATGTTGGAAAATATAATGGTAGCGAGTCGCTCATCTGGCCAAGTCACAGTACGAGTTGTAATCTATGTTAAAGTTCCAAATGAGTCTATACCAGAAGAAAAATCTAGTGTGAGCGTACGTACGGGTAAATGTAGGATTGAAGAAGAGATTAAAGGATGGATTCAACCGGACGAAAAGCTCGGAAGGGGTATAGGTGGTGGACGAACCATTGTGGTCTGTGGTCGGGATGAAATGATTGTGAGCTTATGGTTTCAAGTTTTAATTAATTTTTTGAGATTCATCATTGACGAGAGTTTTGATTTGATTAAAGTCCGATGTTCGAAACTCAGTTGCTCGTGTGCCAATTGATGTATCAGTTCGAGCTGGAGGGATCAGCTTATACACTGAGCACTTTGGATTGTGATTTGATGGTTAGATGAAGGATAAGGTGTGAGATATGCAAAAATAATTGATGGCATTAAGGATAATTTGATTTGTACAATATATTGTAGCCTGGTTTGATTTTGTTATTATAGGTGTGTTTATTTGATCAGTAAAACGTATTCATGGTGAAAAAGATATCTTGAACAAGTAAATTTGTAAAGAACTGGTTGCTCAGCATTTTCAATACATAACAATTTGACATTCCTATTCATGTTTATTTCATTAATTAAAGGATATCACTCCGTAGACTGCCTGATTTACCAACTCTGCAAGAAGACATCATGCTTATAATTAGTTTGGCATAGCTTCAGAAATAGATGATTATTTCAAAACATCGAAGATTTGATGTTAAATTTGAATACATAAGAGGTAACTAAAGATGCTCTTACATGTTTTCCTATATCTTTACAGGATGGGCAGACATATTTTTTGCATTTGTATCTTATGATCATAAAAGAAAATTATCAATTCAAGTATTTCAACTTTCAGCACTTGTATCTTGTTTTGTTTTGTTCATCTTGTTTCCCATATCCCTAACTTAACATAAGTCCCCCTTGCTGATGTTCCTGGCTTTTGTCAAGCTAGCCCATATCCTGGCTGTAAATCAATGAGAAAATGGAGACTTCCAAGAGATCCCTTCAATATCATTCCATCACAAGTGTAAAATTTAGGTCTCAAGTGAATCCAAACAAGAAACAGCTTGGAAAACAAGATAAGATATGTACCAAAACAGTATTAACTGTCTTGAGGAACCTGCTCACTACCATTACCAACAGCAAACAAAGAACTTCCAGATATCCGGGTCATCCCAAGTCTAGATTCATCCTGTAAGCATTCTTTGACTTGTCCCCCCATCAAGAATTCCACCTTTCAAGGTCCTTTTTGAGCATAATCATTCTACATGGAATAATTGCTGTCAAAACACAGCATTCCTCAAAGCCAGAAGAAAAAAATTAACTTACCATAAAGGTTTGTGTTTCGTACATTTAATTTGAAAACTTCTCCAAAGTTTAAACCATTTTAAAACTTTGAAGGCAAGCTTTTGATCATTTTTGACTTCAAACTAAATAAAAGGGCAAGAAACAATAATCAGGATGGAGCCATAAAGCACAGTTCTCAGCTGGATGAACATGCAAACTCTTGTAAGAAATCATGGCAAACACAATTGCTGAAGACCAGAACCAAACTATGTTGGTGAGAGAATCAAGAAATCAAGACAAATGACTCAAGAGGACTTATATTCTGGTGGCCCCAAGCCAGGACTCAATAATTGGTTGTGATGTAAGTCCCTTTCTCAATGCCTTGCAAGGTGCAAGGGAATTTTTTAATTTTATGCTGCTGTTGTCCAAGTTTTTTTGCTAGGATGCCTTCTAAATAGATCAAGTTGCAACCCCATAGTCTTGCAGATTATATCTCATATTGAAATGGATCCTCTAAACAAAATTCAATTGGTATATGTAAAGTTGAGAGCCATGATATGTAGCAAGTCCCAAAAAGATCCTATTACACCAGATTATGAAATTGAAAACCTTGGACAACACCAACAAATTGGAGAGTGATATAAATCTTCTCATTCAGTACTTATACCCCAGTGGTCTCTCAATTATCTCTGTTCTCCTTGCAACATATTTCAATCATTTTTTTCCACTTTCAACATCTTTCAATATATTTCTATGTTCTTTGGAGGTTTTTTAATTTTTTTGATACAGCCCAAAAGAAGCACACCTCTGGATTTCTGAAAAAGGTGCACGTGATGGGCCCAAAATATAAACCTGCACCCACCACAGGAAGTGGACTGGAATTTTCCCAAATTCTAATTTATCACAAAATTCTATTGAACATGGAGGAATGGATCAATACTTGAAGCACATTCATATGAATGTCTTAGATTTTAAAGCTCTGAAGTTATGCCAAGTGAATTATCCCTATGGCTAGATAAAAGGTGTTTTTTTTGATACATGTACAAAGAAAGCCATTTGTAAGAAATAATCTAATAGGACAAATGGGCTCATCATGCAGCAATTATAAATTTGATGATGAGGGATTAAATAATGGGTGCAAACTAGACTTTGCAAATTATTATGGCATTGGTGAAAAGACCTTGTACCTAGATGTGCCGTAGATGCTGAAGTTATGGGACCCAAAGTTTGTTGTACACGTCCCCACGCCTAGGATTTGTAATCATCGGGTTTGCGACAGGCCCCGGCCCCGCCACTGCAGAACTTGAATGATTACGTAAACCACTTGGAGGGGACTGTACAGGTGACAAATTTTACAAAAAATGATTCCACTGTGGTGAGCACCTGAACATGGCAGAAAAATTTGAGAAACACATTGCCTTATCCCTTTTTGCAGTTGAAGAGTGTACACAGTCAACTGCACTAGGGGATGTGTTTTATTGGGGGTTCTGTAAGCTTATAAATATAGTGGCTACAGAAAGGATATTGACTGCTGTGCCAGTTTATTATATAAATTCTGAAACATGCTTGTGAATGTGTTCAAGCCCAAATTCCAACATGTTTGAAATAGTTACCAAAAATCATTGGCTTCAAGAAATGATTTAATTGCCACTACTTACTTAAGAATCACTTTTCTCCCTGCAATAAGCAGTCTATAAACTTTCAAAACCTCAAAGCATCTTCCATCTTCTTAAACTACCCAGATATGATGGGGCACTTGTTACTATCAAGATTATATTTGAGCATAGCACTGGGAAGTCTGTGTTACCAATCATGCTCAGGGCTAAGATTTAGAACTTCAGGTTCAAGCAGGAGACCACATATGTCAGAGTATCACAATTTCATGGAGGTTGATTATTCTAAGGATTCTTTGAAATGTGAACACTTCACACAAGGTACTGGGTTATCAGGAGCAAATAATTATGGCCTACATCAAAACCCAAACCAAAATCTAGGAAGACCCATGACACTGAAAGGCAACAATCAATGTCCAACCAGTAGGGAACAGCACCCCACACCACCCTCTATGATATATCAGGCATCCCTTGGAATGGAGAATGAAAATGGCCCAGAGCAAAGGCAAGGCATAAGCCCTCTTGAACACCTTCCTATTGAGGATAATCATAGTACAGATGAAATGAGAAGAACCCAGTGTAAAGGACACGTGGTCCTCACTTAAAGTGAATGCTCGAGGAGGGAAAGGAGGTGCTGAATGCCACGTAGTGGACTTAAAAATTCCAGAACCAAAGTATGATGATTATTTATTTCTAGATCTGACTCCAAAAGGATTATTGAATAGAGGTCAGTCTCAATTCCCTAAGGAGTCAGTACAACGAAGAGTTCACGATGAACGATATGAAAACATGCTAAGTCTTAGTTAAGTAGTTAATTTAGATAGTAGGATATGTTTGTACTGAATTGTGTTTGTAATGATGTGTACGTCATTACATTCTCCCCCCCTATAAAAGGACTTGAGTAAGAAGGGGAAGCCAATAATGGTGAGTATTGAATAATGAGAATATTAAGATGAAAAAGAAAAAAAATTGAAAATAGTCGCAACATTCTAAAGTTATGTTGTAAAAAAATTGAAAGAATAAGAAACTTTTATAAGAAAGAAAGAAAAGGAAGAGAAAAAAAAAAGAGAGAGAAAAAAAAGAAAGAAGAGAAAAAAAAATCCAAGTTGAAGTTGTAGTCGTCCGTCGAGGTCTGGTACTGTTTGAGAGAAGCAAAGGTCCCAATAGGTGCTCACAGCGTGGCCGAGGTAATGCTTTCAAAAACGTGTAGAGAGACCCGGCGGTGCATACTAAGAAAGGGACTTACTTTTGGGCCTTTGACCCTAATGTCAAGTCCTCCAATTCCACAAAAGGCTTCAACTTCGAAATGTTCATAACATTATGTCGTTTGTCGCCTGTTGGTAGATCTATCTTGACACTCTGTCCGTTGTTGAAGGTTTCCAGAACTCGATAAGGTCCTTCATAGCGTTCTTTAAGTTTGTCTACACCCCCAGAGTGTCGTCCACGCCAATCTCCGGAATCCAACAGAACCCAGTCGTCTACCTTCACCGTCACGTCAGAGTGGCGCTTATTGTGGTACAGTGCTTGCTGAACTCGACTCGCCCATAAGTTATCCCTGACTTGAGCGCAGGAGCCTTCTCGCTGACGCAACCAAGCCTCAAGGGAAGCTGGAGAGTCACTCGTCGCGTCTGAGGTAGGAAAAAGTCGTGGTGGTCGCCCAAATAACATTTCGAAAGGGGAGAGGCCAGTAGCTACGTTGACTGCGCTGTTAATGGCAAACTCAACTGCCGGTAAAGACTCCAGCCACTTGGTCTGACGTTTTGCTGTGAAGGTTCGTAGGACTTGTCCTACCGTCTTGTTGGTCCGCTCACTCCTGCCATCCGCTTGAGGATGATATGCTGAAGATCGATGGAAAGATATGTTCAGGCGTTCCATTAACGTTTTCCAGAATCTTGAGGCCCAGGTCTTGTCTCTGTCGCTGATGATTGAGGACGGGGCTCCGAGGGTGCCTATCCAAGCTCCAAAAAATCGAGACGCTGTCTTCTCCGCTGTGTCGGTTTGGTTAGTTGGGATAAGTTTAGTGAAACCGGAGAGTTGGCAAGTGCATGTCAAAAGCATGTCGTATGAGTTGATCTTTGGGAGGGGTCCAATGAAATCAATCGCGATGTTGGTTAGAGGCTTAAGTGGGATCTCTGGTGTCCTCATTCGTCCGTTCGGCAGAGTTGTCCTGGCTTTTGTTTTCTGACAAGTCTCGCAGGCTTTCAGTCGAGTTTCAACGTCCCTTGACATCTTTGGCCAAAAGAAATCCAATCGGAGCGTAGCTAGTGTCTTGAGGTGACCTAGATGTCCCACCCGCTTGTGTGTTTCATCAATGAGTTCGGCTCGGAGTGAGTTTGTCCCGGGGATCAATAGGCGTCCTTCAATGAATAGAAGGCCTCCTTCCTCGTAACAGTCGTCCCGCAACGGCATTCCTTCATGCACCGCTTGACAGAATTTGTCATCGTCGTAACCGCTCAAGATGGAAGTTTGGAATTTTTCTGACAGGGATGGGTGGGATAGTGCCAGTGCTGCGATAGTCTCGACTCCGGTTTGTAGATCGTCAGAATCTTTTCGAGATAATGCATCTGCGACCAAGTTATCTTCGCCTTTTACATATTGGAAGTTCAAGTCGAAATTGGCCAGTTGTTCCAGCCACCTGGCTTGGCGTCTGCTCAAGGTACGTTGCTTTAGAAGATAAGTGAGCGAGTGATGATCACTCATTACGTTCACCTTCATTCCTAAAAGTAGCATCCGCCATTTCTGTAGCGCGTGAATTACGGCTAGCAGTTCCTGTTCGTGGACCGGATAGTTACGTTCCGCCATCGTCATCTGTCTGGACTCATAAGCAATTGGACTAGTGCCCTTCCAGTCCGCTCCCTGAAATAAAGCCGCCCCTAAACCAGTTCCACTGGCATCTGTGAATAGCCACAGAGGGTCAAGTGAATCACAGTCAACATTCTTCAAACAAGGTAAGGTGGTCATAATGCGTTTAATATTCTGAAAGGCCAGTTCTTCCGCGTTTCCCCACTGAAAAGCTCTCTTGTCAAGTTTACTACTAGTCAATGGGGTAAGTTTGCCGACGTACTTTTCCAACCCTGACACGAATTTCTTCATCCACTGAACCGTTCCTAGAAACTTTCTCACACCCTTTGAATTCTTCGGGGATGGCCAATTACAAATCTTTTCAATCTTTTCTTCATCAGGCTTAACTCCTTCACTCAAGATTCTGTGGCCAACAAACTTGACTTCCCGGCGAAAAAGCTTTGTCTTTTTGCTACTGCAGTAAAGGTTTGCTGCTCGGAGACGGTTCAAAACTTGGCGGACGTGTTGTTCATGTTCTTCAATTGATGACGAAAAAATGACAATGTCGTCCAAATAAACGACGCATACCGTGTTGATAAGTTCTCCTAAAGCTTCCTCCAGGCGACTCTGATGTGTTGCAGGTGCGTTTGTAAGTCCCATGGGCATAACACACCACTCATACAAGCCCCACGGTGTCTTCACCGCTGTCAGAGGTATATCTGCCTCCCGCATGCGCGTCTGAAAGAAAGCATTGGTTTGATCAAGAATTGAAAAAAACTTTCCAGTTGCCACTAGTCTGACCAACTCGTCCACCTTTGGAAGGGGTGAACGGTCCCTGACGGTCACACTGTTCAAGGTGCGGTAGTCACATACCCACATTGGAAGTTCGGAAGGGTCCTTCTTAGGGATAATAAGACTCGGGGATGTGTATTGGCTTGATGATTTACGAATTCTCCCAGCGGCTACATGTTGGTCGAGCAATTTGCGCCATGCACCCATGTATTTTGCAGGGTAAGGGTACTGGCGCTCGTTTATCACAGCTTTGGGATCCGTCAATATGATCTTATGTCTCACAGTGGAAGAGGGGTCTTGCATCCGTTCGGGGAAGGTGCCATCTTGGAAGTCGCCATTACATTCCGCTTCTTCTGATAGGGCGGGAATGTCTGTTGGAAAAACATCGTGATACTCTCTCAAGATCACTTCTTCTAATTCAGTCCAAGACGTATCTTCAGCTCTCCGAAATGGTTCATTCACTGCACACATCAATTGCTCCCAGTTTCTCCAGTGCTCACTCTCATTCCTCTCTGCAATTGATGCCAATTTGGCCTTATAGTTCTCTTCAAGTTCCTCTTTCAATTTCAATTCTCGACGATAATCCAATAGGGTGATGTTTGAGATTTCACTAATTACAGACTGCTTTGCGCAAGAAACAGAGAGTTGATGGTGTGAAAGAAAAGGAGATCCTAAAATAACAACATATGAAGTTCCCAGTCTCCCTATCTTCAAATAAGTCCTATCAAATTTCAGTCCAGACGAAGGGTGTTGTAATGATGCAGTGGTGAATTGGGTGAGCATCGGTGGTTCACCACCTCCTTCTAATGCTAATCCAACAATCGTTGGTTTGACTAGTTGACGTCGTTGCAATCGTAATAGGTCCACCATGTCTTCTGATATCAAATTTGTTTCAGAACCTGCATCCGCCAACGCCCAAATCAGTTTACCATTACACATCAGTTCCACAATAACTGCAGGTGTTGATACGGGTTGGTCCACATACCCTTCTTCATTGGGTCCAATCGTCTCTGCTCCACTCTCGGCGATTTCCTTAAGCTCACGATCAATGTCTTCATAAGCTGTGATCGTAGCGGAATCGTGCTCTGGCAAGGTTACTGCTGCAATATTTGATCTGGGTGGTCGACCAGCTGGTGGATGAGTTGGTCTTCCGGCAGTACTCGCTAGATGAGCTCGAGGTGGGGTATAATTAGCCGGTTTGGGTGGTGGAACATAGCCAGGAGGGAAGTTGATTTTTTCTTTCGAAAAAGTGCCGGGACATTGTTTGTATTCGCTCCCGCACTTTTTCTTACAGAAGTGGCATAAGCCCATAGAGTCAAGGTACGAGTTAATCTTCCAAAGCAAGGAGTCGCTGATAGGTCGAGCACTCGAAGGAGCCGCAGGTAAGGTGTGGCCATTCGGTGGGTTTACGTTGGTTGAACGTGGTCCCGAGTTCGATGATGATGGTTGGATCCTTCGGACAATAACTCTCTTGATCACTAAGTCGTCGTAAAGAATATCACACCGTTCCTCAAACTGAATGAAATCGAAATTCTCCTGCTTCAACAGTCCCTCTAATCGAACGGAAGATTTCAACTCTGGGAGCATCCCCAATACCATGTGAGTGGCCAATGTGAAATCATTGATTTCAACTTGGTCATGATTCATAAGGGATTGAATCGAACGTGCTCGGGTGCAGTAGAACTTGAAGTCCTTGTTACTGGTCATACGAAGAGTGAGTACTTTCTCACGTAGCTTGTCGTTCCAATCGGACGGTAGGGCTGCGCGGAATAGTTTCTCTTTAAAGTCTGTCCATGACGAATTCTTGAAATTATCGATGTTGTGGGCCCAGAATGACTGGAGGTTGGTTTCGAGCAGGTATGAACCGGTGAGTATGATTCGGTCCATGTCCTTCTCGATCTTTTTGACAAGAAAATTTTTTTTAATGATGTGAACCACTTCAAGAAGGTTTCCGTATCACGGTAAGGGCCTTTGAACTGTGGACCATCCGACGACTTGAATTTGGTAAGATCAAGTCCTCGGGAAACCTCTTCGTTGGTCGTAGTAGGCCAGGATTGACTAGAGGCGCTCATTTGTAACATGAGTAATTTCTCCTCCAACCCAGCAATGCGATCAGCTGCTTCTTGTGCTGCTGCCGCCCGCTCCTCGTCCAGTCGAGCTTGACGCTCTGCCGCTTCACTTGCAGCTTTGATCCCCGCCGTCTGTGCTCTTATCATCGCGCGCAGCAGCTCGTCCGTTGATGAAGGAGCCGAAGATGATTCATCCGAACGTCCAGTCATAGTTTCGACTATCAGGATCGGGGATTGAGAAGGGGAAGAGGTAGGTCCGATATTCAAGTCTCGATGAAGATGTTTCTCTTCTTGTTGCAGAAGTGATAAGGGAGAACGTCGAGTAGATAACGGGGAAGTAGGAAAGGTACCAGGTAGCGAAGAAGCTCGGGGCGGTAAGGATTGTACCGCTGGGATATAAGGTTTAGCCGACGCCGGTATTGGTTTTGACGGGATATTCGCCGAGAGAACCTTATCGTGGGTGTATCTTCCCAGTTCTTCGACAGAGCGACGTTGGAATTGCGGAGGTATTGTAGTTGATCCTCTGACTATGGATTCAGGATCGTCTACTCGACATGTAAGTTCGGTAGAGTCGCTGCGAGTCGAAACCGGTGGGGTCATAAATGAATGCAATTAAAGTTTGAAGATGAGATAAATTTAAGATTTCAATTGGGAGATTGTAGAAGTTTTTGATCTTTGAAGATCCGGGGTGCGTTTAAGAACTGTGTTCTTCTGAAGTGGTCTGAAGTGATCAAAACCGGTAATGGTTTGAGAAAAAAAAGTGTAAAGGACACGTGGTCCTCACTTAAAGTGAATGCTCGAGGAGGGAAAGGAGGTGCTGAATGCCACGTAGTGGACATTATCAATTCTAGAACCAAAGTATGATGATTATTTATTTCTAGATCTGACTCCCAAAGGATTATTGAA